TCGATGTTTTTATTTTATAAAATAATTTATAACCATTATTTATTCGAAAAAAAGGTATTAGAAAAGTGCCCGGTAATCATCATCGACATCATCGTTCAAGTATTAATACATCATCGTCGGATAGTATTAACAATGGTCTTGGCAGTAATAGTAATAATAATGGTGGAATATCTAAACGGCGATCAAATTGTTCATTGTACATAAGTAATCCAAATTCAGAAGATTCACAACCTGATATCCCGGGTGTAACCTTGAGTAATAATAATAATAATGGTTCAATCATATTTCAAAATCAATTAGTCGATCATCAACATCATTCAAATAGCCCTCATACTCATCATCATCATCATCATCATTATACGAAAAAACCAATCACCACCATTATCAGGCAGGTAAGTTTTTGAAAAAAAAATTAGAAATTGTCCGATAATGAAAAACAAATAAGTTTGCGTGCAAGATTTTTTCTAAACGTGCAAAAAAATTGAAAAAATCCCAAACTCATAATTGTTTTTTTCCAATCATCATAAGTGCCATTTTCTGAACACACATCATTCGTTCGTTAAAAGTTTGTGTGATTTTACAGAGGCACTTTCGCTTTCTCTTAGACAAGTTCTTGTGACAAAAGATGCTGTGATGATGATTAGATGTACTTTAAGTTTAAGTTTCGTCGTAACTCTGTTTATTGTCATTCATTGTAATTTTCAATGTCATTGAATCGATTTTTCTGTTCTTTTGAATGCAGCTTTCATCATCATTTTTTAAAGATTTTCTTCTATTAACCTTAGTATATAGGTATTTGGACAAATTTTCTATTTTTGCTTCTTCTTCTTTTGATGGATTATTTATTAATATTTAATGAATGAATAATTTTTCATTTCTGAATCGGAAAACTTTCAACTACGAAATAGCTATCGATGTATGTATGTATGTATGTATGGATGGATGGATGGATGAATGAATGATGATGATGATGTTCAATGTTGTCGAATGATAATCTGTCATTAAAATCGATGTTCATGTCATTTTCGTCATCACATTCGACACTTTCAATGTCCTCGAATTTTTTTTCTCTTGGTATTCATGGACATATCCCTTGACGTATTGTTGAATACTTTGTTCTAATGAAAAGCTGCAAAATTTTTAATTTTTTTACACACTATTTGTTGTGATCTTATCATTTGAATCTTTTTAAATTTCCATTCACACAAGCATATTATATTATGTATATATAAATTCATTGTTACAAGGTAATCAAGTACCTGAACATACGTCATAAAACAAGAAAACGCATTTTCAGAATAAACATCATCACTTTAGTAAAAATTCTTCGAAATGAGAATTACACAGAATATAAAAAAAACAGCCTCTAGCCAAACAATTTTTTTTTACTTGCTTGCCAAATAAAATCTATCATTTCATTCATCATCTGTTTATCTTTAGTATCAGTAATAGAAAAAAAACAGACAACACTGTCGAAGAAAAAAATTGAAAGTAAATATTTTTTTTTTTTTCATTATCAAAGTAAATTATTAATTCGATTGTGTCTTTGTATTTTGTTTTCCAACAAATAATTTTCATCCAATATTATCATCAGTGAAAATCATTATCTTTCTATAAATTTTTCTCTTATCTTTTTTTGTTTGGCATTAAAGATGATTGAAAATTTAGAATGGCTACTCTTATAAGAAGACAATAATTATTATCCGATTGTAATGGACTATCACTATAGTAATTTGGTACGGATATATATCTATTCATCGCCATGGTCTTATAAAGTCCTTTGACCAATAATTCATTTTCCAAATTACATTTTACGTCAATCTTTTCGATGTCCATTCTCAATTTCTAGTTCTATGATCAGGTCTATATAGTAAAAATGATAGTATACAATGATCATAGACAAAAAAAAATACCATCTATGTAATTGTGGTGTTATGATTATACTTTCAAAGTTTATCCTGTATAGCTTGCGAAATTGTCGACTTTTTTCATGATCTGATGATGATCTCGATTATTTACATGAAAATGGAGTTTTGAAATGAAAAAATCTAAACTAAGCTTTAGTCAGGTAGCCTAGGATTTTCGTTTTTTTTTGCATTCAAGAAAAAAAATTAAATATAAAAAATTTAGTGCTATTTAAATGTTGATGTGAATAGATGATGGTGATAATTAAAAGGATGGCACTAATTAAAAATGATAAAATTACTATCACCACCATTATCATATCACAGTAATACATGCAGAAAAAAAAGTTGGAAAATAGTTTCAATGAACTTTTTAATTTTGTTTATAATGGTAACGTTGACATAGATAATAATAATTTGAATATATATATCCGGCATCTAACTAAACAAGTGATGACACTCTGTTTGTTTGTTTTACCACTATGATCATTGTAATTATCTTTTCATGTGACAAACAAACAATAATATCAATGTAACTGAAAAACTTTAATGCTGGAGCAAAACCGAAAATAATGACACATTCTTTGACATTGTGACCCATTTTGTCTGTGTGTTTTTATTCGTGTTTTAAGCTATTTATCTGTTTATTTCTTTGATAAATTACAATATTCAAAAATACATATTCATATTGACATTGATGATGATATTATTGTTGACAATATTGTCCATCCATAAGCATTAGCAATTTTTGTAAATGTCTGCAATATGTTAGTCGAGACAATCCAAATAAACGATGAATGTTTGCCATTTAGTCATAAAACTGTATAATTCTGAAACAAGTGAAATTCTTTTTTTTATGATGATAATTTAATTTTTTTTTCAATTTCAGTATGACGTTGAATGTGGTAATAATGTTGATGGAATTAGCAATGAATCTCGCCATAGCTATGATGCCATAATTAATTCGGAAAAATTTACCACCATCTCTGTTGATCAACATAATCAACAAAGGCGAAGATCGAATGGCTTGCAATTAGCAAAAAATTTGGCCGCCTATTGTGAGAATCAACAACTACAATCTACAAAGGATTCGAAACGAATGCCAAATTCTGGTGATCTCAAAATGATTAATAAAATTGATTCATCGTCAACAAATACAGCAATGACAATCTATGACTATTATGATAATAATAATCATGATCATCTAATGATTGGTCGTTCAAGAACATTACCATGGCCAACAAATGGAAATTCGACATCAGCCGATGAGCCCGAAGCTATATCGACACCTAAATTATCCGATGATAATAAACATCAATCGATTACATCGTTGTTTACGAGATCACCACTTGATGGACAGGTAAAATTTAATCATTTCAAATTAATAAATATTGAATGACTGAATTTTTCAAAATTAATTTGCGTTTCATTTTCCTGCTTTTTAATTTTTATATATAGGTGAATTTTACGAAAAAACGACGAAATCGTATGCATAACGATAGTGCAGCAGCCATTGCATTGAATCGTAGCGGTCTTTTACAATTGATTGCTCATAATAATAATGATGTTAGTGATAATGCTAATCGCCGTAATCAAATGATGATTATGGCCAGAGCATCACCAGATGCACTTCTTACATACTATGAAAAAATGACCAAAATGAAACCAGCTTGTTGTGATACAAACAATGATGGTTGTACGCAAAAGAATGATGATCATCAAACTATTGATTCAATTTCATCAAATCGTAAACGTACACATCAAAATAGTCCGGAAACAAGTTCGGGTGATAGTATCATACTTGGTGGTGGTGGTGGTGGTGATAATAAAATGATCGAATCATCATCATCGCCACCTATTGTCGTCTATAATCAACGAACAGCCTTATAAAATTAAAAAAAAGATGATCGTTGAACAAACATTTTGTGATTTTATATTTTTCAACAAAAAAAAAAGAATCATTCAATTTCTAAATTATATTGTTATGTCAAAAATTTTGATTTTAAACATATAAACAGTTACACACACACACACACGAATAGACAGATAAAATCAAAACAATAAAATACATACTCAAACATATCGAATATAACAATTGTACAAATGACCGCATACATACAAAAAATTGGAATGATGATTACACTCAACTTGTAAGAAAATATTACACACTCTTGTAGAATATTTCACAAATTAACTAAAGATTCAATCAGAAATTGAAACAAATTAGCAAATCTTTTTTTGACAAAAAATGAAAAAAAATACAAAAGATGAATTCACAGATTGTTTTTGTTTTGTTTTGTAGATTTTCAAAAATCTTCAATCTCAATACAAATCTTTTTTAAATGTCCTCATTTCAATACAGTTAAACAAATTCGTTCACTATCATCATTTTGATCTGTTATTCTCAATGTCAAAATGATCATGTATTTCAATTTCGAAAGCCAATTTCATAAAAATAAATGACAAAATTTTCTTCACAATTCTCGTCTTCATCATTATCATCTTGATCAGTTTTTTTTATTGTTCTGATGCTTTATTGTTTTATTGTCGATCCTTAATGTTTGTGTCATTATTATTATTATTATTTGTTATTGTTTTGTTTGTATACACAAGTCAAAAGTCAAAGGTTTTTTTAATTTTCTCTTTATTTCACCAGTACTCATATTTTGCCGCTATATTTTGAATTTTTTCCATCATACAGTGCTGCGATCTATGGCTTGAATTTTGATTTTCTAATAAAAATCAACGATTCCATTTGAGTTGAAATAGTGATTTGTATATTGAATGATAGTGGTATGATCCATGTAAATTGTCATTGCCTTTTCTGGATTAAAGCATGCCACTACCCTGATTTTTTGTTTTATCACGTGACCGAATGGTATTTTTTTTCTCATTTCCGATTTTAAAACAGATTGTCATCTATAAATTAGAATCTTGGATCAATATGAATTTTTCCATTGATCCGATTTACAGTTTTCAACAATATTTTTCCATCTGAAATGATGGTAATATAAAAAGGATTACGTACTTTTATTTATGAACAGTGCTGGATTTTTCTGCTCTCTGCTGGTTTGATGTGTGTTTGTATGTGAGTTTTAGCGATCTTTTTTTTTGTTGAAAAAAATTATTCTAATTGTATTCTTGTTAGTAAAGAATTTTTCTTGAAAATTATCTATCAAGTTAAAGAAATCAAGTAAGTAAAAGCTCGTTTCGTTTAATAAGCTATTTAATTTTTGGAAACATGAAGATTCTCCAGGTACAACTCGAATCGGCCGATTTCTGTGCGGACACTGTGTGAAAACTGTACAAGTGGCCAGATTCTGGCTAAACCTGATGACACCAATCGATTTTCAAAGATTCGTTCGCCACAAAAAAACGATTTCGAATTGATTGTCCGAAACAGAATTTTTTGTCAAAAAATTTCGAACACTAGTCGTCCTTAGGTTGGCATAAAATCCATAAAATTTACTTTGAACTTAAGGTAATGCACATGCAAAATTCTTATTTTGTTTTTCATACATTTTGTAATAATTCAGTCTTTTATTAATTAGTTGAATTTCATTAGGAGATTATGCATTCACCATTATCGTCTGATGATGAGCCCGAATCTAAGAAAAAACGTATTGAAATTTCGGTTGAAAATACCAATTTGGATGAAGGGGAAATATCATCACCCCCTTCAGGGTCACAATTGAAATTATCGAAAGTAAATTCTGAAGGTGAAATTGCCTCATTGGATGATGAAGGTGCTAATGGCTGTGATGAAACAACTCATCTACACAACAAGCAAGATACAAATTTATATAACATCGAAAAATTGCATGATAAGGAATCAAATCATCGTAAACCATTGGATCGAACAACGATTCATAAGACTGTTTACTACCATCCAACATCTCGTTCATCACCATTTAATAATCAAGATTTCTATAACAATATAGATAAAAATAATAAGAACAACAGTGATTCGAATTTATTGTCCAAAAATCTTGCCGATGAAATGGATGCCATCAGCGATGAGGATGATGCTGATGATATTAAACCTATTAAAATTGGTGAAAAGAATATTGATGATAAAGAAGTAGAAGACATTTCTGACGGGGAACTCAAAGATGATGATGATGATCGAGGCTTGTTGAATGAGCCGAAAAATAATAATGATCTAAACGAAGCCGAAATCGAAGAAGGTGAATTAGAAGATGATGATGTTGATGAACGTCATGGTATGTCCAATCATAATGATCGACTATCATTGTCAGTTCATTCTTCCAGAGAGATTCATTACGGTTCAACTACCAACCGAAATGTTCATTCGTATGATTCAAAGAAACAACATTCTTCCCATCAAAATTTTTTCGAAAGTTCAAGTTCTCAACGGCTACAGCCGATTGTAACTGGATCACATCATCATCAAAATCGCTATCAAAGGCTGTCATCATCTTCATCTGTTACTTCAGTTTCAACACCCATTACGCCACATCCTGATTCAAATGAATTAAACAATATTCCCGAAAAACAACAAACCAATAATTCACCTAGATCATCTATGATAATTGAAGCGGAAGAGATCTCTCCAGATACTTCGCCAATTCATGATAATGATAATGAAAAACCCAGTCAAAATATTGAAGATGACAATTCATTAACTTCTTTTGATAATGCTGACCTCTTGACATCGAAAAATGATGCTAATCGCCATGGTGTGAATGTCATTGAAGAATTGACTGAAAGAATTTCGGATTCTGAGTCTATCAATGATGATCAAGATTTTTTTATTAAAGAAAACACGACGGTTTTTAATACGATCGATTCTATTGATGATGATCAAGAAGTAATGCTAAGTCATGAAGTTGAAATCTTACCTGATGCAATGGAAGAGGAAAGTCTTCCATCATTCAAAAGTGACCTTGATCTAGATTCAGCCGATTCGAATGAGCGTTTTGATAAGCGTACAACGCCATTGCATAACCGTTTGTTAGAACGTTCACGTAATCCATCACCACCTCCATTATCATCATCAAGTCGATCACGTTCTTCATCACGAATGGTATCTTCGTCTACAGTGGTGGACAATAATGTGACACCCACACATGATGAGATTTCATCATCGGAAGAACTAGATCATGATGATCAACGTCTTAATCGATATGAACCTCATCCAAGTGAAAACAATTATTCGTCTTATAAACGAAAAAAACAAAATTCCGATGATTATTCTAAAAGAGAAGCTGATATGAATGTTTCTATCACACCCCCGCCCCCAACATCCCTGTTATCCAAAGTTACACATTCATCTATACCCTCCAAACAATCTTGTCCCGAAACTTTGATTCGTTCCGGTTCATATCATCGTTCTGATTCATCGAATGATGATAATAATCCGAAAAAATCTATTACATCAACCATTTATCGATCACGATCAAAAACTCCGCCACAATCACCTCCTCTCCCAGGTCTTCTTCCCCTTCCTACTCCTCACCATTCTTTATCCTCCTCAAAAATTCGTTCGACAATCGAACAATCAACAAATAGAAATCATCGGACATTAACATATGAATCAACATCAAATTCATATACGAAAGATTCATATTTCACAACTTCAACAAGTAGCCGTTCGATTCGTGATGGCCGTCGTGAACGACAAATTTCTAGATCGAGGTCTCGATCACCAATCTATGATAACAAATCATCCTCTTCGTCTTCTATTCGTCATTATCAAAGATCATCATCATCACAGCATAGAGACCGTGATCGTTCATCACAGTCATATACTCCTCCGGATTTACCAGTAAAATCTTCATTATCATCATCTACGACAGCGATTCGCAGACTTACTCGTTCACCTTCGGGTAATCATCACCAGTCATCATCATCGGGTCGATCTCATCATCATCATTCAAATTATCCCGTAACATCGGCATATTCTTCATCACATCATCATTCCTCATTCGCATATCGTTCTCCATCACCTGTGGAAAGATCATCAAAGACATCATCATCCAAATATGATCGCCGTGTATCACCACAGTCACGGGATCGATATGATCGTTCTTTAAGTCGCGATTATCGAGCTATATCACCATCATCACAAACTCGATCATCATCTTATCGAGATTATCGTGAAAAAGATCGACGTGATTATCGGGAAAGAGATTATCATCATCATCACAGGTCTTCAGATCGGGACTATCACCATCATTATAAGTCATCGGAACATGAACGAGATCATCGTTCCGAACGAGATTATTATCGTTCAACGTCTGAACGTCAACATAGCCCTTATTCTTCATCCAATACACGTGATCGTAATAATCGATCACCACCATCGCCAACAAATTCTCGTTCGAAAAGTCGATCACCACTTCCATTTTCTATGGGATCATTATCCGGTTCCAGTTATTTACGGCGTACTCGGATGAATATTATGTCCATTGGTGAACGAGATCGTTCATCTAGATCACGATCCCCAAAATCTCCGTCTCTTGATTACAAAAATTACAAGACAGCACCATCAGTTTCGAAATCCAATATTTTGTTGAATGAAACTAAATTTTCATCAAATTCCTTGGCTGCAGAATTAGCTAACAAAATCAAAATGAAAAAACTTCAACCATCCCGTTCGACAGGCAATACATCGAATATTGGAACACCATTGATGAATGATTCATCCAATTCATTAACACCAATTCCAACATCCAGCGTTACACCGGACCAAACACAATCTTTGGATCAACAACAATCGACGACAACAACAACGTTCACGCCAAGCATGCAAAACGGGAGTTTCCAAACAATTCGACAACAGCCGTTACCATCGACATCGGTTTTAGCCACTGGTATACCTGCTGCCACACATTTGTCCAAATTACCATTGCCACAAGTTGAAGATTTGAAAATGAGTAGTTCCTCAACTAAATTAATTTTAGCCGAAAATAATAATATCGAACGGATTCAACCGATTCATCATCCTCAATTTCCATCCAGTACTATCACTTTGAACATAAATGGTCAATTAAAAACATTACCTCGCCCAAGAGTCATTGGCAAATCTACTGAACTGCCAAATCAAAATAGACAAGCATCATCACGTGATATTAAACCTCGTTCGGTCGATGTTTTTCAGATAATCTCACAAATTGGTGAAGGTACCTATGGTCAAGTATATAAAGCCAGAGATACGGATAAATGGTAATATCAAAATGTGTTTGTTAAGTTAATGTTCTAAATTCATTCATATCTGTTGACAGTATTGTGGCTTTGAAAAAAGTTCGACTTGAAAATGAAAAAGAAGGATTTCCGATCACAGCCGTAAGTCTTTTCTTGAAATTTGTGATTTTGTTAGCCTTTTTTATCATTTCTCGTTGTTGTTAGGTTCGAGAAATAAAAATTCTTCGTCAATTAAACCATGAGAATATTGTCAATCTGAAAGAAATCGTCACCGATAAAGAAGATGCTTTGGAATTTAAACGAGACAAAGGTGCTTTTTATTTAGTTTTCGAATATATGGACCACGATTTAATGGGATTATTAGACAGTGGTCTGGTTGTTTTCACTGAAGCTAATATTGCACACGTAATGAAACAATTACTTGATGGACTCAGCTATTGTCATCGAAATAATTTCCTTCATCGTGATATTAAATGTTCGAATATATTAATGAACAATCGTGGCCAGATTAAATTGGCCGATTTTGGTCTAGCACGATTGTTTTCAGCAGAAGATAAAACTCGTCCTTATACAAACAAAGTCATTACATTGTGGTATCGACCTCCTGAGCTATTACTTGGTGAAGAACGATATGGTCCGGCAATCGATGTTTGGAGTTGCGGGTTTGTTTTTTCTTGTTGGATGATATATTCTGGAAAATTCTTATCGTTTATTACAGATGTATTCTAGGTGAAATGTTTCGTGGCAAAACTATATTTCAAGCCAATTCAGAGTTGCTTCAATTGGAAGCAATAAGTAAATACTGTGGCACGCCTACGCCAGCCAATTGGCCATCCGTGAGTGTTCTAGAAAAGAATCGAATTATTTTTTTATGTCATTCTCAAAATTTTAGGTGATAAACTTGCCTTATTGGTCGTCTTTCCGACCCAAAGTGACTTATCCTCGCGTGTTGCGGGAAAAATTTGCAATGTATGTTGATTGATCACGCATAGATTGTTGTTGTAAACCCACAAAATGAATAATTTTCCACAAACAGGATGCCACGGGCTGCTCTTGATCTTTTAGACGCTATGCTTTATTTAGATCCATCCAAACGTATTACCTCAGAAGAGGCATTGAATTGCGAATGGCTGACCAATCAATTCAATATGGCACCACCAATGTAAGTCAATTTCCTAATTTTCTTAGCTCGAAATTTTCTACAATTCCGATTTTAGGTTACCGAAAGATCAAGATTGTCATGAAATGTGGCTGAAACAACGTCGGAAAAAGATGGCTCAGGCACAAGGTTATAGCGGTTAGTGATAGTTTTGTTCCAAACACAAAATTTCAATAATTGATGATGTCTTTGCAGAAGAAATTGAACGAATGTTCACTATCATACAACGACATTCACAACGCATCGTGCATCCAAATCTAACGATGCAGCAATCTTTGCATCATTTGCAATCCATTTTAAATCTAAAGGTTTGATTTTTTCATTCGTTATCGTTGATTGAGACAAGTTATACTTATCAAAGCTTTTATAATTTTCATTTAAATTCAGGATACTGAAGTAAATCATCCAGAAGTGATGAGACATCTTGAAAGTATCATTTCCAGTCTATCTTCAACTGTACGAATGTCATCAACAGCATCTATAGGTCATGATGATTATGAACGATCGCGAATACAGCAGAATCATCATTCTATTCGTCATACGTTATCCCAGTTATTTCAAACTGTACCACACTCTATGATGACAATGATGCCGTCGACAAATTCCTCGTCTAACCCAAACGCTGTTCCATCTTCGCTGATGCCTTGTTGATTGACTGAATGATCAACTAGCAAAGAAAAAAATTTCTATCAAAAATTCTTGAAATGATATCTAAGTGATTTTCATCAGTGATCCTCATAATGTTTGATTCATTTTATTATTGTTCAATATTGCTATCATCTTTATCGTCATCTCTTTATCAATATGTGTACGCCATCGTTTGTACAAAAAAATATTGTATCTATTCACTCCTATCATTGGTTGGTTCCTTATTCTATACATTTTAAAAATTAATTAGCATCATTTTTTCTTTTCTGTCATCTATTAATCTATTATTATGATCATACTACACTAGCATACATAGCTCCAAAAATTATGCCAAGCTTTTATTCGGTGCATTTGCGTTTTTCTTATCGCGAAATTATTTTAAAATATATACCCTAGTTTATTTGGAAATGCATTACCAGTTTGAATGTGTCTAAATCTCTTCTGTCTAGATATTTTCACTTGTTTTCGTATTCTTATATTGTTTTACTTCAATTGTGCATATTCTTCGATAATAATAAGTTTATGAATTTCTTTTGTTTTCACCTGTTTATTATAAATGATGATGATAGACATTTCATTTATGTGGCCGTATTTCTACTTTGTTTACATAGCCCATTTCATATCAAAAGAAAAAAAATGAAAAAAAAAGAATTCGAGTTTAAGGGAAAAGTAATTGGTTTGTTTAAAATTTGCATTTTCATCTTTCAAAATATGGTTATATGGCTGCGAAAATGTTTTTACAGTTAATATCATCGTCATAGTTTGTCTATTATTATTTTTGTTATTCATAATTTAAAGGTATTTTTAAAATAATGATGATGATATTTTTTATAAATAACAGATAAAATTAAATTTTCTGCTTCAGTAGTATTCTCATTCAAAATTTGTTAAATGTCTAGTTTTTTAACAGTTTTTTTGAAATTTATCACAACAAAAATATTTTATTCACTCAAAAAGATGGAGATTCTTTTGCGCGTTATGACCTCGATTTACCGACTGTAGTTTGATGTGTTTGTGGTTAAGGGTTTTTCATCCTTTATGACCGATATATGTTTTCAAATTTTTTTTTATTGCTCTGTACGTTGTTTTTCATATTTGAAATCCAACAATGTGGCCGAAAGATAATAATAACAATAAAATTCCATGAAGTTATGCTACATGTGATGAATAGATACTTGACATTTTTATTTACTGAAAATGCTTTCAGCAGAAAAAACACCAGAAATATTCTCATTGAATTAGCTTCAAGCAATTCAATAATGAATCCAGACATATTTGTTGTTGTATTATTTTTATGCACAAAAAAAGAGCTCAGAATGAAAAATAAAATTTTTTTATCCGGTCCACTAGGTACATTATAATGAATTAACTTTATTTATGATTGTAGATTTTTTCTATTTATTTTTTCTTTTTTTGATTTTCACAATTGCCAGGTATAAACATTGACTGAATGAAACATTTTTTGTTTTTTTTGCCATTATTTTTTCCGGTTCTTATCCTTTTTAGTTGTTTGAATCATTTGGTTTGTTTTTTTGGTAGTTGTTATATGAATTTGGTATCTAACAGAATTTTTTTTAATGAAAGTATGTTTGTTAAAAATTCTCATTGAATTTTTTTCCATCTTTTTTTCTAGTTTCTTTTTGGCACTGGTTACTATCACAACTGATGATGATGGTGATGATTATTATTAACGATCATTTCTAGACCAGTCATTCATGAAAAATTTCATTTTCTATGCTCGTTTTCATTTTAAAAATGTTTTGTTTTCCCTATGGTGTGTGCATTCGCTTCACCTACACTATCATCATTTCTGTTATTGTCATATACGATACGTTCATCGTAATTCATATATTTAATTTTATATGTTATCTTGTTTTTGTTATTTTCATGGACACTATTGACCTTCATTACATTATAAAAGATTCCATAAAATTCTTGCGCGCATTTTGAATGCAAATTTTTTTTGGTCGGAATACTATATCATAGTATAAATTAAATGTATATATGGATGGATTTGAGTGAATATTCTACGAAACCTCGATGTCATTATCCGCTTTGTTAAACATTTAATTAATCTATTCGTTTCATTACATTCATTGATTCTGTACTTCTGGTTTGTTTGGCCCCAATATTTCTCTCTCACTCTCACATGCGTTATATATTTACCAGACCATCATCATTATATGCAATTATTTGACAGATTTGTCGTTAGTCTCGACTTTTTTGCTTAAAATATTTGGAAATTATTTTTTACCATTATTATCATTGTTGTTACCGGTTAGGATGTGTAAACAATTGGCTTTGCCTTCGGTATGTTTGTATAACGATTGAAATCGGTCCAGAATTTTACGTTTCAAATATATTGATTTATTTTTTTCGTATCGAAAGTGATTCAAATGATATTGATTAGCATGAATTTTCATCATTGATTTCATCATTATTTTTCCGTGATTTTAATTTTGACCGGCATACAATTCTGATCTCATGTTTATATTGGTTTATATACACTCTGTTTCGCGGTTCATTTGTTTCCGAATCGGTAATAGATTTTTGGCACTGGTATTTATTTATATTGTCGATTATCTCATCTTCCACCTACATTCATTCAGTTGTACAAACATTATTGACATACCCTGATCTTTTTTTAGATCGATTTGATTTTCATCCTCAAATTCATTGTTTAACGTAAATTCATAGAATTTGAGTTATATAATTGCGAATTATTCATTTATTCTATAGCTAAATTTATCAACGTTTTTTTATATTCGGAAATTTCCATTGTCAGCAATTGTTTGAATTCTTTTCTCTATTTTTCATATCTTCGAATTTTCGAGTTTATTTTTCCCATTTTAAAATGGATTATTTACATTTTGAAAATTCATAGAAAAAAAATCACAATCAATTGTTGATTTTTCCGAAAAGAATCCGTTAATTTTGGTTTCGATAAAATCATCAGAAATTTAAATTTGTTTCATTTAGTTTTTTTTTGAATTTAAACGTGTTTGTTCATTTGGTTGCTATGTTCAAAATATGATATCCAGAATTTTTGTTCCACCATTAATAAATAATTGAATTTTATCTCAAATTTTTCTTTGTCGATTTTGCTTATTGATCTGAAATATTTTTTCAAATTAATTTCTGCAGGATCAAAAAAAAACTCATAATTTCCATTGTAAACCAGCATAGAGGTTCAGAGAAATTCTAAACAATTGTTTTTCATTCACCGATCCAGATTTATGATTTAATGGAAAATTTTCTTTATAATAATTCTTGTGAATTTTAATTAAATCTAATCCTATCATCATCATTATTGGTGTAATTTGATATTCGATCAAACTTTTTAACAGCAAAAAAATGACAGGATTTTGTTTTCTTTCATTTCAACAAAATTCTCTCAAACAATACAACGAAAATATTGTTTCTGATTTCCGTTTTAAAAAATGCACATACGAAAAAATTGATTGATTATTATTATTTTATTGAAAAATTTCTACATCTTTGATTGATCAATATGGATTGACCCGTAATCGGGAATCGAAAAAATTTGATTTATTTTTTTTACCTAATTTTTTCCGTTTGTTTTCAACAGAAAAACCTCCCAATTCTGATGTTATAATGAGAGTTTATTATTGTGAGTATAATAATGCATTCAGTGGAATTTTCATTCAGTTTTTTTAATACTTATCTGGTTTTGTTGTTTGATGTCATATCCATTATTTTTTTTTTTTTATTTTTATTCGTAACATCATCTAATGGTTCTGTTTCTTTCTCAAAGATTCTACGTTGACGTCATCTATGTCAATGTGTACGTGATAAAGTGAAAGCAAAATCATTCATGAAAAATCGAATAGATTTTTTCCGATCGAATCCAGTAGCTATAGCAGCCGTATTACTTGCATTGTTGTCTTCTTTTTGTTCTTGCTTTTTCTCTGTTTGTAATTGACTTTGTCGTCTGAATTGGCGTGTAATTTTTATTCATCCAGTCATTCACTGATTGATGAGTTTGAACTTTTTTTTCACTACCCACGACACAGCCGCATTATATATTGCCGCTGCTGTCCTAGTTGCCATTCGTTGGCAATTACGGTAGAAAAAAATTGTATAATCAGAAATTTGACCTGAAAAAACTTTTCACTCGAATTTTTTTCCATTATTAATTTTCAAAATTTTTATCTTTCCTGAACTTATTCTAGATATATTCTTCAATTAGTGGCTAAACCTGACGACTATATTGGACTACATTTTACTTGGACTATTATGACATTTGGCGAATTGTAAATATGAAAAATCGATTCCACTTCATTTTATTGTAAATGCAATTATCATCATCATTCACAATTATCTAGACAACAAATTTTATATTCATTTTTCACTACGCAATACCTTTGAAAACATCAATTCGATCTGTTTTGTTTTTTTTATGATGCACTTGATGTTCACATATGAGCTTCATTTTCATTCATTGTCTATAAAATCGAATTCACGTTCTGTACAAGATAGTAGTGCAAATTTTTTCCTGTATCATTTTTAGATTTTTCTATTATTATTATATAAATAAATGCATTGTATTACAATTATTTTATTTTATTTATGAATTCTAAATGAATAAAATGTTGAAAATAATAATTCAGTTTGTTTGTTTGATGAATGTTTCATAATTTAAAGTTTAAACAGCAAAAAATTTTGAAATTTGATATACAAATACACAAAAAAACCGATTAAACACCAGCAAATAATGGACTGAATCGATAAAAAAGGTTTTTATTGTCTAAAATAATACAAACACCATTAAGGTGAGTCATAGAATAAAAATGAAAAACAAACTCCAACAACACACACACAGGAAATGGTGGAAAACAAATAGAGGGATAAATATTTTATTTTTATACAATTGCGCGATTGTTTATTTGTTTGTGTAAGAAAAAAAAACACCATAAAATGGAATAAAATTAATGAATATCCAAGAATAGAATCAAAAATTAATAACTTTAAATTTTTGATAGATATAATTACAATAATAATATAACTTGGAGCTGCAAAGTAAATTCATAAATAGATATGAAACACAAATATATCACTTATCACTTAGTCTTATTTATTTACAATACATTAAGAACTATGTATCCAAGCAACTAAAAAAATTAAGAATCATGATATATAGTAAATTATAATCGAAGATCCATATATTGTGACACTTTTCCATATTAACTTTTTGTCGTATAAATTTTGCCCACATAATCATTTTTGAATTCATTGAATTCATTTAAAATTTGATGATTATTTAGTCCATCGGGCATTACTACGAAAAATATTGATATTATTTACCATTTTCTTTGCTTTAATTAATGTGTAGTGAAATACATTTTTGTTATCATTTATAATTATCAAAAAACAACTTGGGAATTATTTCGTTTGTGTGTTTATGGCTCAAATCTCTTATCGAATTCAATACATTAAACTTATTACTATTTCCATTCTTGTGAACTTCACCACACCTGCTAATCAATTTCAAGTATGGCGTCAATGAAGAAATTATAATCATTTGCAATGAAATCTAATCAAAACGATTATCAATCTATAACTATCAAAAGTCTGTGAATAATAAAATTGTTTGAATTGTTATTGTCAATATATCAAAAAATTATTAGATTTCTGTACCTTTATGAGTTGGTTTGATGGTTTTGCACTCATTCTGACATGTTTTGTGTATTTATGTTTATGTTAACTTGCAATAAAATTAATACCCGGCATCGGCCCTATAACTTTAATAATTGAGTTTTTGTTTGTAAAATCGCAGATAACCTGCAGGTATTAATGAAAAAAATGAGGCACTTGAAAAACTTTTTAATTGTTACCAAAAAAAAATTGATTTGACGAAATTGAAAAACTTCTATTTATTTTATCCATAATAACGATGATGATTGACAATAAAGATTGTATTTTCATTTCCTTTTATTGTTAGTTTTATTTTTATTTACATTCTGGTCATTTTCGGAAAGGAAAGAATATGGCAAAAAAAGAATAAAGTTTGGCTTGAACATATTATATATGAAAAGAGGTGTGTGTTTTCTAAATTGTTTAAACCTCGGAAAACCGTTGGTTTTCCGTTTCTGGTTGTCCATAGGAAATGTTGACTCAGCACACGGTTGCCATTCTGACTTTTAGCCTCTGGTCCAGTAACAAGTTGAGCAAACCAGGCCAGTCATCGCATCGGCCCTCGAGAAAGACAAGATCGAAGCTCATCACGCGAACCAAAAAGTGGTATACAAAGGATCGGCCAATCACAAGCGCGGAATCTTATGACCACAACAATCGACTGGGACTACAAAAGACCAAAGTAGTGAGCGGATGATCAACCAACCACCGGTAACAATTTTGGCGGTAAAAGCTTAGATCCTTGGCCATCAACAAGTATAAATGATGGACCTCATTCAACTGCCAACACAGATCACGGTCTCTAAAAGTTTTTTTATACGACTGTTTTTCCATCAATCAAAACCAATCAAGTCTTGGTATTGAACGTATTGAAGTTGTTAGGCCAATCAATGTCCATTTCCCTCTATCATCATCATTTCCGTTTACCTATATCCTTGTATTAGTTATGATTTAGTTTGTATTCTGCTTTATTATCGTTTTTATTCATCAAATAAAATCTCCTCATTTTAATAACGTGAAAACGAAAAGCTTTTGTGTTTCTGTAGTATGCATGAAACATTCGATCGGAAACGTGGTTAACATCCACAATTATCACAACCGCCTAACAATCTTCATCAAAGTGCTGTTCGGTGCTATACATAACACATATATCAAACAATAAAGAGAAAAAGAATGATTTTACATCGAAAACAATGCCGGTTCTGGTATTGTAAGTGTGTGTGTGTGTGTGTGTGTGTGTGTGTGTGTGTGAGTACAGCCAAGAAAGCTGAATTTCGTAACTGCAATCTCAATCGATTCATTTGTGTTCCATCATAGGTAGGAGTGATATGTAGATAGGTGTGTGAGTTTTAAATGGATGAATTGATGAGTAATAAGATGCATGATCAAAACGTAACACCATTAGCTATTTATATATGAAATATGAAATTATAATGATGATGATGGTGATAAAAGAACATCTTTATGATTATGAATTGTCATTATTAATAATGATGATATTTTTCAACTGGGATTTTTTCTGATATTCAGTTGGTTGAACTTTTTCTCATTGAATTGGATAAATATTTGATGTAATGAATGTATGAATTGAATGAATGAGGAACTTTTCTTTAATTATATGATTAAGTATATATGTGTTTGTATGAAATTGTGTGTGTGTGTGTGCATTGGTAAATAAAATTATCATTATCAGATTAGTTTTGTTTTCATTTATTTATCAATGTCTCGAAGCAAAATGGCAAAAAAGTATGTTTGATTTATAACTAAGTTGTCAATTAAAAATGAGTAGGTGTGTCAATAGGTTGATTTGATGAAATCAAGTTCATCGGTGTATGATTGTTTTCGAATTGAAATTGTGGTTGAAAACTAGATACAAATGAGGAAACCGAAAAATCAGACTTTTTTATGAACCAGTTGTCACATTTAAATGTAGAATAAATACGATGATAATCGTACTACAGCAATCATTATTCAGAATGACGTCAATTAATTAGATTTACCGATGGTTTTACAGGCTTTTCATGCCAAAATCCGGGTAACAACATTCTTGACGATGATGGCAATGATGATGATGATGATGATGATAATGATGAAGAGATAGAGGATGAAGGCAATGACAATAACATTGATTCAGCATTCTGTTTTAATCGATTTTGATTTTTTGATCGTTGTTGCCCGATGCCGCCATTATATGATTCCTCATTACCATATCTTGATGGTGATGAAATTTTCAGTCCTTGTTTTCCATTACGAAGATTATAGCCATTTAGATAACGATCGCGTAACTGTTGTCGATTTAAGCGTTGACTTTTTACAAGATTTGTACGATTTGGTAGAGGAAAAAAATCTTCGAAAAATTCACCAAAAAATCCAACCGTTTCAGCTGCTGGCTGTAATTGTGATTGTGAACCACGACGTGCCGAACTAGGACTATTATGTACGATACCAAATGGTGAAACGGTTTCCGCTTCTGTTGTTTCCAGCGGTTTATTTTGATTGACAACATTGGAATTTTTATCATCGATAATTTCCGATGTCATTGTCGTCGTCTCTGTCAATGATTTTATTTGTCCAACTCCACTATCATCATGTTCCTTACTATTTGATGGTTCAATTTTGGTAATATAAACTTGTTTCTCTTTTGGTATGTCAACCAACATTTTACGTAATATTTCTTGATCATTATCATCTTCATTATCGATGATACCAACATTAGTATCATCCTCAATTTCTCTTTCAGTTGAAATATCATTATTATTATTCACATTTATTGTAGATGTAACTTTGTTTTTGTCACGAAAATAATTGTTGTTGGATAATTCATCGAGTAATACCAATTGTTTAATGGACCATAAGAAACGCAGTTCTTCACATGTTGGTTCTTTTGAGCCCTTATTCTGTTGTTGTTGATGTTGATAAAAATATCTCAATGGATTGATACTCATACTATGTGACGGAGAATACAATGACAATGACGCTTCTGCTTTTGCTTTGGCTAACAAATGACGAAGTTTATCCAGACGATTATTCTTGATTCCAAGATTATTTTTGTTTCGTTGCAATGATGAATGATAATAATTGAAATCATTATTGCTGAATGGATCGGATTGTTGTTTGTTTGACGATCCAAATAATAGCCGTTGTCTGAGAGCAGCATTAGAGAATGTCATTGGTAATGATGATGTATGAGATGATGGTATTGGTGGTGAATGTGCCAATGATGAAAGTGGCCATGTCATTGCCATGAAGACCATCAATAAAATCCAAGTCATTCTTATAATTATTGATACGGTTATTATCGACTTTGGCGACAATGTTATCCGATGATGATGATTCGAACGATAATAATCTTGTTGTAATGACTTTAAATCATTTGTTTTGGACATTGACAATTTCAAACAATTCAAAGGATTTTCTTCTATTGTTGTCATCACCATTATTATCTGATAAAAAGATTATTTGATTATTGAGAAAAAAATTCCATCACTATTGATATGTAAAACATGACTGATGATGACAATGAGCGATGTAATTTCAAATGAGTATTATTATTTTAATCCAACAAATTTGTTTTGTCCACTCACAGAATTGATATGTAAATTTTTCTACTTATAGAATTGGATGATTACTTATGTATGTTTGTGAATGGCAGATGAACCTGTGATGTAAAAAAAATGAAAAAAAATTGATTCAAGAAAAAAATGAGAATTCATTCAATAGAAAATATAAAATTAATTTTTTTAATTTTATGATTATTTGGTTGGTTTATGTCATTCAAATGGGGTGTTTGTTATTCAATATTGCTGTCATTGTTGTTGCTAGTGTTAGATAAAAGTTGAAACGGCTTATATGCTATGCCGGATGTTGGTGCCCGAGAATGATGTCGGCTATTATTATTAATAAATGATGCAATTTTAGATTTAAATCCATCGTCAGCACCACTCATTTCTTGTTGATAATAATCGGGAGGATCTTGAATTTTCCTCGGAATACCAATTGATCTGCTATTGTCATCATCACAATCGTCATTTTGATCTGTTTGTTGGCTAGAATAATTTTGAATTTTTGATCGTTCTTTTGCCTTTCTTGTGGCCATAAGTGTACGACTTTTTGTTGATAGTGATGATTGTACCAATGAATCATCACTATTTTTTGTACGTTTCATTTTCTTTGTTTGCACTGTTTCCATTGATGGACGTTTATTCATACTAATATTGTATGATGGACCCATATTCGAACATGCAGACATTAAATGAGAAAATTTTGGCTCAAATGAAGCTGTGGACATTGATTGGAATGGATTTGATTGTTGCTGTTGTTCCAATGTGGATAGTAAATTTATTTTGTTATTATTGCAACGATTTGTCCATTTTGTCATCGATGCTGATGATAATGATGTGTTGGAAAACATTCCCTGTTTTGAAAATAATCGTTTCGGTTGTTTCCGTTGAAATACATGCTGATCCATCAATTGTACTTCATTAGGCGCTGCTAATATAGCCATAGATGCTAATTCTATTTTTTCCGCTTCTTGTAAATTGGCTAATATTGATTTCGGTATGTAATGTTCGTACACAATATTGGTTGTCTTGGCTTTTTTCTGCAAGTTGCCAGTTAATTTCGATTGGTTTCTGTTTGAATTGAGATTTATAATCACTGCCTTACTATGTTCTTCATTATTCAATTGAATAGGTGATTTAAGTATCATATCTTCTCCCACATTTGAATTCGAGCGGAATGAACATTGTATGATCCCTAAAAATACGATGATCATCATAAAGCCAACCAGAACGATAAAAATTGGAATCATTTAGAGCTATAGAACAAGTTTCAATAACCGCTAAAAAAAATGTTAACATTCAACAGTATTTTCGATAGGCCGGCTTTTTATATTCTGAATTTGTGTCTTTTATGTTTTCATATTTTGCATAAAAAAATTAGAATTCAAGCAAATTGTTATTTGTGTGTCACACAGTTTGTTTTATTCAATTTTCATTGTCACGCAAATTGAATCGAATTTTTTATTTTAGCAACAATCAACATAAAGAAAAATTCCTTTCATGTGGACTTTGTTTTCAGCCCAACAATGACGTCCATGAATTTGTGACTTGTTGTATCTGTTTAATTCAAGTATAAATCAATAATATATAATTTAATAGATAATTTGATATTCTATGTCACTATTGATTTAACTATCTAACGTTTACATGTGTAGGAAAGTGTTTAAATATTTGAAAAGATATTTTGAACAAAAGACAGAAAACAAATAGCAAAACAAAATAATGAATTTTAATTTTAATGTACATATTTGCCCTGTTCGAAGGTGTTGAACAATCAATAATTTTTCTATTATGTGCATTTCAATCCAAGCAGAAACATAACGGTGAAATTTTTTATCTTACTTTTTTTGATGAATGATTAATTTTGACAATTTACTGTTCTGATGAAATGTTTGTTTTATGGAGGGATGATTGTTGGGCAACGCCAATGACCGAAAATCAAAAATAGATTACAATTTTCATCAGAATTATCTTGATATGATTTGAGATTTCATTTCTTGTTAATAACCAATTTTCATCGTTATTCTCAGAATGATCAATATTCTAAAGCCAGAAAAAATTGTACCAACGACGATATAATTTGTAATATCTGGATTGTTCTTGATTTTTTTCAAAGAAAAATTTTTGTTGCAACCAAAGAACAAATTTTTGGCGCAATTAGCTGGGTCCTTATAAGTCAAAAACCGATTCTCATTAAATATTAAGAATAGGATGATCAATAACAGATCGAGTTAATTACAGAATTTTAATGTAGGTGGTTTTTTTTATACTCATCACAACTCTTTCTAACTTACTCTTTTTTACTTTATTATTTGATTTAGTTTTTATTTAAAAATTTTGAAAATATTCTTCTTCGAAACACAAAAAAAAACTTACTTCAAAATTTTTCTCTCTTGTTTTTTTTCAGATTTGAATCCAAAATAAAAGATGTTCGACAATGAAAAGAATAAGAAAATTTCACAAGAATTTTTAATTCAAAACACACTTTCAAATTCTCACAATATGAATCCTTCAAGTCCTCGTATTTATTATAGAATATATTGTACCGGAACTAAATCAAAAATGAAACTGAAGTTTTTTTTAGTTCAAATAATCTACAGATGGTTGATTTAAATAAAGCAAGTTTAGTCGTACAAAATAATGTTTATGTACAAAACTCAACAGCTGGATTTGAAAAAATTTATCAAAATTTTATAACAAAGAGATAAAAATTTTTCGCTTAAAGATTCAAATTCTTGATGACAAAAAACAGAGAGAAAAAACGATGATGATCCTTGTTGATCGTCAAGCAAACACTTACTAACTGAAAGTTTTTTTATTTTCACCAGAATTTGGTCACCGTTTTTTTTATAACCATGCTGACACGCGCCTGTCTGTACACTGCAATGAAGCCTTTTTACGCTCTCATTCTCATTTTTATTGTATTGGTTTTGTTTTAGGGCGTCGTACATCCCAGTAGTCTAGTATATCTCGTATATAACTTATTAGTTAGACTTGCGTAAGAGATTTATCAACAGAAAAAAATTGTTCAGACTGGATAATGCCGATAAGAAAAAAAATCGAAGAAAAAAAATGAATGAATCTGAATACTATTTAATACGATTTATTTGTGATGTACTTTCATAATGGATTATTTTTCTGTTTTTTTTAATTTTGATTCTTCATTGATGATACATACAATTATATCATTTTTGTCATCATCATCATCATCATCATTGTTGTTGTTGTTTGCATCGAAATCCGAATGTAACAAAAATGAACCATCCTTTATTCGAGCTCCACCTCTTTTTATCCCGAAAAAAGATCTTGGCCTAAAAAAAAGATGTTACCCATATATAATAACAATATTTCATAAAATTCTAAGATTTCACCATAATATGGTACAATATATATATCAATTTTTATCGCTTCAGGCCGTCAATTGTTAACATAAATCCAAATAATGACACATAATATCATAATGGGCCAAATGGAAAAATGATTTATATGTATATCAGTGTAGATAAAATGGCATAGAAACAAATAAAAAAAAATTCAAGCCAGTTTGTCAAAAAAAAATCTGTCTGCTTCACATATAAAAATATGTAGTTTTTTTGTTGGAACTTTTTCTAATTTTTTTTCTGGTCTTGATATTTATTATAATAAAAAAAGAAGCGAATATATCAAATAGCATGAAAACAGTATAAAACAACAATGAGAACTTTATGACAATTTGATTATTGGCCATGATACATGACGTTTGATTTGAAAATTACTTTGGCTTAGCCTTAAATTAATGCCATCATCTTCAGAATATTTTTTTCCATTCTTAAATATATCTGATTTTGTTCAAATTTTGATTGTCTTCATATTCATTTAGTCATTATTCCAACATTGATTCATACTGATTTATCCGATTTACATGAATATTGTTCAGTACATTTATGAGAAAAAAAATCGAATCTATTTATAACCATCAATAAATCGACCCGCCAATATAATGTAAATGAGATTCATGTTTTTATCGTTAAAAAAAACCTTATTATCATCATTATTTATGGACTAACATCATCAACATTTATCATTGAGATAATCGAAAGACAACGACCCCCAAAAATAGGAAACAAAAATTCATGCACCTCATTCATTAATTAATGTTCATGTTACACCTTTGCTTTGTTTTCTTTCAATATTTTTCTTTATTTTTTTTTTTTTTTGGTACTAAATATTACCGGAAATGTTTTTTTTATGATTGATTGAGGTTATTTTCATCGATAACAGGAGAAAAAATGAATTCCAAGATGAGTTATACGTATTTATTATGGCCCGTTTTTGCATGAAAAATGCAAAAAAAAAAAATAAGTAAAATTCGAAAATTAGTTCGAAGAATCATAGAATTAAAATTTTTTTTTGGTAAAATGGAATCTAAAAGTCCAAGAAGATCGAAAAGATGGCTTTGCCTCAATACATTTTTTTCGTTTCTCTTTCACAATCTTTTCAAATTCTTACTTGTTCTTGAGAATGGTCGAAAAATGAGATAGAAAAAAATGCACATCTTTTTCGTACGTAATTGTTATTTTTGTTATTTTGAACAAAAAAAAATATGAATGAATTTGACAACCAGTTTAGAATTCAAAAAAAAAAACAATTCAATATTAGTACACACCGTCTTGGAGAAAATAAAAAAGGCGTTTTTTCTTGGCTTGAATATTTGATAACTATAAAATGTGACAAAAATTTTCTTTTTTTTATTTGTATCAGTGTTGAAATACAAAAATACAAAAATTTTTATTCGTTGTTTGTGTTGTATATTTATTTTCTTTCAAGTTTTCCATTTGTTTGTTGTTTCTGTGTAAGTGAAATGTTGCAGCTGTTGGTTACAAGCAACTGAGTAATGATCATGATGATGATCACCATCATAATCAGATCAATGACTAAAAATAGAAATGGCGATAAAATCACAACAAATACATTGTTGTTCAGATATATTTCACGAAATGACAACAAAATAACAACAACGGTGACACAACTGGAAATAGAAACATTTTTTTAGTCTTGTTTATTTGAACCATAAATTTGATGATGATGAAAATGATATTTGTTTTCAATCGTTTTCAAAATGGCCTATACGTTGCCATAAACATAGATAGAATGGTATTAATGAATGTAGATAGATATGTCTATTCACAAATGGCTGATATTTGGCAATACTAATAGTGATGATTATTATTCAACGTTCACGTATATTACGTATAGTATCGATATTTGTACTCATCAATGAAGTTATTAATAAAAATGTTGAAAATATAATGATGTTGACGAGACCAATTCCGGTCGTCCTTATCATCGATATTGGTAATGATTTTTTTTTTTTTTTTGGAATGATGATGATCTTGACTCATTATCCATGTTAGGACAGGAAAGAAATCAACATAGGGACTATATATAAATACAAAAACACAAAATGTCAGTTACTCATTGACAGAAAAAATTTAAAATTTTATGTCTCTTTTTTCTCAATTTCGTAATCGGAATTTTTTTTTTTTGACTAGTTTTCCGATTGTTTAATACAATTTTAGCAGAAAAATTCCAAATTATTGTTTGATTGCCCTAAAGGCTTAGACAACAATAACGATGATGACGTTGATTCTTGTATTATTTTCAAGTGGAATACAAATTTTTAGGTAATTAAATCTCAGTACCTATTCTGTTGGATTCTTAACAAGATCCACTTGAACATTTAATTTTTCCGTTTCAATATTTTCTCCATTTTTTTTATTCGACCATTTTCTCTCTGCATATATGATGGCCATCGCAGCCATTACTTATGTGAATTTTTTTTTCTTTCAATGCAATAAAAATAAATTGAACATGAATGATGTATTGATCAATTTTTCAACTCGTAAACATTGGTTTTATCATGAACATGAAATAAAATGAATGACAAACACGATTTTTTTCACACATTCTTTCCGGTTGATATATATGTTTTGACAAGTTTATGGTGTATTGAAAAGAAAAACTTTTACATCCTCTGTCGATATATTGGATATAATACATTTTTTATATTTCAAAAAACATTTTCATTATAAATTCGACATCTTATAGCCAATATGTTATTTGTCATTTTTTTTCCAAGTACATTTTGATTATTGATTCGGGTTGTTTACCCAGGTTTTTGATAAATGATTCTAATCACTTATAAATTCTATTATCATTAAAGATTCCTGTATGTGAATGTTTTCAAACATAATCAAACCTTTGATATTTGTTTTGCGATCATATGATCGATGTTTTAATAAAGATGGATAGAGAATTATGATGGATAAATGATAATATGATACATTCACGAATTGATTTTTCGTAGATTTCTTCCATTTTTTTTATGTTAAATTTGATTTTTAGTGATGATAAGTTGTGACACACACACACACACACACACACCAAACACCAAATCGAAAACAATGTAGTTATGTACAAGAGATGTAATCAGAATAATTTAGCCATCTAATAACAACACGAAAATGATAGGAAAAAAACGATGTTGACGTTGAAGAGCGAACAAAACAAAAAAATCTGTCATTTGATAGCGGTCGATTTTCTTTGTTTTTGATGAATATTTAATTGCATTCGCATGCAATATCGTATAGGTTTCAGATGCTTTTTTTTCTGTGTGAATACTCGAATATTTGATTAGATTTTTTTTTTTTTTTTTTTTTTGGTTCTGATTCGAGTAGTATTTATGTTTTTTAATGATTATGATTTCCGATTGTATTTTATTGTTGATATGATTTGTGAAAAAAAGGAATTTTTGCAAAGAATTTCGATATTTAAGTATATATTTTTTTTTGTGATCACCATTGATTTCCTTTGTGAAATGGAAATTTATTCAAACATCTTGCAAAATATTTGAAATTCTAAACCAATTATACATTTGGAACATTCATTTTCACCATCATTATGACCTAATATCTATTTTGGTTTGATGCAGATGATGGAATTTTTTTTCACTTTTTCTCTATTTATTTTTCCTTTTTTTAAAAAATCAATTTAGAAATTGGAAGTTTAAAAATGAATTTTTTCCTTTCAATAGAGAATATCAAATAACTTTGCTTTTTATTAATCGAAGATACGGATCATTGCCTCTAAATATTCAATGCAGATTGACAGGGGGGGAAAAACGATGTATTTCTGGGACAGATTTTTTTTCCTCAAATATATGTCAGACTAATATCGAAAAATATTTTATTTTATTATGTTATATTGAAAATAAATATTTCGAATATCAACAAAATTGGTCTATCCGAAGTAGAAAAAAAAATGTTAAATATTCTTCATATACAAATTAGTATATTCACTTAAGTAAGTAGAAATCAATTTCATAAGAATTTAAAATTCTTTGAAAAAATTCTCGGAAAAAAACCTTCTTTCTCGAAGATTTCTTCTTTGGCCACTTCATTAACATTTTGTCTTTATTGCCAAATCCGATCCAGAATAAACAAACGAACAAAAAAAAATAATAATGATCGTACGAAGACATAAGTCAAAAATAACATTCAGATAATCTAAAAAATTTTTATGAATGCTGTAAACACAAAAACTGAATCGAAAAAAATATATATAAAATAATAAGGCGATTTGATTAATTTGAATCGGAAATTGTGTTTTTTTTTCTCCATTGTTTATAGGTCGTCTCTAAGTTAAACTCTATTCTGTAGAAGTGGTTGGATTGAAAGCTGAAATGATGTAGTAAATAAGAAGATTTACTATAGTTGCTTGCTATAGTTTTTTCTTGTTCGAAATGTTATCAACAATGGTTCCATGAATAGAACACATTTTCCTCTCCGTTCATCAATCTATTTTTCCATGTAAGATCTTTAACAATATATATTATGATGATGGTGATGATGATGGAAATAATTATGATTCTCCAAGTGATCTAATCCGATCCAAATCGGTTTTGAATCATTGTTATAATTCAATTTCATTCCTATTGCGCCATCTATGAATCAGGAATCAAAATCAAATCGGAAAGAATATTCTTTTAATAAAAAATTGATTTTAATTCACAATTTCGTTCAAATCTTTGAATCATTTCAAAATTCAAGACCATTTTGGCATTGACTATGTCAACTAATTTCCGAAGATAGTTCAATGTGACCATTAATTTACCATCAATTATAATTGGAACTTCAAGGTTCAGAGTATTACGCACAGCTACGGTTAGATGGCCACTATTGGCGATCATTAATCCTGAATTACGTTGACCAGAATCAATACTACAATGTAATAATTGTCGTGCTGCATCCAATGTTCGACAACGTAGATGAAGAATGAATGATTCAAATTTCAAAGTTGAAGTTTCATTACAACTCATATTTTGGGAATGATCGACAATTTTCTGAACGAATTCTTCAACATCATTTATTAATGAATGTGTTACAAATTGCCATTGAAGACCTTTCTTCTTTTTCTCATTTATAGATTCAATATTATCGCTAGGCTTCGTTACTACAATAATTCGACCTGAACATGAACTAGTTGTATAAAAATTTGAGGATTTATTCAAATTTATTACCAGCGATTCAATTGACTCATCGATGGAACCTTTTTTCGATAGATCCAAACGCGATAATGCTTGTCGTCGTTCTGTATCAAATTGTTTTGGTGTTCGCGAATATTTCTGTTGATAATTGAGTTCTTCATTATCAGTATAATCATCATTCGCAGATGATTTTATAGGAATCAGATTACATGCCATGTGATTCAGTGAATTATGATTGAATAAACAATTCCGTTACGTCATTTATGAGCTGAATGCAAGAATATATTATTTTCGATGCATGCGCTTTTGTATGAATGTAATTAACTTTGAGTTTTTTTAGCCATACCACCTAAAAGAGTAGTGGTTTAGTTCTTTTCGATTTTTTCTTCCATTTCATTTCATGGCAAAATTACATTCCAATGAATAAACTGTTGCGCCCAACACTGCTACCACAACGACACCGATACTATCATTTCGTACTCGACCACCACAATCATTATTATCATCGTCAAGAAACATTTGCGATTATAATGATGGTGTAGCAATACCATGACCATCATTTTCTCTTAAAAAAATGGTACAGGTGGTAGTATAAAAGCAATGAACATTTCAATCTTTGTCTTAAAAAAAAAGAAAAAACTAAGTAATTGAAGAAACCAGTCCATCCTATTCAACCTTTTATATTTCGTAAAAGCAGAACAGCACATCGATTACCTGTATATACCACTAGGTTACTTCAAGCCGCCGACCTGTAAAGAAAAGGTAAGTTCATTATATTGATAAAATAACAATAGCTATAGTTCAAGTATTAAAACATTCAATCCAAGTGACCAAATGATGATAAGGGACCCTATTGACATAACATTTGTATGTGTGTATCATGGTTGCAGGTAACCAAAGCAACCATACAAACATTTCTGCTCATTGAAATTTAGCTCGAGTTAAACTATATGCCAATACAAAATATAAGAAGTCAGCCAACTTGTTTGTGTGTCTTAGGTCTTTTGCTAAAATCAAAGAAGTTTATTATTTCGGATTGTCATTCAACAAAATTCTATTGTCGTTACTGTTTTTCCGCAAATCAACCATTTCAAGGTTTTTATCATTTTTGAATTATTCTATAATATTTTTGATTCAGTTTTATATACTTTTTTTTAAATTTAATTTAGTTATACTCATTTTTTTCGTACGTAAAAAGCCAAGATTCTTTTCATGTCTGAATTGAAGATTTTATATTTCATATTATCAACAATTTGTAATTGAATGAAGGAATTCACATCATTATACAAGTATTGTTCGATATTTTCATCTATCATTCAGTACTCAAAGATTTTTGATTTATTTGCTTAAAATAATCATCGATCGGAATTGAATTTAGATTAGGATTTGATTTTGCAATTGCACTATATTAAAATCTTGTTGTCGTCATCAATTCATCAAAATCCAATCCAATTCTCTTTAAGTGCTTATCATATCGTTTGAGTATTGGTTTTTTTTCTGTTAGACTTTCTTGGTATCTATTTGTTAAATGCTACCACATGCAGTCCTATATACATCTATTGATCGATTTTTTTTGCATTTCCTTTTTTATGTTTAGTTAATAAGAAAAAAAAAAATTTCATCCTATGAATCCCAATTTCATTTCATTCATTTTAATTTTCATTTTAAATGTGTTGTTTTAATTTGTCTATTATTTCAATGTGGTAAGTCCATCCATTATTATAATTTGTTTCGATGTTAAAAAACTAATGCAATTTTCAATAGAAACGACCACTTGTTCACGCTGATTGATTTGCTCCCATTTATGAATAAGGCCATACGAGCAAAAAGAATTCATATCAAAATAATCTCAACTTTTACAACATCATTATTATTATAATCAATAAGATACATTTGTACGAATATAATAAGAAAATTAAAATTCATTCATCAAATGTAAGTATTTATTTATTACTCGTTTCGTTGAAAATATATACATTACCTTACTTTGCCATTTGAGATTCATAAATATCATTTACATTTGTTCAAATTATCATCCGGATTCATGTTAAATATTAATGATTCACTGTCTTTGTGTGAAGGAGTTTTGTGATTTATTTTTATACTTTTTTTTTGATAAGGCATCTATCTCTAAATGTATGTGTTTTAGTTGAATGAACTTGAAAGTTTTCATATTATTTGGAATAATAATCATATATATCATTATCCAGAACCCAAGAGTCTTTATATTTCAGCAATCAAATAAAATCTTTTTATATTTCATCATTATTAAAAATCTCACATTTTCAAACATACACACACGTATTTTACCAATAATGTATTATGCTTGTTTAACATTCTAGATTTTTTTTTCTATTCTTGATACTCTCGGGGATAGTTTAGAAGAGAAAAAAATTCTTATCAATATGAACGAAGAAGGAATCACATTGGCGTTTGCTTCGAATATCACGAGCTTTTTTTCTTGACTCTTATGCTTCTGGCTTTGATTTCTCACTCATTTTTTTTACTTATGATGATAATGTTTGTTTGCTTGAAATGTCGGTAATTCGATCACATTGCTATTGATATTGTTTTGATCCGGTTAAAGAAATTATTTTCAAATGGATTTGTTTCTTTTTTTTATCACACAAATAAAAACGCAATTTTTTAATGAGAATCGATTTCTCCATCATCATCGTATTCATTTTCAAAATTGACGATTGCCCTAGTATCAATTTTTCCTTGAAATTTTCTTTCTCTTTTCACTTCTTGTAGTTCTTGGTATTGTAATTTTTTTTTTTATTTTCTGCCATTGTATTTGTCTGAATTTGTTAAAAGTATCCAGCTTTCATAATCCTATTTAAACAGTTTGAAAGGTTGAAGCAATCGAAATACTGACCACTTAAATTTGATTTTTTTCTTTTCAATGTTTGCCACTTTTATCTGATGTATTTTTCTCTTGTCACAATGGTAATTGTGGATATGTGTGTCTGTATGTTTTTAAGTGATTGCCATTTAAATACCCAGCATTTGAAAACAATCATTTGACAAATTGTTTCAACATTTTCATTGTTGTTGATGATGATGATGATGAAAACAGCTACCGCCATCGACCTTAATCGATCAAATTTTGTGAAGATAAATAAATAATACTCGATGCTTAATCGAGAATTTTTTACCTATCATCGAAAATTTTTCCCCATTTATTCATCCATCAATGATTATATTATGCATTTTTTTGTGTCAGAAAAAAAATTGACAGATTTTGAACTTTCAATTCGAATCGACAATACTATAAAAAGATCATCTTTCATATTCATAAAGAAATAGCTTTTCACGTGTGGTACATTAAATGATTAATCAATCGAACGTTTCAAATTTCGAATAGGTTCGGTAGCCCCTGTGTGAATAGCATCTTCAATCAATCATTGAATCAAATTTGAAAGAGACTTTTTTATTATCATGTTTTTGATGTTTATTATCATCATCGATTAACGATTGTCCACTTTTCACCCTATTGATTAATCGTGATTGGTTATTTGAAACTTGTTGATGAACAAAAAGAAATATGAATTCAAATTGAACTTCTTCATTTTTATTTTTATTTCCTTGAAATTTCAAGCTTTTATAACAAATTGGTTATACTAAATCACAATAGTTGAGCTTAAAAAATAAAATATAAAAAAAATCTTTTCCTTTTTACTTTTTATTGATCAAATATTGTCATCTACCTGAATCATCGTTGTTGAAGGAAATATTTGTCTGTATTTGTTGTCATTTTTTGTCCGTTTTTGTCATCATTATGAGTTTTATCAAGATTGTTTTGTTTAGTTTGTTTTTTATTCTTGGGTTTAGGTGAGGTTTTTCTTTCCTTGTGTAAATATATATTGAGTGTGTAATAATAATGTAAGAAAAAGACTGGTTCAAGTGTGAGAAAAATGTCATCATTCATTCATTATCTTGATGATGATGATGAGACGACATCTTTCTAATTATCATTAAGCTTATGAGTCGTCATTGTCATATGGTTAGATTGAATTTCACATTCAGAAAAATAACTTTTTTCGATTGTTGTTGAATATAAGCTGTGTATTAAAAGAAACGATTTAGTTATTGAAAGCTTTGATGATACAAAAACCCTTACTATTTTTTTTTTTTTTTTAATGTTGGATGATTAAGAATTTTTTATTTTTTTTCAATTGCATTTGTATGGTGACATTTCATATGTACCGTGCGGCTGCAAATTTTATTTTTCTAGTTATTTTAATGATTTGATAGCTTGGTTCGTTGCCCTTTATATTCACGAAATTTAATCTTTCTTGATTTTCATATCAAAATATTCAATTTTTTTTTCGTACAAATATATTGCATAGCAGTAACGAAAACAGCTAGTCAGATGATTTTTTCTTTCTTATATCCAGTATACAATTATCATCGAAATGATTTGAAATATTGATTGGATGGATGGATTTCGATTTGTTGTTAAACGGCGACTAAATATATAAATTTATTGATGTACGAAAAAAATATCGATTCATTTTATATTATAAATAGAAATAGAAAATTGAATTACGATACCGATAACATACCGAGAGAGGTAGAAAGAAAAAAAAAGTTATGATATCCATCTATTATATCGATAATGATTGTTGTATTTTATATATGATTAGATTTAGAGAATGGCATATTTTTGTCTATTTTTCTTTGACAAGCTTGATGTTTTGAATTTTATTTGGATGCTACTGTTCATTTTTCATGTATCACACGATATTATTTATCATAATCAACAACCATATTAGTAAAGTAATGATTTTTTCGCTTCATTCCATATTATTTAAATCATATTTTTTACTTTCAAATATTTTTCTATTAATATCTATATGTGTGTGTGTGTGTGTGTGGGTGGGTGGGCGATTTGTTTACACATATATCACACTTGTACATGTGTCAATATATGTAAGCTTTTTCATTGAAAAGATGCATTGTTTGTTCATGATGATAGAAAAACATTTTGGTTATTTTCATCCATTTCCGTAAATACACCTGATTTTCATGCCATTTAAGCTTTATCCTTAATCGAGAGATGTATTTTTAACGTAAATTAAACGTTTTTTTTCGTGAATTTTTTTCAATATGTTTTGTTATTAATATTAGTTGATGATGAATCAAAATATATTGTTCATTCTATTGTCTATGCTATGTTTTTAAGTTTTTTACTAAAAATCTTTGATTTTGTCCATTTTCATCATAATCGTCATAGAAGTTATATTCGCATGCGTATCCTCCATTTCTATCATTGTTATTGACGCACATTCCATGATTGTGTGGGAATGTATTTTCATTTACCGGTTCGTCATTGTATAAGTAAGTAGCTACATCCAATCATACATACAAGACAAATGACTTTTGCTTAGATTGTAGATCCATTCATTCATCCATCTATTTCATTTCGATTTGACTTATACATCCATCCTTATGAACTTTCATTCATTTTTATGATGAAAGTCAATTGAAAGAAATGTATTTTTTAAATTACAAATACTTTCCCATTTCAGATCTCCCTCGGTGTGTCTGCTGTGTATGTTTGTGTTTGAAAAAGTGCTTTTTTCTTTTTCATTCTGTCGTTCATTCGCTATGTTGTTTCCACCGTTGTAGTTATTCATCATCTGCATGGTTCTTTTTTATCTTTATTTTTTTTAATTTATTATCATTTTTACAATAATTTGAATTTGTGATACATTGATGATTAAACATTTTGAATATTATTTCGCAAAGCCAAAAATTTTATCCGTGGCTTCATTGCAATTTTTTAAAATTTAATTTAATGTGATATGTGATGACAAATTATCATTCAAATTTTATGTTTAGTTAATCGTGTGTGTCGTGATCTATCCTGTTAAAATTTATTGGTTACTCTTTCTTTATAATCATTTTTATCATTCATAATTGTTTCATCATAATAATAGAATTTATATCGCTATAATCTCTATTCACTTTAATGAATTGATTATTAATAATTGAGGTTTGTTAATTAAAATCTGCAAAGAAAATTCTTGATTGAACACCTCTTCTATTCTATTCACTGTGGATACATAGCAAATGTTCATAAATTTCTAATTCTTGTGCTGGCATCATCGAGAAGGAAAACATTTCGTTTCAAGTGTATTTTGTATATTTATACATTCGTTTTTATTCACATTAGATGATAATATAAAAAAAACTTCATAACAAATGCCTACACCCTTGGCTAACAAATGCAAAATAAAATAGGAATAGTAACCCATATTGCTGAATGCATTGTTTGTTTATTATTTATTTTGTTTCAGTAGCAAACAAAACAATAACGGCTGCTTTTTTATCAATTCCATCCCACTCTTGACTTCAATCTTCTGTTTGGATGCATTCATCACATTACCGGAAACTATTTTTTCCGAAATTCTCTAGCCTGGAGTATATATCAGAAAAAACGATAGAGATAGAGAGAGAGAAATTGCTGTGAATTCTAAATGACACCAAAAACAGCCTTTTTACGAAAATTGCAACCAGAAATTCAATGTAGAAATCGAAACAACTGAAAACTAAATTGAAATGTTATTAATATATAAAAGTTTTTTTTAAAATTCCTAATGTGATGGTCATTGGTTTGTATGTGGTGAATTTTTTATTCAAAACAAAACTATAAGATTATTATACAGAATCGATTTTGTTTCTGACTTAAAATAATTGAATGAAGTTAATTTCGTGTCCATTTATTAAAAACTAATGGCCTCCGTTTAGAAATCATAAACAATGAATATTTAAATTTTGTCGAATCCGTTTATCCATACTAATTTGGCATTCAAAACAACTCGATTTCCAACAGTGCAACAAACAAATTATTTATCATCTTATAATATAGTTTGAAAACTTTAAATTCATAACAATTTGGTTTGTATGAATAATGACATTGATAGATTGAAATGAAAAACAAAAATTGTATCACAAAACTTATGAATAGATTAAGATGGATTTATTCTGGTTTTTCTGATTCTCGTCATTCTTTCATGAAAACGTTCATTTGCTTCATTACTTAACACGTTAATAATAGGAAATAATATGATGATGATAATAATAATAACAAAAAGCAAAAAAAAAAATTCATTCTCATCAATTTCATTTCAATTTGTTCCGTTTTTTCGTCATTAATGTTGCTGCTACTGTTTTTGTTATGATGATGATGTCTTGTTGATTGTATATGATTCGTTGCGATTCAAATACAGTTTTATAAGCCGTTGTTTCAAATGTTTGTGTAATTGATAGCACGATCAATGTTGATATATTGATGCTTTTACAAATTTTTCCTTTTTTTTTGTTTATATGGCTCATATAATAAGTTTGTTAGACATTTCATCGAATATGACAGAATTTCATTTGAATTCTCTTCTCTTCTATATTCTACCAACACCAATAACTTATAAAGAACGTTTTTCCAATATCATATAAATAATACTGGATATGTTTTTGTTATTCTAACTGTACATTATAAAGCCATATAATGAATCATAAAAAATAGGCAAATAGTGAGAAAGAAAACAAAACAAAATCATATAATGATGATGTTTATTATGATGCTAATAATGTTAATGGATAACGATGAAAAAGAATATATAAATAAAAAAAAACAATATCATGTGCTTGCTTGTGTCTGTCATTTTTGGAACGAATAACGTGAATCAACTGAATGATGGATTCTATTCATTGCGTTCATATGGATGTTTTTATAATCATCATCATCATTTTGATGATTAAAATGAAGAATATGCAAATGGAAATTTCCTATAATCTATTATATGAAATATATTTAGTAATACAATAATTGAGCAAATAACAACCATGGCAAAAATAGATAACACTTTTTTACCATACATTTTTCATAATAATTTGTTTTCTTCATCCTGTTCGTTTGTATGCCATTCGGTACTTGAATTTTTCCGCGTTCAATGCATACAATGCACAAATGGAAATAATCTTAAAAATAATGAACATTGAAAAAATCCTGAATTGAATGAATACTGTCAGTATTCGATGGCTAAATCCTTTCTGATTATTATGATTCGTGATTGTGCTTTTAATATTTCTATTTTCATTTAATTTTAATGTTGAGAATTTTTTCAACCGGATTTGTTTACATTTTAAATTTTTTTTAACATTCTGTTTCATATGTTGCCAAGAATGAACATTCTGTTTTTGTTGTGTGCTTATTCATGTACAAATTGCTAATTGAATTTTTTTTTTCATACACTATTCATTCGTGTAACTTCAATTACTTGAATTCTTTTTCATTTTTTCAATTTATTTTTTTCAGATTTAAATTCTACTGCATCATATTTGGGATTGTCGATTTTTTTCTTTTGAAATATATTCTTTTGTTTGGATCCTTACATAGATGTGGCAGTGATGATGGCTTCTTCGTCATTAGCATCAAATTCACCATCCTCATCCGGTGCTTCTAGTGGCCCCATTTCAGTAAATATGACCTCCAGTGGTCCGAATCTTTCATCAACGACATCAGCATCTTCGTGGTCATTCTTTGATTTTTTAATGAAAAAATATGATCTCATAAATACATCAGAATTTATTGATCTTATTCGTAATCGACAACAACAAACGCACAATAATGAACCATTAATATCAGATGATGATAAATTAGATTTAATGAGACAGGTACTGCGCCGGGAAATTCGACGTGAATTGAAAATTCAAGAAGGCGCTGATAAACTTCGTCGTGCATCAACTGACCGAAAAGCCTGGTCTAACGTAGATAAAATGATAAAAAGCTCAAATTGTAAACTTCAAGAGCTAAACGATGACTTAGCAGAATTGGAGCGTTTTATGGTAGAATATCATAGTGGATCATCGAGTAATAAAAAAATTAATAATAATCAGTATAACAATGCTATGTATACGCATAGCATCCATAATAATTCCATGATGTTGCTACAACATCAAAATTCAAATAGCCAAACATCATCCGATAGCCGTGAGGATTATGCTCCTTTAAATGTTGATTATGAAGGCATTGGAATGTTAGATATGAATTTATCCGATATAACAACTAGTCAACAATCAAAACCAAAGATATTGTCATCAGAAGCCGAATCAAATCTCAAACATCAACAACTAATCGATCAACTTCAAGAACAATTGGAGACATTTGAAAAACGAATTAGTATTGAACAAAAAGTAAAACAAGGTGCTGAAAATATGATTGAAACTTTAGCTTCATCGTCTGGACAAAATCGATCGGATCAAAAACGTTCAAAAGTTCTTGCTGACCAAGCACAATTAATGTATGAAGAATCAAAAACTCGTATCGAGTATATTCGTATGCAAATTGTTCGTGTTAAAAGTGAGATTCAAAATCTGCGACAACAACAAGAAGCTTTAATGGAAAATCGTTCTGCTAATTTGTTGGGCAAGAATCAAAATGATAATCTTTCACATCCATCTTTGGATCTTCGAATCGAAGAACTTCGATATCGTTTACGTGTCGAATGTGCTGTTGTTGAAGGAGCAAAAAATGCTATTAGATCTTTATCAAAAACTTCGAGTGATAAACTATTGCACGAAGCTCAATCATCGATGCTGGAATCTTCACAAAAAGTCGATATTTTGCGCAAAGCTTTAGATATATGTCGTTCCAATTTACCGGCAAATTCTCCCAAAGCTCAACTATTGAAACAGGAATTGGAATCCAGTCAATCAGCTAATTCGTTGCTGAATTCCCCTACTATTGTTTTGGCTACCAGTTCCGATTATGTAGCATCGTTCCGTAATGACAGCCAAAATTCTGCAAACGGTTGTGGTTCTATTGGATCTGCATCATCCGCTGTTTCGTTCATGTCTAAACCGGCTGCTGTTACTGGCAAATTAGAAGTACGTTTACTTGGCTGTAAGAATCTATTGGAAGAAATACCTGGCCGTTCAAGATACAAAGAAAAGGATAACTCTGGTTCAATAGATTTGAAAAATTTTGTTCGATCTAAAGGTTTAGGTCGAACTTCATCAAAATGCTATTCAATTAAAGAGGAGATTTCTAACGAGATAATGGCCTTGTTAAAATTAGATAATGTCACTGTCTCACAGACAAGTTGGCGACAATGTAGTCAAGAAGCGTGGGATCAGCGTTTTACATTTGATCTGGATCGTTGTAAAGAACTTGAAATACAGATACATTGGCATGATTGGCGTTCATTATGTGCATTAAAGTTTATACGACTTGAAGAATTTATTGACAATCATCGACATGGAATACCTATTCCATTGGAACCATGTGGAATATTATTTGCTGAATTTCGTTTCTTCAATCCAACTCTAATTACGCCACGATCAAAAGGTCTAAAACGACAAAAATTGTTTCGTCAAAAAGGAACAGATACAAATTTCTTACGACCTAATCAAATGAACATGACAGTAGCTGCGTGGGGTCGATTTTTGAAACGAGCTTTTCCATCTACAGCACCTACCACACAACAACAACTTTTGCATTCGCAACAACAGCCTCAAATTTCGTCTGTAGTCACATCTCTTGCAACAAGCGCACCAGAATCATTAACTTCAATTTCCAATCTTGAACAATCATCATCATCGACGGTTGTTCCTATATCTATGGTTGGTGGAATATTAGCCTCAAACGAACAACCTCAACCATATCAAAACATTACAAACAAATCATCGACACCCCCACAATCGACAAAATCATCAGCACCACAAAGTACGCGTTCATCTTTTGAAGAACATTCGGTATCTTCAACATCCTCATCATCATCTTCATCAACAGCTTATCCAAATAATAAGGATATCCGTTCACTTATTAATGATATACTTACCAAACCATTAGATACAATTTCCGTTAAAAGTATTTCACGTGAGTCATCACAAGATCCATCTGGTTCTTCATCAAATTTACTGTCCATAAATTTGGAACCAATTATCAAAGAACCATCACCCGAACAACAACAACAACAACAACAGGTTAAAACTCCATCCACATCATCATCAATTAACAAATTTAGTGATAATAGTACCATTTCAATTGGAGAAATTTCAACAACTTCTTTGACGACAGCTGCAACAACGGCACCACATACCGCCCCTTCTGTAACTAGTCCATCAGAATTAAATATATCTTCTTTGAAGATTCATAGTTCACCATCGACAACTTCAACATCATCAACGATAACTTCCGTGTCGTCCTTAGTTCCACCAATAATTGATAATATTAAGTCTTTTGATGGTGAATTCACATCCATTCAACGGCAACATTCAACACCAGATTCACCCGAAGGTTATCAATTGCCGGTGTTCCCGAAATCTCGAAATCATCAGCAACCACAACCGCCACCGAAACCAATTCTTTGTAATAAATCACCGATGACACGAAAATCGCTTACACCATCAACAAAAATAATTTCATTGAATGATTTTGAGTTGATTGCTGTACTTGGCCGAGGTCATTTTGGCAAAGTTTTGCTTGGAAAATATAAACGTACAAAAAATTATTTCGCCATTAAAGCACTTAAAAAAAGTGACATTATTGCTCGTGATGAGATTGAATCGTTATTGTCAGAGAAACGAATTTTCGAAACGGTGACAGCTGTGCGTCATCCATTTCTTGTTAATTTGTTCGCTTGTTTTCAAACATCCCAACATGTTTGCTTTGTAATGGAATATGCATGCGGTGGTGACCTAATGATGCACATTCATGATCAAGTGTTTAATGAACCTCGGACCATTTTCTATGCAAGTTGTGTCCTATTGGGTTTGGAATTTCTACATAAAAATCTTATTGTCTACAGGTATGCTGTAAATATATTATATATTGTATATTCTTTTTAAAGTTTCTAATTTCAAACACATTTCAGAGATCTTAAACTTGACAATCTCCTACTCGATCAAGAAGGCTATGTGAAAATTGCTGATTTTGGCCTGTGTAAATTAGGTATCGGTTATGGTGATCGTACAGGTACATTTTGTGGTACACCAGAATTTCTTGCACCCGAAGTATTGACCGAAAATACTTATACACGATCAGTTGATTGGTGGGGATTCGGTGTTTTGATCTTTGAAATGTTAGTCGGAGAGGTAAGACATCAAATAGATTTATTTCAATCATATCTTTTCACAAATTCAAATATTTTTATAGTCACCATTTCCTGGCGATGATGAGGAAGAAGTGTTTGATTCGATTGTTAATGAAGAAGTTAAATATCCAAAATTTTTATCACTTGAAGCCGTATCTTTGATGCGTAGGGTATGTTGATGTTCTTATTTCGATTCAAACATTTGAACTTTTTAATTATTTCCTTATTTGTATTAATAATTAGCTGCTGAAAAAGGCACCTGAAAAGCGTCTGGGATCATCGGAACGTGATGCTGAAGATGTCAAGCGGCAATCGTTCTTTCGAGTAATGATTTTTCTCCATTCCTCATACAAAATTTACCATTTCTAATATACATTTGTTTTCATTTGTTTTTTTTCATGTAGAACATGAATTTTGAAAATTTATTACAGAAAAAAATTCGTCCTCCATTCGTACCGAAAGTGGTAAGTAGAAATTTGAAACCGCTTTCTAAATCATGAATAAACTTAATTCATTCCATTCATACAAACAAACAGAGATCAATGGAAGATGTTTCCAATTTTGATTATGAATTTACATCTGAACGGCCACAATTAACGCCATCGAAAGAACAAAGGCCTATATCTACCGAAGATCAACAACAATTTCGTGATTTTGATTATTTTAGCGAATTATGGGCAGCTAAAATATGTGGTACCGATCTATAATTTATAAACGAATGCTGCTATTTCTGAAAATATGTGATACATACACTCAATTCTGTCTAATTGACGTACCGCACAAATCGTTTTATCTGACAATCATTTATTTTTATTCAATTCAATCCGTTATTTGTATCTAAATCTGTGATCATCACATCATGAATAACGATGGGCTGCTTCACTGGACAAATCTTGGCTTCCACTACAACTTGTTTTTAAACAAATTAAAACTTCACATCTATACGTGCAGAATTTTATGATTTCTATAGCTCATGCACACCTAGTTTTTAATAAATGCATTTATTTTATGTAATATTTGTTTGTTATTAAAACAAATTAAAAAATTCTCCATAAACCAACACTATTTTTCATCTGATTGTCATTATTATTATTTATTTTAAAATAATTTGAATGTTTTATATTTTAAAAAATATTTAAAAAATCGCTAATTCATAAAATCAAATGAAATTCTATTTTTTATATAATTTTAATTTCCAAAATGAAGTGCGTTTGAGATTGAGCACGTGTATAGTCAAAATAGCCGCCGCCTTGTGCTCACTCCCTTTTTGTTTGTGTTTTTAGGCTTGTATTCATGTTTTGTTTTCATATGTTATTCATATTCGTATATTATTTGTCTTTGTTTTCTTGATTTTTCAGTAAATTTTGATAATCACATTACATTTGAAATATTATTCAAAAAAATTAGAATATAGATTGTTTCATCCATTCATCAGTCTGGGTTTGAATTTATTGAATGAACATTATTGATATATGATCAGATGATCACAGATATTGTAAACATACATTCATCACTAATGACGGCAGTTGACTTTGTCAATAAAATTGGCGCCCAAAACAATTACTTTAATTATCCTGCAAAATTCTATTTTTTCATCTATCTATTCATTTCATTTTTCATCATATATATGAATATTTTTCAGCTATTGTGACAAATAATTCATTCTTTATGAGATACATAACGTCCAGAATTGCTCCATGATTAATTATATTAAATTAAAAAACTTAAAGCTTAAAACTAAACCACATTCATTTTATATATGGACATCAAATTCGACCATTCATCATTTAATATTTGAAAAATATGAGCCAAATTAATCGCCCATCGTCGGCCATACAAGTGGACAATGATAATTCATCGGAAAATTGTACTCAATCCACTTCCACTGTTTCGGATGATAATAATAATTGTGGCAACATTCAACAAACATCAACGGCCAATGTTGTTCTGCAGATAACTCAGCAACAACCACAATCGATTCGTACATCAGCAAGTAATGGCATCCATCGAACAATTGTATCATCATCCTCATCTCCAACAACAATTCATCGAAATCAACCACAATCCCGGATACAATATCTTGAAATACCGGCAGAAAATTTTCGAATTACAACTACTGGATCTCACTTGCAATCTATTGGTGATTCTACAACAACAACCACAACTATTGGTGGTTCAAATATACAACAAAAATTTATTAAAATTAATCCAGGTTATCGAATCGTAAAACAACATCAATTGGCTGTATCCTCATCGACATCATCATCATCGTCGATGCCGACAACGGTGAATCTTATACCAGTATCAACTATAACAACATCTGCATCTGCTGTTCATCTTAACCAACCATTCGAATTGTCGTCATTGATTTCATCAGCATCGAAACAATTGTCAACTTCATCATCATCAACATCGGAAACTACGATTGCATCCTCGACTCCATCATCTATTTCCGTAGCCATATCATCTGCAGGATCGACTACTTCATCTTCATCAACATTGACCGGGTCTATCTCAAATAATACAACTACACGTTTGATATCTCGATTGCCAATTGCTGATGAAGGTATTGGTGTTTGTAAACGATGTCGCCATGTAGCTTTGAGAGATACTTTTTATGGAAAGGGTAAACAATACTGTTCGCCACAATGTGTTCGTGGTATACCACAAGTTATCTCGGGAAATCATCATCCTCATCAACCGAAAACAACATTGAAAATTATCAAAATGTTGTCCACAGCGACTACCGCAACTACAAATTCATCATCAGGTATTGGTATTGTTGATGGTTCTGAACAACAGCCTCAGCAAGTGGTCATGTTAGGGACACCCATTTCCGCTAGTTCTTCTGGTACTCAGAATCTTAAAGGCTTAACATCGATCCAAATTCCAACACAACAATCATCGTCCGACTCGAACAAATCTCCGATCATTGCTGTTACCAGTACTGTAAACGAACAAGATACATCATCATCTACTCCTTCTTCAAACATGAAACCTCGAACTCTGTTTATACGTCAAGGGACACAATTAAGTCAGATGAATCGAAGCGGTCATCCTACGTTGATCAATCAACATAAATACGTTACTACACAGCAGCAACAAAATTCAATTCAAATCGATCCATCCAATATTTCTATTGCGACTAATCCTTCGTCGACATTAATCCAACACCAACAACAAGGTTCTAGTGGTATACCTACATCCACAAAAAGTGTAAAACGAAACTATTCAAAAATCGTGACCGTTTCATCATCTGGCCAACAAACAACTCAAACTACGACAACTGGTGGACAAATTCAATTACCATCCAATGGAACATTATTAGCCGTTCAATTAAATCCGAATTTTACGAGTTCAAATAGCCAATCACAAACAACACAAGTATTGCAAGTTCCACATCAGCCGATGGCCAAAAGAATCAAACGAAATAGCGGCCAACAACAACATTCCCAGCAACAAAATGGCCAACAATTACAATCTATTAATTCGACAACTAAACGATCTCGCTCAAAATCGAGTTCATCCACAATCCTATCTACATCAACCGCAACTACACAATCGTTTCTATCAATGGATAGCTCCAATTCGTCGATCATATCACAAAGTACGCTTGATAGCTCTGATTCATCGCCAATGATTGCAACTACACCTACTTCTACATCGTTAATTACAGCAGAACAAACCCAGAATAAATCTACACCCTCATCATTAATTACCACATCTATTTCCTCGACATCATCAAACAGTATTCTTATAAATCAGCTAAAAAAACCAGTAGTGTTGGTTCATAATGGTTCATGTGTATCAAATAACCCTAGTGCTACTACACAATCTCCAGCATTAGCATCCACTTCTACCCAATCGATACAGACCAATTCATCCGGTCAATTATTTGTACAATTGGCATCGATTTCAAGCAGTGGCTTATCATCGAATTCGTCTGCCACATCACCCATCCAAATACAATCTCAATTACGCACTGCAACGACATTACCAACAACTATATCGAACCAACAGCTGCAACAATTTCTACAACAAAATAATCTTCGAATCCAACATCAACAAGTTGCCGGTCTTCATCCAGGTTCCACGACTCAATTCATACCGATTCGAAATGCTACAGCAACTGCTGCTCTGGCAGCTGTTAATCAAAATAATAGTAGTCAACCGCAGCAGCAACATCAACAACAGCCTTTAGGACAATCATCTGATCTTTCCCGTGGCTCTGCCAATTTGATTCAGCTTCAGACACCCAGCCAAATTCAAGTTCAAAATACTCAGAATAATTCTTCGGCTGCTTCCACAGTATTGCAATCGAATAATCTGGGTAATTTAGCTTCCAACAATATTCCAAAACAAACTTCCACTCTAGAGATTCGAACTGAGCCGGCTTCTACTTCCACTCGTCCGATTCCACCAGTCCAACTTCAGCCACAACAAAAACAGAATTCACAACAAATAAACAATGTGATACCAATCCTTTCAAGGCATTCAATAGCTTCATCAACAACTAATCAACAGGTTCCAAAGTCAAATTCAGCGCTTACTCTTCCTCCAGCGCCGCCACCAGAATCCAAGCCTGTCAGTCGATTAGAACAAATTAAAGCGTTGGATGAAGCAATTGAATCGACAATGCAATCATTGCCTGCACACCTATTTCAGCGGCAATCAGGAATAGGAAATCAGAATATCATTGTAACGAATTATGTACACACAACTTTGAATTCCACATCTCAATCAAATCATCTTCCTACACAACATCAATCATTACATCAACAAAATACTCATTATCCACCAATATGGTGGTTAATTTTTGAAAAATACGGTTTCGACCGTTGTGTGCCTGTATGGGCATTTCCTAACACACCATTAAATCATGAATGGGCACAAATGTTCGGTTTTTCGTACCCATCATGTGGTGGTGAGCAACAACCTAAAGACATTTATGTTGAACTTGGATTATCTGATCTTGATTTGAATGGCAATCAACCACAGTCGAATGGTTTGATAAGTGGATTGAATCAAACGCCAGGTACGCCACCGAATAAATCCAAATCAAACAATAATAAAACATCGACGTTCGATTTTGCTACACCACAATTGAACAATAACAACAACACAACTATGGATGAAAATAAATTTTGGATAGCCAAGATTGTTGGCCATTCAGGTTATTATCTTCGACTGCGATTCTTAGGCCTGGAACATTTGTCGACTACTAAACATGATTTTTGGGTAAATATTCGGATTCGTAATCTTTACCCGATTGGTTATGCTCAGCAAAATAATTACGAATATCGCGCTCCGTTTGATGTTTGTGATTTGAATTCAAATTATGCTACCGATGTACGGCGATTTTTTTCATCAACCAATAATGCTTCAATCGAATCGGATTTATACACATGTTTTTTGCAAAGAATTGAGACTAAACTGAAACCGGGACTAAAAGTTGAAGCAATTGATAAAACACGTTTATGTTGTTTTCGTGTGGCCACCATTCAACAGGTGATAGGACAACGATGTTTCCTTCGATATGATGGAGAGGCGCCTAATGATTATAATCCCGGCTGGTGGACCCACATACATTCAGAACAGATTCGTCCAGTTGGTTGGTCCCAATTGGTTGGCCATAAATTATTTTCTTCTCAAGATTATGCAACCAAAAGTTTACGGCTTGGCATTCGGAATATTTGTCATAATATCGAATCAAATCAAAATCTTCAAGATTGGAACAAACTGGGTGTCTTGAAAAAATTCGAATACATCAATGAAGAAACAATGTTTCGAGAAGGTTTGATGAATTTTATTTTCAATTTTTCACTCATTTATTGTTTTCACTTTCATAAAGGGATGAAATTGGAAGCTGTTAATCCGATGGATCTCTCACAGATATGCGTATCAACTGTTAGAAAAGTTTTGCGATATAATTTTTTAGTTCTTTCCATAGATGAAGCGAATCACGACGCTCATTCATCTTTACATCGATTGCAAACATCTCCTGTTCGGTCCGCATCACCAACTGTTTTATTTGGAACGCAATCACTGGCATCAACATCTTTAGAACTAGAAGATAAAATGTTTTGCATACATGCATCATCGCCTTATATTCTACCGGCAGGTTTCTGTAAGATGTTCAATATTTCTTTACAAACACCAACAGGTAATAGATTTGTAGGAAATTTGTAGAAAAAGTTATGATATATTTTTGAAATTCATTCTAGGCTATAAGCGAGATTTCGATTGGGTGGAATATTGTCAACATACCAATTCGTTGATGGCACCAACAGATTTATTCAGCTATAAACAGTTCATCACTGATGATTTAGAAAACGATCTGCATACTATCTGTCCATCTCAATCATTCGAAGAGGGTATGCTTCTGGAAGCTGTCGATATGCTCGAACCGAATCTGATTTGTTTGGCTGTCATTAAACGTCGCTGTGGTCGCCTTTTGTTGCTACATTTTATCGGTTGGGCTGATAACTTTGATCAATGGTGTGATTGCTGTTCTCCAAACATATTTCCTGTTGGATATTGTGATCTGGTCGAATATCCGCTGCAAGGTCCACCATCACAGCAAAACAGTACCAATGGAGGTGGGAGTAAGAAAAAACGCCAGAATAATCAAGCATATAATGGTAACTTCAATAATCGTAGAAGTAAGTTTAAATATTTATCATTTAAGATCACGGAATTTTATTCGACTTTGATATTACAGGAAACTCTAAAAAATCTCTGATGACGACATCGCCTTTACAATCACCGTTATCAAAATATTCACATCGACAACCGTCTTTAGAATCAATTGTCAATGATAATTCGATTCAATCATCATCATATGATTCTGTAACAAAAAATGTTAAAGATGATTGCAAAGTATTTGTCAATGAAGATTTTGATGAATCATCATTGAATCGTAATGCAAATCTTATTTCATCCTCATCCAATTTATCTGATTTTGAAGATTCTGTCAATGAGGAAGAAACTGACATATGGACACAGATTGCCGACCGTCAACGTTCAGAATTATGTAATTTTCTTTCATGGACTGAAGAAATCACAAATGGTGGTCGTTTTGATTATCACAATAAATTTACAATTCCATTGCTTACTGATTTGAGTGATTCACTTGGTTCACATTTTCGTTTCAAAGACCCATTGTTAAAACAAAAACTTTTGCGGATGAAATTAGAAAATGATCGGTATAGTCTTGATATTCAATGGAATTCTACTGAATCACACAATCAATTATACTATAATGAAGATGGCGATGATTCAAAGCGTGTTCAAGTGTTTGATTCCTATCATTATTTCGACCCTGAGGATGTTTATAATGGGCCGGATGGAACACAAGATTTACGAATGTTACCACATTGGTCACCGAAACAAGTCAGTAAATTTTTATATAGAAATGGATTTGCTGATCTTTGTGATTCCATATTAGTCCATGTGAGTAATTCTAAAATATTTTTATCTTTCGAAAAAGTTTTAATTCATATTTTTAAATGTTAGAGAATTGATGGCAAAAAGTTATTATCATTGAGCAAGTTTCAATCACTACAATTGGCATTAACATCTTCGGTTACTAATCGATTGCTTGCATTCATCGATTGCATACGTAAAAGATTGATGGCTATTCACCATCAATATGGTAGTCCTAATCAACATGCTAATTCCACATCATCGACAACAGCAATTACCGCATCATCAAGTTCTTATTATCGTTGAACTTGTAAGAAATGATCGATATGAGAACTATCCATTACAAAATGTGTTCATTTCATTTTCATTCATTTTTGAATTTTTCATCCCATTTTTTATTTTATTTTGTAAAAACTATTTTCTTGATATATAGGTGTACCATAAATTTCAAAAAAAATCATGTTTCATCATCATTTATGGAATATCATGTTTTTGCATATATTTCCTTTGTAAATTTTATAAATCTGGGCATAAATAAAAGAATGTGTCAAAGAATCCATATTAGTACAAATATATTGAAAATGATTGATTTAATTTATTTTGATTCATTTTCATTGTTTATTGATGTTATCGACCAAATAAAATCAAAACCTTAGCTTAAACGATATTAATCCTTAATAAATCGCTAGTACCATGAAATCTATAGTCTACAGCGGAAGCAGAAAGGATTATTATTACCATTATTATGCGATCAAATAAAAAACAAAACGACAAATAACAAATTGAGGTCATCAAATCAACGTCATCCTTATATAATAATAAGTGTTATCATCATCATCATTATTTCTTTCGTTTATGATATGACTATAATTTTAATGATCCATTTGTAGAATCTGAATCATTCATGAGTCACACATACAAGTAATATACACACCAATTCATAGCTTTAATATAGAAATATTGAAATTGGCATTAAAAAATTCTTGCATATTCTGTATGTGATTGTAAATTATACAAATCATTATGTAACAATCATGAAGGGTGTGGAATAAAAAAGAATGAATTTTGGAAACTTTGCACATACATGACAAAAATTCATAATCAAATGTCTATTCACATGAGTATGCTTTTTCTGTGGTCAAATGATCAAGATATATTCTAACCTAAGATATACAGAAAACCAGTACTTGTCTCAGACAGTACGTAAGGTAACCCTAAAATAATATTTTAAATATTTCAAGACAATGAATTCTGATTCAATGCAATTGATCTGAAGTTGTTTCTGGACCTTTACCCTATACACTGAGTTTTGTAAGAAAATATTCTGTTTTTGAATATTTTACAAACTTGTAAGCAGGTATAGAATTGAAAATGAGAAAAAAATAGAGATTATTGTGAATTTTTTTCCAATGGCAAGCTTTCTGTGATTTTAATTATTATTACAATAAGGATGATGAAAATCAAAGTTATCGAAGAGAAAACTTTTTCATTATAAAATTATCCGGATTTAATAGTTGTTGTTGATTCATGAAAATGAAAAATAAGCTATAATAGCCTTATGTTTAAAGAGATAGAGAGATGCCCTACGTGATCATCATCAATACCTAGAACTCAGAACTGAATAAAAAAATGGTACAAATCATCAGTAATGAATGATATAAATTTGTGTAAATTTTGCTATAAATATTTTATAATGAATGAATAAATGAAAATAATAGAATGGTAAAAAGTGAGCTACACTGTCTTAATTTATAAATGTCTCATTATAATATAGTGTGAATGTGTTGTGGTGTTTTTGGTAATGTTATTCGTTTTGATTCAATTCAATTCATTTGCTCCCGACATCATTATCATCATCATCATCATCATCATTATTGTCATCGTTCTTCTTTTGTGTTTATTCTCTAGAGACATATATACGAAAAATAGTCTTGGATAAAATATGCCATTTTCTCATTTTATCCATTCGTTTTTATCTGGCACGTTATTGCTGTTTTAGTTTGTAGTTTCTTGTGATGTTTGTTTGTTTGAATTTGAATCAGATTTATCTTCATTTTGTCTATGCTGGCTTTTCACTATGAATGCTGCCACCATGTTTATTAAATATATGGTAAATAAGAAAATGAACAAAAGCCATACATATAGAGAATTTATTCGACCATTTAGTAGTTGGCATACAGGCCAAATAGATATTTCCATAGGACAGCAAATAAAAGAAATTTGAGTTATTTTTCAGGTTACTGAAACTAATATCGATATGTTTAGTGGCTTTTCACGGTTTGCTTTTTCTCACAAACTAATTCATTTTCTGGAAACGTCAACAATAACGGTGAAACTGCTGCCGGTATATACAAACAGCCGTTCTGTATGAACGATTACAGCTTCAAACATAATGGTTCAATTCACGAAATTTGATATGCATTCATACAAACATGAAAGCTGGTAGATATCATCAGCGTCAAAAAAAATGTTTGGATGAAAAAGATCATCCTGAAAAAGATGAATGAAAATTTGTACGTAATTTTTTTCCGAGTGAAAATGTAATTAGAAAAAATATAGCTTTGTTTTTATTCTACTCTGCTTGTAGTGTATTTTTCAAAGGCTTGATGAATAACCGAATGAATTTTTTTTTGAAAATCTTGAATACTGTGAATTTATTGGATTCTATCGCATTGTATGTGCTAAAAAAGTGAATTAAAAATGAAATATTTTCTCAACAAAAACGAATACATCATCATCATTACCAGTGAGTAAACGACGGGCCCAAAAAAACTAAAGACTAGTCAGTTCATTGGTTCATTACATTTTATTCAATTTCATTCACTTCCTTACTCGTTTATTTGATCGATAAAATCGTGGTCTTCATTGTTTATTTGTTGCGACGTAAAACCATACATTTAGGCATATATAAAAGCCACTAAAAACTAGGCCACTACTGAATTAGGTCAGACGTCATCATCAACATCATCGATATCAACTCGGGGATAATGTTATCTTCATATATTCTTTCAGTTTTTTTCTGGATGATTCGAGTCCACCATGTGATTCTAGGCCTGCGTTGAATTGTTATCTGTAGCGGTGATAGCAAGTGAAAGTGAAATGTTCCGAAAAAAGTGTTGTATCAGAACTTAAGCGATGACGATTATATGACATGCGTCGTTGCATTACCTGATGGGTATTCATTATGACTGCCTATTCCTCTACAACAATTTTTTCTAGAACCGCGTGTTTGTATCTCCATCACCAAAGAGCCAGAATCAATGAGACACTAAGCGAAAAAGAATTCCGTTTGGTTTATTTGGTTCATCCTCCCTCCTACACTAGCACCAATGATTCTATACAAGGGTACACGTTATTCTATGAAGCTTCAAACTTTCTTTTCTAATTTTTTTTGGAGGGTGATTTCATAGTAATTCACCAATGTCTTGATATTTTTCTAGATGTTTGTTTATTACGTTCAAAGCCGGATGGTTTGGTTGGGTAGGGTAGAGTAGAGTCTTTGACAATAAAGAACTTTGGAAATGATTCTTCCGTTTTTTGTCCTCTCTCTCTCTCTCTCTCTCTCTCTCTCTCTCTCTCTCTCTCTATCTCTGTTTCTCTGGGCATTTAAACACAGAACAGAATAAAGCGTTTTTCTGTGAATGGCTCTTTTGATTACAAACACAAACACACACCCATTGCTGTAGTATTTTATACCCCAACAGATTCATAGGTTTTTTTTACGGTTCGGATTCTTGTTACATTTCGTGTGTCACCACCACCAGCACCACCACTACTACTACAATACACATTTTCAATCAACGTAATCTGTTATCGGATTGTTTGCTGTATATACTCATATAACTAACTGATTCAAAATGAATAATATTATTAATAATATACTAGAAAAAATAATCTTTTACCGATTGTTAAATCGTGATTTAAGGTATATTAAGTCAACCATAATAAAACGGTGATTTCTACATTATATAATATTGAAAAAAACTTATAAAATTTTCGTTGATGTTAAATCATTGAGAGAATTTTATATTTTCCACAGCACAACCTTATGTAATAAACGTGTGTGTGTGTGTGTTTTGATTAGAAATGATTCGAGTTCGAGCAACGAATATTCTGCTCTCATCGAATAGAATCAAACCGAGTACACTTTTATATCTATGTGCGTGATTCCTCATGTTTTTCTTTGCCTCACCTCAATTTTTTTTTCTGTCATTGTTTTTGTATTCTGTTGTTGTGTGTTGTTTTTTATAGTTTCCGTTTTATATATTTGTTTATTATTATTATATTGAAAACGTTCGATCTTCATGTCTATTTAATTATTGTTTGAATGTTGTTTTTTCGCCAAATCTTTGATTTTTTTCATAATAAACTATAAAATTTTTTTTACCAATTAATATTTTTGTGTATGATATTCATGAAGATAAATAAAACTCTTATAGTAAAATCTTGATTTTAAACATGTGAATCAAATTCATTTTGGTTTCGTGTTTCATTCATACATCCAACATGATAACACCAGCACACAAACGCGATTATAAATTCTGGTTAGGTTATTCCTAAACGTGATAGCCTCAAAAACAAAAAATTTAGGATCAAGGTAAGTTTTAAATATTCAATTTCTTTTGTAAAAAAATCCAATTATTTGAACGATATTTGATAGTTCATTTCAGGTGGGACTCATTTCAACGAAAATTTTAATAGAGAATAATTTACATTACAGAAAAAAACAATTTGCACAATATTTTGAAAATGATTCTGATTGTCATTTTTTATGCCTATATTGGTGGCTCATATTCAATAGACAAACTTATCAGCATCTGATAAACAATTTATCAATCAATGATGAACAATAGTCTTTCAAAAATCGATCAATCAGAATCGTTAACCAGTTCCCATACACATCAAGATTATAAGCTGCTACAATTACAACTATTTGATCAAAAAATGACTACCAGAATATCAGCCTATTATGAAGATTTTTACATATTTCATTATCATCAATATATAATAAAACTAATGAATTCAAATGTTTGTTTGATCTTTTAAATTAGTGATCATATGAATGAAATGAAGAAATCAAAGAAAAAAGACGATTATAAATTCAAAACGATAAATTCAAATTTTATGACCAATAAATTGCATTGTAACCGATTGTTGAACATTATAATCGATCAAATCAGATCATCATTATCAGATTTTCAAGTCCTCTTTATTTTTTCGCCATCAAATTCATTAAAGGATCTCATTCTTACATATTGTGTGTTTGTTACATCAATCATATAACCAATTTGGTTTCTTTTTATTTATTTTTCTATTTGCTTCTTGATTTTCATATATTTTCAACCAAAGTCTTCCATAGAAAGTTTTTTCATTTACATTTTTTTTCAATTCCTCGCCACATTATTATTGTTGTTTTTGTAGCAATTTGTTGGATGAATTTTTTCTATCTAACCAATTAAATTGTTTCATAATTATTCAATTGGATCATTTAGTCATCATTTTCCATTATCATCATTTTTATCATCAAAATCAATTTTATTAAAAAAATTTTTCGCCGATGAAATACGAAATAATTAAACGATCGAATTAATGTCGGTCATCATTATCATATTCAATCGGTCAAGGTGGTACATTATTATCAAAAAGAAATGGCCGAACTATTATTAAATTTGATGGCCGGGCCAACACCAGGTCAACCACCAGGTACCGGTGGTGGTGGATCATCATCGTCTACTTCATATTCCCATCATCATCACAATGCTCCTCCTATTCATCAGCGATCTCAGTATTCTGACAATCCATCACCACCATCAATACCACAGCAAAAAAATATACCACCATCATCGTTAATGAGTGGCAAAAGTTCTTCGTCAATGTTTTCAACTACTGGGCCTATCATAACTGGATCGGTTGGTATTATGCCTGATTTGAGTCATCTTAGCGATGTTGAACGTCCCATAATCGAATCGGTTATCATGCGTCAGAAAAAGGAAGAAGAAGAAGAGGCTCAATTATTAAGGTGAGTTAGTGTTATGTCTAACGTTTATTTAATATTTGTGAATTCTTTAGGCGAAAACAAGATGAAGTTCTACTGTTGGAACAATCAATTCTACGAAAACGAAACGAAGAACAACTTAACCGTCATGATGGCGGTGATCTTGATGCAACTTGTCAGATTTGTTTGAAAACTAAATTTGCCGATGGGGTGGGACATAGTTGTCAATACTGTAATACGCGATGTTGTGCACGTTGTGGTGGAAAAGTAACTTTACGATCTAGCAAGGTATGTTTTAGCTAATAAGATGAATAAAATAAATTGTTTTTACTCTCAAACAGAACATCTGGGTGTGCATCCTGTGTCGGAAGAAACAAGAACTATTGATCAAAACTGGTCAATGGATACATTCATCGATGGCATCAAAGTTACGACAGTTGGAGCAACAGACACCATCTTCGGAAATTCAAACAATGGCTGAAACAACATCGACGCCTTTGTTTGAGCGTTTACTCCATTTAGGCAGTAACAGCAGTGGTGGTGGTGGTGAATCACGAGTAAATCCAATAACAGGATTTCTTCGTCGAAATTCTCTTGGTATATTCATACCAACATCATTTTCATCCTCAACATCAACTCATCCACAATATTCGCAAGCAACAGATAAAACAAATCCGAATATTGCCAGTAAGTCAACAACCGTCCAACAACAACAACAACAACAACCAACACGTAGTCAGCCATTTTTGAGAAGACAATTGTCACATGATCCGAATGTTTTTTCCGATTCCGATGCCGCCCAGCAACAACAGTATAATTTTATGATTTCACAACCAACAAGTAGTGGAAATCGAGGATTACCACAAATGCCACGTCGAAGACATATGTTACCGCGGCAGCCATCATTGCCATTATCAGATCAATTGGCGGCTTCAGCTGCTGCTTCAGTTTCTGAAGCGTTTCCACTACAACAACATTTGCAACAAAAAGTTCCATTAGAGACAACAAAATCGGAACAATCTGCTCAACAAGCGATGCAACAAAAACAAACCACTGTAACAGGACCGGAAAGAAGAAAACTACCAACACAAAGACAAAAAAGCCGTGAACTGCCTTCATTGGATGATGTAGTCCATTTTCATCAACAACAACAATCTTCATTACAAAATCAGCCACAGCAGCAACAACAAAAACAACAATCTTCATCAAAATTACAATTACAGGTACGCTTAGAATGTACAAAAAATACAATTCTAATTTTTCTTGTATTTACAGTCATCATCATCTGTAACAACATCGCCAAAAAAATCGTTACCACAATTACCACGTCGAACAACGTCCATGTCATTAGTATCATCAACATCAACATCGACAAGTATTACATCAACAGTGCCTTCAAACGTTTCCCAAGTTGTTACTTCTGCTGTTACATCACAGCCATTATCTTCATCATCAACATCATTGACCGGTACCGGTCACAAAGGAACAATACCTAAATTACGGCATAGTGCTGCCATCATTAGTGGAGGTAGTAGTTCAGATATACATCTAAACAGTTATTCACGATCATATTCTGGTGGTGATTCAACCATACCCGGAACATCAGCATCAGCATCAGCATCTCGGGCAAATTTACCAGGATCCATACTACAACAAGGACAGCAACAAAGACTATTTTTATCAGCCGGTTCGCTCGTTCGAATGGATTCGGTAGGTTCAGATCCGGGTGACATGAGGCGACCAACTCCTCCTCCATCATTCAGTACTAGTGGTGGTCGCCAATTGCCGAACACTTCAAATATGTGCAATGCACAACGTCCACGACTACGTGATCATCTAAAAATGAATCCAGTGTATCATCGTTCATTTGGATCTAGTTCTGAAGATATAACTGATACGGGTGGTGCTGGTGTTCGTAGTTTAACTCCTGAATTATCTACAGAAGATGATTTTGATCTATTAGATAGTCTAGAAAGTAGTGGTATCGGCGGTGGATTATCGGAGCAAAAAACATTACCACAATCACGACGTGGTCGTGCATTACCACGATCATCAATTAGTTCGTTGAAAGCAGCGGATGAAATTCTGGATTCAAAAATGAAAAGTTTTCTGGCCGTATGTTTTCAGTGATAGTATGTGAATTTGAGATTTTAATCATGATTTTATATCCCAAAAATATAGCATCCAATAACATGGGAAAAATCTGCCGATGGTACGCAAATGATTAGCTGCATGATATTGAAGAAAAATTTACTACCCGATTCAGGACTAAGTTCCAGTGCTATGCTTGGTATGAAAGTTGTTGGTGGTCGTATTGTTGAATCCGGAAGATTGGGGGCCGTTATTGAAAAAGTTAAAAAAGGTTCCATTGCCGACACAATCGGTCGACTAAGGCCACGTGACGAAGTACTCGAATGGAATGGAATTTCATTGCAAGGAAAAACATACGATGAAGTTCATGATATCATTGCTGATTCAAAACATCATTCAGAAATTGAATTGGTCGTTGCAAGACCATTGATGGATGCAACGACAACGGCATCGGCATCGGCATCAACTTCGACCACAACCGTTCAGGGTACTACTGGATTTAGAAAACTACCTCGTCATCCACTCGTACAGATGGCAGCAGCTACTTCTCGTGATGAATTTCTTATGATACAACAACAGAATAATCGTATTGGACGTCGTCATACGGATGTTATTTCGTCACGTGCACAACCACGTTCATTGGATATTGGTAAGTAATCTGATAAAATATCAACTTTTTTAAAATTTATTCTATTCTCGATCAGTAGTGGACAAGAATAGTTTCTTCACCCGAGGAAGTAGCTTGGGTGCTGAATTTTCAGCTCGCCATATGCGTACCACGCCGTATGTCAAAGTTACACGTACTCCAACAATTACCGGGCGTGTTCAAGTAAGTTTATTGTAATGTTCAACATAAATTCCAACAAGATGTGATAGTAATTTGATGTTTATGGTGAAAAAGGTGTCAATTTTTAAAGACAATCATTTGTTCATCAAAAAGATAGCATCTGGCGTTTTACTCATATCAAAACAATAACAAATTTTTGAATTTTAAAACGATTCCATCCACGAATTTTCATCATAGCAACATATTGAACATAGTATTTTTGTTTAGCGTAGACCTAACAATACTTAGTCGTCAGTAAACAGGAACTTGATAGTTTTTTTAATATTAAAAATTCCGGCATTGCAAATTGCTCATTGTTTCTTATGGTTGTCATGTCATTTTTTTTTATTTGTATCCGTAGTATAACTATAGTTCAATATGAACGTATATGTATCTGTCTGTATTTGTTAATGTTGAAAAATTTTAATATAAAAAAAATTCCCATACAATTGTATTCTTTTACCTATATTTACCAGCCAAATGAGCCAAATTTTTTGTAAATTGCTGAGATTTTCTATCTACCTTCAAAAACTAGAATGATTATTTTTCTTCTTTTTATGCGTGAATGAATGAGTCAGGAATTAAAGATTTGGTTGAAACTAACATTTCCACGGTGAAAAATAAAACTTTGATTTCAGTTCAATTTACGTCTAGTTAAAATTTTTCATGGATTCAATCTACGATTCTAAACGTTTATCGTTGTATAATTTCTTCCCGTTTTTTTTATTACACACTTGATACACTTATTTTCTTTCCCGATATTGAATGATTTCAATTCGATTGCTAAATGATTTTAACTGGCCAATTGATAGAATCTATCTCTTCAATGATGTGTGCATGTGTGTGTTAGGGAATTGCCAATTCCTACGAAAAAAATCAATAAACTAAAAAATAAATAAAATTTCCTGCTTTTGCTTTCAATGACTATGAACAAAATTTCATCATTATGATAACTTTTGAAAATGTCTAAATATTTGTCGAAAGAAACGTTGTTTTCACTTTATCAAATATTTACCCTCTATAAATAAAGATGTTAGAGGGCTGCCCAGTTTTGATGTTGATGATGGAAATGATTGGAACATTTTCATCGTTTCTAAATGATGCAAATACTGTGAATGAAAGAAAATGTTATTTTATTTCTGTATATGTTTTCCGATGTCTTAATTGCTTTAACGTTTTTTTTTATTCTTCAACCATGTTGTCAACATTGTTTTTTATTCACTACAATTTATATATCTATCATCTAAATAGGTTAAACTTTATTACGATGGACAAACATTGGAATTGTTTGTAACAATAATGAATGCTATCGATTTGTCACCAAGAAAGACTGGCCTCTTTCGAAACCCTTATTGTACCATGTATCTATTGCCTGATCAAACGTAAGTAATTTGTCATCAATTATTCGTTTTTCTTGACTTTTCGAATCGGAATGTTTTTGTTCATTTGTTTGTTCTCCATTTGATTAATCGATTTTTATTTGGCTGTTTTTTTTGTTTACTTTGATTTTTTTTCAAAATGTCTTTTAAAAAAAAATTATACAGGACAAAAACATTACGAAAAACAGCTACAGTGATCAACACGTTGGAACCGCTATGGAATCAAACATTTCAATATTCACCATTAAGTAGCACTGATATACGAACAAGAGCCTTAGAGTTGACAATCTGTGATTATGATCATTTTTTATCCAATGAATTTTTGGGCGCTACCATTATCGAATTGAATAGTATACAATTGGATGATGAACCAGAATGGTATTGTCTTTCCACTCGTGAAGATCTACAACAACAGCTACGTCTACAATGGACAAAACATTATTATAAATTAATTGGAACATCTGGAACAACAGCGGAAACTAGTACCGGAACAACAAGCGGTGTTGTAGCAACTGCTACGGCCGGTAGTGGTTTATCACCACCAACACATTCTGCACATACATCCATTTCGGCCAGACTTTCCGATTCGGATGTTGCATCCGAACTTTCAATGGATGATTTCGATTCAAAAGGTTTGCATTTCTCTCTGTTTTTTTTCTCATTCCTTTTACTCCTGAAATAGTTTATAGGCAAAAAAATTACCACTTATCACTCTCTTGAGAATATTTATTTACTTTGGTCGTGACCGAATTTCGATTTTTTGGCCTAATTTTCGATAGTTAAAAGTAGATTGAATCTGCAAATTTTGCAAATAAAATACACATTTCCTTTAGAATAGAATAGAAAACTTTTTATTTCTCACTAATACATTTCGAACACAATCAACCAAAACTGTTCAAAAATAATTCTGTGTGTGTGTGTGTGTGTGTGTTTGTCTTTGACACATATAATGTTCAGGACACCAAACAAATTCAATTGAGAATGAATTTAAATGAATTCTAACTAACTTTTCTGTTTCATCATTCAATTTGATTTCTCAATCCATCACCAAATGATGATGAAATCCATTTATAGCCGATTCATGGCGTTGTTTATTGGCGGATACGAGTCAAACAAGCGGTGGATCCTTAGGAAGCGGTGGAAGTGGTAGTAGTCCACCATTAGTAGTGGCTACCGATTTATCAAAAAATGGTTGTTGCTATCAACGTAGTGGATCAGCATCCACATGCAATATTGTTGCCGCTACTGCTGGTTCTGTTGGATCATCATATCATCATCAATCACATCGTCTTCATCATCAACAGCATCGTCCAGGCAGTAGCACAGGGATTGTTTCCTACTCAGGTCCAACATCGACCACTAGTATACATCTTCATCATTCGCGTGGCCATCATCATCATCAACATCAGACTGGATCATCATTGGCGGCCTCGACAACAAATCAGTCTGTTCTGGGATCTCGTGGATCCCGGTATCGACAACTTCCATCATTGACAACTACTACCGCTACTTCATCTAATAATTATCCAAATGTTAATGTTGTCGGCAGTCACATTGATACTTCCGGCATAAAAATCGATTCAATTGGTTCGACAGCCATGATACCACCATCAGATCATCATCTTCCTCATTATCAACATCATTTAATGCGACCCGAATTTCGTAAAAGTTCATCACAACCATCGAATGCATCAATACAAACAACAGTTCAACAACAATCCACACAACAGCGTTCATTATCACCACCGACAGTGATGGGAGCACAAATAAATTATGCGCCAACACCATCCATATCAATGGCAACAACAACAGGGTCCAGTCAAATAAATAACAAACGGCAATTGCCATTTGTTCCATCGATGCCTACAATCAGCTCACATTTGGCAATGGATAGCCAATTTGGTGGTTCAGCAAGGTCATTAGTAACTTCTGTTCAACAACAAAAACAACAATCGTATAGCTTTGGTCAACAGTTACAGCAACAGCAAAAATCCGATTTGATGAGTTTCGAACAACAAACTTCAAGTGGCATGTTTTCAGATTCCGAAATAACCATCAGACCAGTTTTTGGAAATCGCCCGCTTTATGCACATCCTATTCAATCAAATCTGCCGACAAGTCGTCGTTTTCATCGTCATCCAACTAATCTATTGGCACAACAACATCAACAAGCAACATCAATGGATGATCTTGGTTATTATCATCGAAAACAGCAGCAGCAATTGGATCGTCGAACCTCATCGTCTTCATTGGCCTATCATCAACGACAACAAAGACAATATGGTTCACAATATCCACAAGAAGTTCAATCAGAATCTGATTTATCAAGTTCAGCTGGTGGTGGAAGTTATCCGATATTTCAAGATGTACAGCAGAAATCTCGAGGTGGTTATCGTGGAGGTCATCACCGATCATCATTGATAACATCATCGTCGATCGATTATCGTGAACTTAAAGATTATAGTGGTCATGGAGGAAGTTATCAAGGTGACGAAGCTGATTGTGAAGAGGAAGAAACTGAATTTGATGATGATGTTGATGGTACATATCGAAATCAACGCCATCATCATCGATATCATCATCGTAAAGAATCTGGACAATCATCTACTGCCGGTGGTTTGACTGGACAAATCGGTACTCGTGAAAGTGGTGCTATTGGTTCTATGGGCGCATTTGTTGCTACTACAAGTAGTAGCAGTGGTGGACCAGGAGTTGGTTCAACCGTAACGGCTATTGGTGGTGGTGGTCCCGGTGGACATCATCGATCATCCATACATCGACGAAATAGTCGTCGAAAACGTGAACAACAACAACAACAACATCGTGATTCAGATGATGAAGAAACGGAAAGTAGTTCAACAGCTGCCGGTGGCAATAATCGATCATCACAGAATAACCATCATAGATCACATCATCATCATCAACATACTAAACAACTGCAGCAACAACAGCAGCAGCGCGATTCATTTGATCTGATGAATCAGCAGTTGCCATCGATATCACAACAACAACCTATACCAGGTGCCTTAATATCACAGCCAACAGGACCAAGAGGAAGCCGAACATTAAGGTGAGTTGTAAAATGTCTTATTTTTATTCAAATTTATTCATTGTATAAAGGTCAAATATTAGCGAATTAATTCCAAATATATCCAAATATATATGGGCTGTTCGATTATCGAATTGTTTGAATTCTTGTCCCATGTGTTCTATTTTCATAATGTCTAAATAATTTATTAGTTCAACGATTCGCATTCATCTGAATAACTGACATTATTGACATTTTTTCTTGTAGTATACGGTTATTATTACCAATGATCAATATGATCATTATAGTGAAATGTTCATGACGACAGGACACATACACACACGCACACAGGTTATCCACATTTTTCTCTGAACTCTAATTTTTTTCTGGTTCACAACATACATATTTTTACCGATTAACATGTGAATGTATTTAACGAATTTGACATTTATTTTTATAATATATTCGAAAAATGGCATGTCTTTTTTTTCACTACATTTTATCAAATTATGGTCAACTAGCTTCTAGGTCTGATGTCATGATAGCGTAAAAAAACAATAGTTGAAGTGCACTAGTTTTGATTTTTCACTACATGTCATCTAGTATTAGGTCTCAAAAAAAGATCTGTCATTTTAATTTCATGCAAATAGTTAAAATTACAATGTTTCACAAAGGAATTAGATGATGACGTATTGTTCACCGTGCTATATAACCATAGTGTATGTCCATAGTAAGAAAAAGTTTACTTTCTTGTTTGGAATGTCTATTTTTTACGAAATAATTAATTAGTAGAATCTGATTTTTTTTAGAATTTTAACGAATTTCAAATTTTTTCCATTGTTCCTCTTCACTCAAATTTATCCATCATTGTGTTTTTCTTTTGTTCGATTTTTTCCTTCCTTGATCATTATGTTAGATAATAACGACAGCTTGACTGGTTTCATCTTTCACTTTTCTCTACATTTGTTTTAGGAAAAAAATAAAAATCGTTATTTCCATTATTTTAGTTATTCTAGAATCACTGGAATATTATCTTTGGGCTTCTCTTCCTTTTTCTTTTCTCTCTTTCTGTTTCATTTGTCTTGTTTTCTTAAAGGTTCTATTTTACATTGAAAATTATTGTTATGATTATTATCATCATGATCATTATCACATACATATGATGATGGTGATGATTATAATCATCATACTTTATATATTTGACGATGATGGTTATTTCAATTTATCTATTTCTTTATATCTTGGATTCTTTTCATCACCATTGTTCGTACTTTGTATTATTGAAAATGTGATAATGATAAAATTATTGGCAACTATGCAACACTAATTTATTAATACATTCATCCATTGTCTTTGTTCTTTCAAATTTATTCTGTCGATTATTATCATCATTATTACCATCAATTGTGTGGTTTTGGTTTATCATATGGTTCGTTTGTTCCGATTATTATTAACTAAAGTATTAAACGATTTTTTATTTTATTTATAGTGCGGGATATTTGTTTGTTGTTTATAATTCCAAGCATATAGTTGAAAATCTTCAATAATGAAAAACATTTTTCACCAAACCATAACCGGCAGTTGGACCGTTTTTTTCCTATTTTATGCCTTCCTTTTTTAGCTATTGGCTAGAGTTAGCTTTTAGAGTTGTGAGTGTGTGTTGTAATGCTTATTTGGCCTGCTACTGAATTGACTTGCTGATGGCTTCAGATCCATTGATCATTTTTTTTCGTTTTAATTGGCTCTTTATCATAACGATCATTGAAGATTTTGCATTATTTTCTTAAAAAAAGTTTTCGAGTCATTTTTTCTCTTTCAGTATCAAACATAAATCTTTTTCAGTTAAATTTTTTGTAAGATGATATTCTGACCAAATTCATTCATCATTTACTCTTTAAAATGATGATTTTATCTTTTCTTGACGTTGATTCGTTTTCGGTTTTTTCTCATTCATATTAGCTATGGGTCCAACGTTTATTTAATTATAGTTGTAATTTTTCTTTTTTTTGGAGCTATTTATCAAACATCCGTTCATCATTGTATTCAACTATGCTTTATATCGATGTTGTTGATTGCTTTTGGTTAGTCTAAAAATGGAATATAAGAATTTTTATTCTATCTTACAATAATCATTAGACTGCCAAACGATAAATGTATCTTTTCCATATAAAAGTTTCCTTTCATTAAGAAGTTGAGCAGACTGTAGAAATTAATTTTGATTCAATGTTTATTCGTCGAGAATTTTATACTAACTATTCATAAACATAACATGACGGTATGATGATCATATTATAGCAGTTCATCATCATATAACATATCTATCTATTTACTATAATGATGTTTACATTCTATCATGATGATGACAACCAGAAAGGAAATGCCCCAAAAGATGATTAAAAGTCATCATCATCATCATCATTGTTGCTATATTTATGGCGGTAATAAGATGCCAGAGAAAATTGGAAAAAAACTTGTTCATAATCATAATTCATTTTCATGATGGATTATTCGTTTCATACATTCGATCCATTATTTCTTTATAATAGAATAGATAATGGAAAAATTACGTAATGTTTTTCGTGTCATCCATTGCCGTTATTTATGATGGAAAAAATTTGTGGCCAATTTCAAATGAAAAAAAAGATGTTTTTTTTCATACTGTTGACTAGAAAAAAGTTTGACGGTAGAAATGAATACGATCATTCCACATAGGGTTTGTATGGAAATTAACAAAAGTTAAGTTCTACTATTCTGTGGAATGGCTTCTATAGTGATTCCGACTAATATTCATTCAAGATGCTTAACTCTTTAAATAACCAAGCCAGATTTATAACTTCAATAAATCGATTTGATTTTTTTCGCTGTTGTTTTTGTTAAAATTAGTTCTTTTTGATGTCGAGTTTTTTTTGGAGTTCTTATTTCATATCCCACTGGGAAGACCAGCTGGAGATTGAATAATTTGCTATCAATTTATGGATGTTGTATGTATAAATACTGGTGACAAAACGATACGGTCTTTGGCCATTTTTTTTTCTTATTTTTTGATTTATCATCATTCGAATTGATTAATTCAGGATTGATTTGTTATATTAGTTAATAGTATGGCATGTTGATGTGTTGTACACCGTATTCGTATATTTTCATTTTGTTTAGCTACCAATTTAATGAGAATGATGAAGATTATGAATCAAACAAAATTTGTTTTCTCTTTATCAAGAATTTTATTTTGACTTACCCAACGATTTTCGTACAAAAACTCCGTGTGTGTGTCAACAACAACAAAAAAATTTTTCTCTTTGTAATATTGTCTATGAATCAAGAAATTCTTGACATTTAAATCTCAATTTTGGTTTCTTTTTTTTGTTTTTCCTTTTATTTATTATTGTTATTACCCTAAAATCGCGACTATAAGACATGTCTTATACTAAAAACGGTGATAAATAGTCTTATTTTTAATAGTTGCTTTATGGGAAAAAAAATATCTACGTTTCTGTATTTGCCTCGTTTTAGGGTACATTTGATTTGAAACGCCAACTTTCTCTATTGATTCTTTCAATATTGATTTTTTATCACTTTTATATACGGGATTTATTTTATTCGAATCTTGTTTCATCTACGCATTCGAGTATAAGCAAAATGATTTCATTTCTTCTATGATGGTGATGATGATGATGACGAATTTCAAATAAAACAGGATTGTATTTCTTTATTCCATATTATTATTCAATATAATTGGTTTTCAACCGAATCGCAGTCATATTCATTGTACACTTTAATGGTTAGTTGGAGATTTTCAAGGACCTTTTATTCTCTTTTTTCCCATGATGGCGGGCGGCTCTATGCTAGATCCAATTGTTATAAGTCTAGTTAATTCAATCTTGTCTATTCGTCATCGTTGAATTTATTTCGTCTCATTTGTTTCTTGTAGTCGTTGTCGTTTTCATTTTTTTTTTTGCACGCGATCGATATTATTATGATTTAAATTGACGAAAAAGATAACGAAATTATTGTTGTCCATATATAAAATCATTTTAATGACGATAGCTCATATGATGACATCAATCTCGGATTGAAGTAATGATATATTGTGTAAGTTTATTTTCGATCGAATTCCCATTGATCGATCGATCGATCAATATTGGAATCACACGAATTTTGACATTTAGAATTGAAAATTTCTATTGTTCAAATTATGTCACAATAGATGGCGCCATTTCGCTTTCTCAATGTTTCTGGAACAAATTCACCGATGTTGGTGTCTGTCATATGATGCTTTGGTTTTCTGGCTATAAATAATGAAATATTTAAATCAGGCATTATTTTTTTTACATTCCATTTAAAACTATTTTTTTCCTGCTAAAAATTTATTTTTTTTCCATTTAAACATGATTGCTTATGGAGAAAAAAATACATGCAAAATGAATAAATAAATTATAGTCTAAAATAAATACAAACATAATTTCGAATAAGTCATATTGTCAAACATAACCGTTTTTTGAGGTGATGAGTGTCATCTTTCGAATGATAATTTATAGTAATTTGATATCAACTTTTAAAAACGAAAACAATGGGTGTCAATTTACTTGTTATTTGCTCTCGTAATGCTGCTAGCTATTATTTCTCCTGAATCTGCCGCTATCATTGTCATCATGTGGCATCAACATTGAATTCAAAAAAAAAATTGACTTCACTTCCATAAATAAATCTGGCTAAAGTTTTTTTTTCCAAATTGGCAGAATAAAAAATGTTTGACATTTCGACTATTCTGGTCATCCCATTCTATATGTAAATTGAACCATTTTTATGTTTATTATATATATTTTGAAGTTTAGTTTATTATATTATGTCATGTGCACACTAACATGAAGAATACATGAAATCTAACTTTTCCAAAACGGTGGAATTCATTGCATTGTCAAAATTTCAACATCGTTTCTCACGTGATCATTATTGAAAAAGAGATTGTAAGATTTTTTAAAATCATCCTTATAAACAAGCAACAACATTGAATATTATTACGAAATATTGAAACTGAATTTTTCAGAATCTATTATATATTGATAAAATTACCATAATAATGATGCGTCGTTGATGTATTCTGATATTTGCCAACAAAATATTTGGTTGATTATTTGACTATTAGTCGCTATAGTGTTTATAATGGGTTATTATATTCAACAACAACCACCACATAATCATACATTGCTACACATTTCATATTATTAATTTCTATCTAAACATTTTGAAAGTTTTTTCTAATACATGCAACAAAAAAAATAAAATATTTTCTAATAGAAGAAAAAAAATTCCAACTTTCTGTTTTTCTCTCTTTCGCACATATCGAACAACCATTCATCCATCATAAACATTCACAAATCAATCAATTGAAAAGGAACAATCATAATCAACATCTTTTTTGTTGTTGTTGTTATTATTATTATTATTATTATCAACGACCCTAAAATTCTTTTGTATACAATAATTCAGATCAGTATAATTCTGTATACAAGAATTTATGAAAAAAAAAAATTTTTTGATGATCATGATGAAAAGATGCGCCTGAGCGAATACGAAAATAGTCCTATTTTTATTGTATGTATGTGTATGTTATTATATGCTGGTGATAATAACCACCAACACAGGTTCCAACCAGAATTTTCGAGTTACGTCTATTCTTCATAAATATTAGTTGCTCTCATCGTCAATATCTAGAGTATTTTGTGTGTGTTTGTTAGAGGAAAAAAAATAGAATTCGTCTGTTGGTCGGTTATTGGTTTTGCTGTCGTCATCATCATCATCATTCCAGTATATCATCATCACATAAGGCCAGATCATTCATATGCCGGTCGATTTTTATTCGATCGGTTTATACAAGTGTTTGCCTGTTTGTTTTATACATGAGTTGTTTTTTTTTTTTTTTTAAAAATAATTCTTTATGCCATCTTTATATTTTTGTACATTATATCGATGTTTATCATACGGGTGGTTCTGGAATTTCGCCGATTGAATGTTATTTTTTTTAATCTCTATTTTCAATACATTAGAATTGGATTCAATGTTGATTGATTGCAATTAAGTTTTTCACTATTGTGTGTGCAGTCTTTGTCCATGAACTTGTAGACATTTTCTTTTAAAAATTCTAATGAAAATTCTACCTCTACGGCTTCTGTCGATTTTCTTCTCAATATCACTTGGACATGTTAACTACATTTTTCATAAATCACAACATTTATAGAAATTTTTTTTAGTTTTTATGTCATTACTGTTTGCAAAATTTTTTGTGTGAAAAAGTTATGGAAATTAACAAAAAAAAATTAAAACATTTTTTCCTCTTTTCGTTCTATTTACATCATTCAAATTGTCACTAAAATTAAAAAAATAATGAATCCGCGATTGGCTACTTCTCCTCTATATAATTATCAACCATCAAAACAACAACAATCATCATCATCATCCCAACAACCACAACGTCAACGATCTAATTCGGTGATGACCACAACGATTGAACAACAAAAACCACAACGACCATCATCACCACAATACATACGACAACGTCCACCTTCAATGTCACAAATGGTGCGTACATCATATTTTTCCTGTACAACTTATAGTGAGTTTACCGGTCATCGTGGTCAACAACATTCGGCACCTGTACATCCACCTCATCCATCACGTAGTTCATTAGCTGTAGCACGTTCATTAAGTGAACGTTCAAAAGAAGATAAATGTTTAGAATCGAGCTTATCCGATGTGCCAACTGGTCAAACAAAATCAATGGCCGATCAAATTGATGAAGTGATGGAACAGTTGAATGCTAATTGTGATTTTAGTATGGATGATCTATTTGGTGCAGCCAATTCAGCTTCGACATCAACATTAAATGCACCACAAATTGGTCCTGATGGTAAACCAATAAAAAGTAAGAAACATCAACAATCAGGATTGACAAAGAAAAGTCAAAGTGCATCACAGCTTAGTGTTTCCGGTAAGTAGAATTAACATTTTTTACCGATATTTTGGCCAAGTTTGGCATTTGTTTGTTCGTTTGTTTTTTGTTCAGTTTTTTTTTTTTGCCAGATTGAATCAAAAAATAATACTCCTTTTTTTATACGCCCACATACTAATACATACATTTTATATTTTTTATGACATTTTATGAAAATCTTTTAAACCATTATTTTTATCTTTGGCATTCATAACATTAGATAACGATGTTTTTTATTTTTGGTTATTTATTCTCATGAATATTGCCCAATAAACTCAACTTCTGATCAATTTTCTTGGTTTTGAATTAATATAGACTGAGAATAAACTTGATTCATATGCAATAGCTCACATTCTCAGACATACACTTACAGAATGACTCATGGACTCTTTTTGACTAAATGTCTGTCCGCATAGATAGAATCAATAAAATATTTCAAGAATTTTTTTTTTCATTTTTGTCATCATCATATAATAGTTTTTTTTGTGTTGAGGGTAGTGCATGGATATTTTTTTTATGACGAATTCTTTTTATTATGCATGTATGAAAAAAAAAAAAATTCATTCATCAAAGCATGTCACGAAAATTGTCGATTATACACTTGTTTTTTGAGCTCAAAAAGAGAAATTCTACTTGACATTTTTATCTTTGAGCTTTAACACTTTTCCTACGGCAAGGGTTCAAATGACCCATTTTGAGTTTAACATAGAAATTACTCTAAAAATATGATCTTTTCTCAACTAAATACTATGGAACACACACATATGCTATAAACTATAATCTTGAATTTTAGACATTTTTGTTCTTTCACACTGAAAAAAATTCATGATTGAAGAATTTTAAATAAATTTCGTCATTGAATAGTTTTGAATATGTTCGCCATTCAAGAAAAACCTAGATTGAATGAAAAAGAAAAAAATGACGAAAACGCAAAGAACTCATTAGTGATTTATGCATCACTTGCATATTAGTATATGCATGCTTATGCATTTGTATGAAATTCAGAATTCAACTTTTTTCTATTCCTGCTGATAATAGTTGCCTAGTGTCCGTAAAGTCACGAATATTCGATTGTAAATAGTTTAATAGTAAAAAATGAATGATAATAAAATAAAAAATATTTGGCATTATATACAGTAATATATTTTAGTTGACAAAGTAAAAAAGAAAAGTTTGTCCATCAAGAAAAACTTTCGTCATAACCGGTATAGCATTTCATTCAATTGTTCCACATTTTTCTATATTTAAAATTATTAGATTTGTTTTTTATGAGTTTCATAGTTATTCATAGTTATTAATATGGAATGCTATTGTTTATGCTTTTTTGCAACCTATATTCCAACAAAATAATGATTCAATCAGTACGGGCCTCAGATAGCTGATAAGCACATTATGTGGTACATAAAATTATTGAATTGAATCGTTATTATTTTTTATGTTAATACAGTTGTAGAATGATTGCAAACGTGTATGAGGACAAACGACATTATTATTTCAAATCATGTTTATGAATTTGAAATTTAAATTTTTCTTTTTTGCATTAACAATAACGATCATCATTTATTTCAGATTTAGGTGTCCATATACACATATGACATATGTCTATATTTTTATAGATATTAATTCTCATTTTCTCACATCATGAATGCTTTTTTTTTGGTTTATTTCACTTTTTATTATTATTTTCTATTTTTCAAATATTTATTTGATATTGTCTTTATTTATTATGTAATTTTATATTCAATTATATTTTCAACAAAACAAAACCAATGAAAAAACAAAAGGTACAAAAAAACGCCTCGGCTTCCGTAAAAACAAACAGGCAACATCATTTTCCGTACATCGAAGTGAAGAAGTATTACCTGACGAAGTACGACATTTAGTTAAACAATATAGTAGTTTATCATCAGATGGCGAAGGTAGTGTTTCGGGTGAAAGTTCATCATTAACAGCTCCGTAAGTTTTATGGATTAAAACAAACACATAATAGTAGTTATGCATATGAATCCGATGTTTATAAAATCACACTTTTCATTGATTTCAGCAGCAACATCAATAACAACATTGATTATGATGTTAATCCTTTTGGTCTAAACTGGGATTAATATTATGAACATTTAGTTAATCTTTTTTTTTCTCATTATACAAACTGGGGCAGAAAAAACAAAAACAGTAATTATCATTGTTTAATGAATTCTGTTTTGTTTTTCGATATGAATAAATGAATAATACGACAGAATCGATGAATTCATGATTCGGAAATGCCGATGATGATGGTTAAAATCCTAGTTAGAATCTAATTGAAAATAAATGAATTTGTTTGTTCAATCTCATGAAATATCATAAATGAATCTATTAATTCCTACTTCTTTTCTCTTGATGAGGATCGATTCTTTTTTTTTGGTATCAAAACTTAATGAATACAAACATTTGACCTATACATACATTCATTTTCTAACTAAAAATAACATCATAATAACTATATTTGCGTTAATCCGTATGTGTGTATAGCTATAGGTTTGTGTTTCTATGTGGGTGTTGATAAATAAATTTCATTCGATGTTTTTTTTTACCAAATCACTGCGAATCTCTGGTTTTTTCCACCAAACGCACTAATCACTACCAACCACCACCATCACTACCATGAACACCGAAAACCATTGATTGTGTGTGCGTGTGTGTTTCGTTACAAAATTTTATTTGGTTTTTTTCATGATTGTTGTCGGCTGCTGAATTTCTGCATGCTCAAATTCCATTCCCGTTTGAATATTCATATGGATATGGGCGTTATGATTTTTTGTCCAGTTGTGTGTTTTTTTTCTACCACCAAAACCATCACAATCCAATTTTATTTTGTGTGTTTGAATTTTATTGCTCAATTATTCGCTAAAATGTGTGTATTTGTGTGCTGATTGACCAAAATGAATCAAAACTAATGCAAAATTCTTCATCTCCTTGATCCCGTTTCATTTCATATCATTTCGATTTTCATTCATCCGAATTTTTATCGTTACTGCATTCGTATTAATCACATAATAACTGCAAACTACTACAATTCGGTCTTCCGTCAAATAATAAAGGTGTAAATCGTAAAAATGGTAAAATCCTCAAGAAAAGCTATTCTCAAGCGATGGATGATGATCCAATGATGGCTATGATTATCATGGACGATGATGAAGAGGGCAACTTATCGGATCGTTCGAAAGGTTCTACAACAGCTGGAACACCGACTACTGGGACAACTACTATGACTGGAGCGACTGGTGCAGCCAGTAAACAATCACGAACGTCAAAATTATCATCAAAATTAGCTAAAAGTAAAATGATTCCATTTTCACGGCATAATAAACAAACAATTTCAAGCGGATATTATTATGGTGGAATACAACGTTCAGAAGAAATACTTCCGGAATCATTTATTACCGGAACTCGTGGAACTATTCGTGCTGGAAAAGAAAATCTTCCCACATTCATGGATTTCAATATTCAGTCTAGTTATGGTGGTGGAGGTAGTGATGTTTTAATGGATTCACCATTATCGTTAAGTGCATCATCATCAATTGCCGGTAGTATGCGTTATGAAAGTAGCGGAAGTGGTGGATATGTTGGAGGCGATAGTATTGGTGGTATTTTTGTTGGTGGTAGTGATGGTGCTCATAGACAACCAGTAGTTGCACAAACAGTAATATCGACAACGGCCACTACATCCACATCGAAAACGATAACGGATAGTGATTCAGAGATGTAAGTCTGTTAATTGATTACTAATTGTTTCGATCGATATTTTTTCTTGTCTTTCTTCTCTCATTCAATTTATTATGTATGGTATAGACGTACAGATATATTATGCTTCATCAGATGAAATGTAACAAGTGTCGTCAATTCGTTGTTTACTGTATTTTAAAAAATGAATTTATATCCATTAGTGACAGTAGATTCTTGTTTTTTTACTAAAAATTAGATTATTCTCCTCTATTTATTTCAATTCTTTTGTGTCAACATGAAGCTAAGACAAACATTTATTTATCAGTAACGAGAATATTCTAGCACCAGTAACATTAAAATTATTATTCTCTAATTTTTTATCGCCTGAAGATAAAGCTCACGAACAATAGAAGCAGTTATGCATTTTTTCATGAGAACGTTGTCAATTTCGATTAATAAAAAAAATTTCAAACAATGATACAAAACCCATATATTCCAATAATGATTATAATATTGTTGTTTTGATATGCTCAAGTCATGTATCATTCAGTGTCATTCTTTATTCTATTATTAGATTGTTATCAAGTTTTCTTTATGTTAGCATATTGCTGAAATATTTGGTTTCATTTTGTCATCTGATAAAAACGAAATTGAGCTAATATTTTTTGTTGTCCGTCTTTTTTCATTTTCTTTATTCATTATTTTGTTATTGCATTTTCTAGAGAAAGTTCTCGTTTCAAAAAAACCCCGAAGCCTTGAATTGGCCCATGTTTTTGTGATTGTAAGAGTTTTTTTGATATTATTCATTTCAAACGATGATGAAATCTTTTTCTTTGTTCTAGAATCAAAAGTAACTAAACCAATTTTTTTCTCTTGTTTGCTTCCAATTCAATAATTTAGACTTTGTTGTTTATATTATAAAACATGAGAAACGTCATCGATATATGTGTGCGTGGGTGGGTGTGTACACAAATCAAATTAATTCTTGTCTTTCAAATACAATCATAATGATAACGATCTATAGGAAATCTTCCCATTTAATATAATTATACCAATCATACTGACGAACGAATATCCAGAAAAAGTTATTAGTTTGCGTTTCAATTTTTTTTTGGCTTGGAAAAATTATTTGCTTTCTCAATCCAATTACAAACTACTGCATAGATTACCGATTAATTATGATTTCTCATGTAATTTCTATAAGGTGAAACATATGGCTTCTATACTCAGACCGCATAGTATGAAAAGAAAAGAACAATTAACTCGAATAATTGAATATACCCGACACACGACAATATATTGACAACATTAAACAATCTAAACATATTAGAGAATATTATAGAATATTGTTATATTAATTTTTTTGGCGTTGTTTTTTTATATTCTTCCTGAGTAAAATATGAATTTTTTTCTACTTTCATCATTTCATTTACTACCAGCAACATTGATTTATCGATATATGAAGAATGATGGTCTTTACACATTTTCATATTATTATCGGATGAAAATGGAATACAATGGAATTTTTTTTATCTTATCACATTTATTCATTTATTTATTTTTTCACATACATACACCCAAACGCGTTTATATATTTCATTCAGGCGTAAATATATAAAAATAATAACGATGATGCTCGATGACAATGTTCAATTGTATTGCAATGAAATGTGATAAGATTCGTCTGCATTTTCCATAGGTTCAATATCGATAGCTATCATTTTCAATTCCCAAATGTTTTTCGATTCCTATCTCTTCTTGATTTTTTTTTCTCTTTCCGTTGATCAATTTCTGTTCATGGCCATTATGAATCGTTCGAATGAACATATATTAGTTTGATCTCTTTTCTTTATGTATTTGAATCTGCAATATTTATATTAATATTTTTGACAATAATGAGAATTGTATTTTTGGAGTGTGTGTGTGTGTGTTTTTGTGTTTAGAAGATAAATTCTTAAGAGAATAATGTATTAATATTGATGAAAAATGATGTTTTCGGTCATTGGACAATCCAAGTGTTGTTGACAATATAAATTTATTCTTATAATTATTTTTAGTGGAATTTGGCGTGGATGACTGATGAGGATTTTTTTTGTTTTGTTTTGATCAAAGTACAGCTCTGATTTTATTTTGATTTTAATTCACAATATACAATCATTTTCAAATATAGAAAGTTGTTATTGATGTTGCTGCTATTTCGATAAACTGTGATTGATTTTTCCAGACGTCTGATATGCACTACATACATACAATTTGATTTTAATTATTAGAAATAATGATATTTTTATTTATAGCTGGATGCTGCAACAAAGTCGTCCATCCCAATCATCCGGTACAGTCGGTGGTGGTGGTGGCGGTGGTGAAGGCGAATTCTCAAATTTTGTTGAAGGTCTTGGACCAGGACAGATTGTTGGTCGGCAAGCATTGGCTGCATCAAATCTTGGTGATATCCAATTAAGTTTACATGATCGAAAAGGAAATCTGGAAGTTGAAGTAATCCGTGCTCGTGGCCTTCAATCAAAACAAAGTGCCAAAATGATACCAGGTTCGTTTTTTATATTCTAAGATGAATGGATGTGTTTTGATTAAAAAACATTTTACCTGCCTCCATTATCATCATCATCATCCATTAATATTAATTAGCTCCCTTCGTCAAAGTCTATCTATTCCGGAATGGAAAATGCATTTCAAAAGCTAAAACTCAAATGGCACGTCGAACTTTGGATCCATTATTTCAGCAACAGCTCTTGTTTACTGACAATTATAAAGGATGTATTTTACATGTATGTACGATGAATTTTTCTGATATTGTTTCTGATTATTTTTGTTTGATATATTTTGATAGATTGTCGTCAACGGCTTATATGGACGAATGGATAAAAAATCATTTATGGGTGTCGTACAGATTGTTTTGGATGATTTGGATCTATCTAACATTGTGATTGGATGGTATAAATTATTCAGTGAATCTTCTGCAATCAGTTTGCCTACACAATCATCGACAAAAAGTGGCGGTAGTGGTGGTGTCGGAAGCGGAGGTGGTGGATCACTTTCTGGTGCCGCTTCCTTAATGTCCGCATCAATGGATAGCTTTAGCTGATATTAACACGATCACTACTTACAAAATATTTTCCACGGACGCCTCTAGATTTTTTTAGAATACGTTCGATTATTTGAATATTTTATGTTTTTTTCCTCACACCACTGTAATACGAAAGCTCGTGAAAGTATTGAACATCGTCATGAAAATTTGTTCGTATTATCTATTGCCAAAACCATATTTTTCATCAAATCATTATCTCATCTCTTATTGTTGTTCTATGAATATATTTACAAATACCGACATCCATGATAATTGATAAAGACATTTACATATAAATGAAAGAACACACAATCATTATTATTTTCAGATCATTGTTGATTTTTTTTTGACTTTTTCAAACTCTGTCACCTAATTTCAACGTGAATAGATATAATCGACTAATCAAATTAAATTAGTTGATTTATTATTTATCAAATGAAAGTGTAAACACTATACCCGACTTTATTTATTCATTATTTTCGCCGAAAATATGTTAAATTCATTAGAATCAACCAAGAAAAAGGTGACTGATTTTTGTTAATATCGTTGGTACGCGATCGATTTTTGTTTGTTCTATTTATTGTATGCTTGTTATTTGGTTTTGTATATTCTATTTGTTTGTAATATTATATTCTTCTTTTAATATACATTTTCAATATCCAGCCAACGTTTTTATTTATCTAAGGTTGATGAATAAAAAAAACGAAAAAAATTGAATGTTCTCGACTATTTTGAGTCGGTAAATTCGACTAAAAAAAATTAGCCTACATCTAAATGCGTTATACACTGAAAGGATATCTCTTTTTTGTTGCGTTTAAAAATCAATTATGTTGTTGTTTTCTATAGAAAGTTGAGTTTCTCAGAATTTCAAGAGCCCTATTTCCGCGTTAAAAACTATAGCCTATACAAAAATTTTCAATGACAAAATTGTAACAAAAAACAAAATGTTTATAACCATATTCATAAGTCTTAAATTTTTGGGATTACCAATAACCCATTCGGTATTAATGGAGTAGTTAATTTTTCTAATTACAAATGGCTTAAAAATAATGTTGAAATAAATTGAAAATCATCAACAGCTACACATGTATAAACTACTTATACATTGTGGATTGTTTTCAAAAATTTTTCATTGAATCGATTCAAATTCTATTGTTTTCTGTAGGAAAAATGGAAAAAGCACGAAATGTTTCAAGTTTGGATCCAATGAAAAAAAATACAAAAATTTATTCATGACGCATCTACATACAGTAAGCATATGACGATTTTGCTTAATGTCATATCTAAAGAGCAAACTGTATTCATTCGACAGGATATGACATTTTCGATTTATCAAATAGACAAGCCAACAAGTGTTTATCCGGAGAATAATCAAAGTTTAAAACTAGAAAAATAACTGACATTTGTTTCTATTGCTTTTTATTTGAAAAAAATTGAAAGACTAATAGAAAGACGATTATCAACAAATGTAATGAACTCAGATTGTAACATAATGTGAATGTCAGCATTTATGGCCATAATCTTTGAGAGACACACGCACACATAGATTTTTATGAATCTCTCTCTCTCCCAATCATTTTTTTATAAATGATTGCATTTATGATGAGGATCAGCATCATTAAACTTGCATAAAATAATGTAGTAAATAGTGAAGGCTTAATTCCTTATGCAAGTACTTCTTAGTCTTCATCATTCTCATCATCACCATCCGAATCAATCAAACGAAACAGAATTAATAAAGAAATTGTCAACAATATTAAAATGTTAAGAATGAACTAACATTGACAACAATTACTACTACTACTGCCTAACTTGAAATGCCATTTTTTTTAAATATTGACAAAAACAATCATCTGTGAAGCGATCAAGTCCAATGCAAACGTGTGTTCATCATATTTTAAAAGTGGACATTGTACAAAAACAAACTCAGTGAACATTGATTACAATTTAAAAAAAGCATATAATCAATTAATGATTGAATTATTGTTAATATTCTGATATTCAAATTGTTATATCGGTATGTGATCAAATATAAACACAAGCATATACAAAGCATATCAAAAGACAAATCTCACACGTGATTCAATGAACTACTATATCATTTAATCTTAATCTATTGAACAAATCAATAATCTGAAAAACAAACTACGTCTTTGGAATTTTTTTTTGATGCTGAATATTATTTTATATCCCACTCATTTATAGTGGCTATTCCTTCAATTCATTGTAAATGAACATTGAATTACGAAGACAGCGAAATTTTTCGATAGTAAATTATCTACTACAAACAACTGACAAGCTCATCGCGTTTTTTTTACGTATATGTGTATATGTGTTATTGTAGTTTGTCAATATGTCTTCAAAACAAAATCATAAATTATTTCAGACAAACAAATATTGTTGTCATATTCATACTTGAACGTATCAATCAATCAATTTACCGTCTAATCATTTGGAATCATCCTATCAATCTATTTGATTTCAATAAAACTATTTGAATTTGATCGACACCAATCATAGCTAATGGTAACGATATTGGATTTCGGCATGATCGAATCGAATTTTTGTTTGTTGAGTGAACTTGGTCATCTACATCATCAAGATTCATCAAGCTCTGTTTAACATCCGTGGGTCCATATCGGCATCAACACATCAAACAGTGAAAAAGATTTTGTCCTAGTCGTTTTAGTGTGAAATCGATTATATCAAACAAAAATTATCTTCGTTATGGCAACCATCATCAAAATCATCATTTACTTAGTTCAAGCGATTGGTTAGAGCTGATGCTACTAAGTCATGCTGTTTATACCATCTCTTATCAAATGTTCGACGAATTCGGTTCTACAAACGCGAAAACTGGAAAAGAGAAAAATTTTACTCGACTGATTGGTTGAGTTTATTTAAACAATTTGATAATTTTATTTTTTCAGATGAAACCACTACCAGCATCATAACGGCTAAATTTGATGGATATTATGATCTTTGTCATGACGAGGATCCTCAGTGATTGTTTGCATGTTCATGACCGGAATGTTCTTACTCACGGTTCATCGATTAAAATCCACAATTATGAATCCACAATTTTTTCTAGGTATCCATGTATCGGCGTTTCCAAGTTAACTATAATAACAACAACGACGATAGAAAGCATTACCAGCCGTTATTTCAATATTCGTAATAATAATAATCATCATAATTATAAAGATGGTGTTGCACTAGATTTTTAATTTTTTCTTGTGTTTAGTGTTGCCATTGGTTATCAAATTGCCATGACCATATAAAAGTGTTGTTGTTTTTGTTTTTTAAGTTGAATTGTGGTGATTGCACTTTTGTTTTCGTGTTTCCATCATTTCAATGTAGAAAAAAAATTACTGTGGTGCTGAAATAAGGGTTGGAAATCAACGTATATTCTGCATTCTGTGAACAATGGTTGTGAAAAATTCATTTAAATATAAAATAAAGCTCAACAAAATAACTATCTGTTTTTAATTAGTCTCATATTTTGTATGTTTGTGCCTGATGATATCGATATCAACAATAATCCTCGATGTGATAAACACCAACTTGAACAAAGTGATATGAGAATAGGGAGAGAACCAAAGATTGTTTATTCTTCCTGGTTCTCCCCCCTATGTATTTCGTTGTTCGAATTCAACAAATGGAATGATAACCAAAACTACAACAAAAATAGACATAACAATTGAATCAACTGAAATAATTACTTTACGATCATGAAAGATTGTTGGATTGAATAAAATTGATAGAAATGAAAGGAATGTTGTTCGATCGATGTTAAAAATTATTGATTAATCTTGTTTATGTGTATGTATCAAAATCTATCAGACTTAATGTGCGTTTCAATGATAAATTGTCATCAACAATTTATGCCATTATTGTTTATAGCAACTAATAGCTCATCATTGAATTATAACAAAATGCAGCCAGCATTCTTACATAAATTAACCATTGTAATTGTTTTGATTATAATAATCATATTCGGTTCTTGTCTATTGATGACCACACAATTATCTACATTAACATCATCATCATCATCAACTTCAAACAGCCATTTATTGGCAACCAGGTTCGTATCTTTATTTATCAAAGATTTCTATATTTTATATAAGCCCTTTTAATTACAGATCGTATGAAGAATCTTTATCGATAAAAAAGTTATTGTTTTATAAATTCAATAATAATAAACAAAACAACAGTAGCTACGATCGAAATCAGTTCAAATTGAGAAGAAATTTTACTTTATCATCAACAACATCACCATCATCTCAACAAATGATGAGATTTATACCAACATCCTCAACATCATCTTCAACATCATCTACAACATCTCGGATCGATGTCTTATTCGAGAATCGTATTTCTAAATTGAAAGATTCACAAGAAAATGTAGAAGAAATCGAAATAATCAATAATGATACTAATATCGATAATAGTGAAGATTATAATGATGAAGTTGATGATGCTGATGATGACGATGATGATGATGAAGGTGTCATTAAAAATGAAAATAGCGGTATTCAGCAACATCAATCAGCTCCTGAGAAATCTGACCCTTCCGTAGAAATTAAAAAGAAACTTTTGTCACTATTATCGCAAAAAATTCGTCGACGAAAACAACATCACCCACAAAGAAATCTTCCAAAAGAATCGCTTTCGACACTTGGAATCCATTTCGATAATCTTAGTCAGTTGCCAGATTGGCAGTCATTACCATCATCGACACTACAATCACAACCGCCAAGTTCATCATTTGACCTCGATGATGTTAAAAACAATGAAGACTCCTTTGAGGATGAAAGAACCGATGATGCAATTAATGACAGCAATAATCCGATCTCATTTTCTCAATTATCATCTCATTCGCATTCCTCTTCCGTCTCTCCACTATCATCATTAAATAATTTCGATACAACAATTACGATTCCACAAACTTCATCAATTTCAGATCAATCATCTTCAATTGATCATCAATCATTTGAACAGATTCCATCATCTTCATCATCATTGGGAGATTCCGGTAAACCATGGCTACCATTAAAACAGCAACAATCGTCTAAATTGCCACGGCCATCATTGAATCTAAGTTCAAGATCACAATCGATTGAGCAATTATTACGTGAATTATCTCAAAATCGTCACTTTTATCAAATGAATCAAAACAATAACAAAAATGCACACCATTTGAGTAATTCAAGTGACAACAAAAATCGATCGGAACCAAATCACAATAATAAGCAGCTATTATTGCTGCAAAATGATAGCTGCTCAAATCCGAACGGAATATTGATTACTATATCAACTGATATCGAAATATCATCACCCAACTTTCCACAAAGTTATCCACCAAATAAACATTGTATATGGCATATACAATCACAGAAAGATCAATTGCTCAAAGTACAAATATTCAAACTCCACCTCGAACACGATGCAAGATGTCGTTTTGATTATCTTGATTTCGAAGGTAATGAAAAAAAATCAACTTTTAATTTTAAACTAATAATCGTAAAATGAATTTAAATCAACAGGTGTTCATCATGTTGACAAAGGAGAAACAAAAATAAAAACGAAAAAATTCTGTGGACAATATTCCGATCTTCATGAATTCAAAATCGGTGCCAATCACACAACGATTGTATTTCATTCCGATTCATATAATGAATATCCAGGATTTCATATTCGAATAATTGCAGAATCGCAAGATTGTACAAACGAAATGTTTGTACCAAATTTTTCTTATATAACATCACCAAAATATCCAGATTCATATGAAAATTCAAAAAATTGTTGGACTTTGGTTCGTACACGTCCTAATCATCGTCTTTTGATTCATTTTGAAAAGTTACATCTTGAATCGGGTGCTAATTGTGAATTTGATTATGTGGAAGTCTATGATTCTTCCAAAGCTATTCCATCAAAATCGTTGGGCAAATTTTGTACATACCCGAATAATTCAAAATTATTTATTCATTCTACCGACAATTCTCTACTATTTCATTTTGAATCGGATAGTTTTCTTGCTCTAGGTGGTTATATAGCCAAAATTGTTGCCATACGTAATGATGTAAACATTTCTCGATACATGGAATGTGATTGGAATGCCGATTGGAAGAATATGATCATCTCTAGCCCATCGTATCCTAGTTATCCAATTGGATCTCAATGTGAAACATCGATCATGGCGCCATCATCAAACGAACGTATTATATTGCTATTTGACTGGATCGATTTAATGGATACAAAAGACGATATTCATGATGATGATGATAGTGATTATGATCAAAAATTTGATGCATCATACAATGGCCGTTCACCACACATTATTCGAAGACATCGACCTCATCAACATTTGTATTGTTCCCAAGATCGTCTGGAAATCTATGAAACATTAAACGATACTGAACCATCGACGCTTTTTTGTGGTTTTCAAAGCCAACCTATACGTTATATTTCACAAACCGATAGTATACGGTTGGTTTTTCGTTCGACTCATTTTAACAATCAATCGAAAACTGAACAAATATCGAAAATCGATACTGGTGTCTATAATGCTTCGAATGTGGGATTTCGTGCAAAATTCACTTTTATATCAAAAGATGATAATAAAAATATTACATTCAATTCTGATTCAAGCCTGGATAGTGTACAAAAATCTTGGCATCACACAAATGAATCTACAACTCCAGCGAATTCAGATCCCGTGAACAATGATATCATTTTAATTCATCCTCCGCAAAATGCCTCGATTCGTTTGGGGTCATCTCATATTCTATATTGTGAAATAAAAATGCCTTCAAATGGATATGGTGAACCATTATTACCAATCATATGGTTCAAAGGTGATCGTGAAATACACGAAGGCGTTTCAAGCAATGGAAGCTCATTAATGATAAGAGAATTTACACCGAAATCTGTTGGACGATACATTTGCGTATATGGTGATAATTCAAGTGATGCTTGGCTAACTTTAAAACCAGACACAACTAGATGTTCATCATCGAATGTTTTATTTCGTGAAAGACCACGTGATCAATTTACCAGTGAAGGTGAATTCGTCATGTTACATTGTAGTGCCACATTGACTGATTCACAACAGGATGTTGAAATCAGTTGGCAACGTGTGCCATTAATTCATAATCACTCGGGCGATAGTCAATTAATCACTCGTCTTCAGCCAGTTGTATATAATTCAAGGATTAAGAAACTAAGTCGTGGGGATTTACTTTTTGACCGAGTTCTTGTAGAAGATTCAGGTTATTATTTCTGTGTGGTTCGACTTGATCAACAATTACTATCAAACAGATCTAGCATCGACAAAATTAATATTACCGATTACAATGATGAGGATTGTGTGCTAAAATCGGTCGCTCGTGTACAGATTAATCGACGTGTCGATGTTAGAGATTTTTGTGGTCGCGTTTCAATTGAACAAAATTATCAGACGGAAAAGATGGAAGATGTGGGCAAAATTATCGGCGGTACGGAAGCACGGCTTGGTGAATTCCCTTGGATGGTTATGTTTTGGGATGAAAAGCGGCATGTCTTTTGTGGTGGGGTATGTAGAGAGAATTCTTTATTTTAAAATTCTATAATTTATTTTATATGTCTTTAGGCACTGCTAAATGAACGATGGGTAGTGACAGCTGCACATTGTTTCACTGATGTAATAGATGAATCAACAGTGTTTGTAAAGCTAGGAAAATATGATCAAACTGAAACGGAACCAACGGAAGTGGTAACAAAAATCCAACATATTATAAAACATCCACATTTTTCGAATGAAACATTTGATAATGATATTGCATTAGTCAAATTGACTACTCATATACAATTTAATGATAATATTCGACCAATCTGTTTGGCTACATCGACCGATGAAGTTCGTGAAATGAATACGATTTTCTTTTCTCAAGACCATCATAATGATGATAATGGTGATGATGACAATCGAATTATAAAGTTTGGTATTGTAGCCGGTTGGGGTCGATTAAAAGAGAATGGACCGCTGCCACGATATCTACATAGAATACGATTGCCAATTATTGATTTACAACGATGTCGCCAATCTACAACATTCAAAGTAACGGATAATATGTTTTGTGCAGGTTATGGTAAAGAAATTGTTGGTGATGCATGTAAAGGTGATAGTGGTGGTCCATTAGTAATAGAATTTCATTCCCGTTGGACATTACTTGGTATTGTTTCTTGGGGTGAAGGATGTGGTCGACCCAATAAATATGGTTACTATACCAAAGTGAATAATTATGACAATTGGATAAGACGTTTAACCGCCATTCATTAGTGATTTAAATTTTTCAATTTCTTTATTCATATTTTTTTGTGTAAATTATTTCTCTTTTGTCCTTGTTTTTTTTTCATTATTCATTTTGTTTCATATTTTGAAAAACATTCTTAATTCAATGCCATTAATCAACATCTTCATTTATTTTCAATATTTGTAAAAAGGCTTTTGAACATAATGCAGGATTTTTTTCTTTCTACTTAAAATGATTCCTCATCAAATTTTTTTTTATGATCAATTATGAAAAACAAAAAAATTCGAAAAAATATAAAAAAATGATGTTTCATTTATTTTTCATGTGATTCAGAAAGCATCTGAATAATCAATATTAACAGTGAATGGACAATCGTTATAAGAATTCTCGTATTTTAAATCAGCATATTTTTGTTGCAATTTTCGTTCAATTTGATCACAATTATTGATAGCTCTGTCGATTGAAATTAGAGCATATTTGGTAGCTGTCCAATTAACCAATGAGAATTTTGATCCAAAATCATAAAACATTTTCAAAGAATAATAAGATAATTTTTCCGATACTGTCAATGGATATGCATTGGGGTTAAGTTGTAAAAATGGGGCACCATAATTCATCAATAAATTGTAGTTTAAATAAGAATCAAGTTCAGACATTGCTAAGCATATTCCACGACTCATAGCTATTCCTTCTGTATATGGATTCGATTTCATGGCTGGTAGCCATTGTTCGAAATAAATTTGACGACATAATTCAATTGTCTCTTCATCAGTCCCACTGCATAGATTGTAACGATCATCGGTGCCCAGACAATAACCGATTACGCGCCAAAAATGAAACATGGCATGGAAATCTTCATTCGTGAAATTATGAAATCCTAGCTGAATTATTCAGCATATACAAAAAATTTAATTGAAGTAAAAAAATTTGAATCTTCATTAAAAAATACCTTTTTAGGAAATATAGCCATAAATCCTACAAAAGTGAATTGAGCAATGCACATTCCATGTTGTGGAATCCATAATTTAGGCTTTCCGTTTTCCATAAAGCGGCCATTTTCGTTCATTTTTTTGGCAACAGACTTATGCATTCCCCGAACTGTACGTAATTGTCGATAACTATCACTTTCTACATTGAATGGATCATCTTTAAACCAATCGTTCACACGTATTATGGTTGAAAGATACCGACGAAATAATTTGGATACAGTACGTGAATTACCGGTACATAATAATGGCGTTGCACCATATGGATCATGTAATACTAATAGAAGGCCATAAAATTGACTGATTCGGATGCTGAAAACACATAGAAATAAAAACAATGAAATGAATCGTGAATTTCATAATGCAAAAACTTACATAGCACCATAAGTTTTAAACAGTTTTTGTGCATGTAGAAATGCTGACTGATCAAACCAAATGGGAGGTTTATTTGTATCGATATCGGGTGAGATACCGATGGTTATTTTGCCTTCATTAGAAATCATTAGCCTACGGGCACGAACTCTTTCCACAAAATCATTTTGATCCATATTTATGAAACTTATAGAAGGAAAACCTTATATCGAAATAGCAATGATACGAATGATCGATAATTTCAAGTTTAAGGGGATGGAAAATTGATCAACAATTTTTAGAATATGAATATGTGTGAAAAGGCGTGTAAATCACATTAATATGATTAGAATTATTGTAAAAACAATGAAAGTTGTTTTCATCAAAAATTCACAACAAACATTTAAAAATATGATGGAAGCCATAGATAAAAAGTTTCCATTAAATACCCAATCACAGCGTTCATCCAATTTGAATGGCAATGAAAATACTAACCAAACAGTTGATAAATCTATGTTCAATACTATTTACATTTCATTTTATATTCATTTAGCGAATAAACATATTATCATGCATCAAATTTTATATTTACTGTTTTTTCCCTGACATCGATAGCAACATGCAAACGAAAGTGAAAGTACATAAAACAGTGTAACAGACTCGTGATTTTCGCGTGAAAAAAATTATCACTGAATTTCTCCCAGTCAAGGTTTGAGTTATCATGTAATGCGAAAATAATCAATGCCAACGTATCTGATCAGTTGACTAAACAATTGCGTTTTCGCAATCTTTTTAGATGCCAATTTTTTTTTGATAATAATTTTTTCCATTTTCCTGTTTCATTATAATTGTATTTGAAGCTTTTGAATTTCATTCACACTTTTGAAGACCATTTCATTTATAAATTTGCTTATCGATATAAATCAATATATACGCTTGCGCGCAAAAATGAATACACGAACAATTTCGCGCAATGTCAAGAATTCGGAATATCTAAGAACGAGAACTAAATTGGGCCAACGAAAAATTGAATCATTTTCTCATAAGTTATCTCATTGAACGATCCGATTGATTTTTTTGTCAAATGTGTCAGTTGTTATGGAAAAAAATAAAATTATCTGGTTTATTATCGGCAAACTATTGAAAATTCTTTTCATCTTGTTATTACTTTTATTGATGATATTATGGATTGCACTTGGCTGTGAGACTGGAAGACAAATTGATGAAGTAAATCAAAAACTTGGACGATCACGTGGTGATGAACGACGATTCTTAATGCAATTGAATCAGGCTGCCGTTGTACCATTGTTTACACGTGCTGCATTGCCACGAGTCTATCTTCTCACTATATTAAACTCATTAATAAATGAATTTATTGCATTAGCTTGTCTCATTTCATTCATATTACGGTCACGACAAATTTTTATTATTACTGAATCATTACTGACATTAATCTGGTTTATTGAACAATATCGTCTCGATGATTTCTATCATCATATTGATTCAATTGATTGGCAAAGTTCACGGTTAAACGTAACAACACATGTCATACATTTGATTGTCATTGCAATCGGATTTATTTGTTGGTTTATTGATCAAAGCTCACATGGTCATATGCGTACGATTCGCGATAATTCCTCTATAGTAAAAGATACTGACAAAAACATAACCGGAACTAGTGGTATTGGACGTCAGAAAAGAGATGGTAACAATAGCGCAGGTGGTAAAGGTGATGGCCATCACGGTGGAGAATCATCACTGGTGAGTGGAATTATTCAATCCAGGTTTGTAGATAACTAATGTTGCTAATATTGTTAGTGAAATTATTCTGGGCAGTTGAATACGTCGATACGTATTGATTTTCATAATTTCATTTATAGATTTAAAAGACATTGCGATTGGATGCGTGATCGATTTTTGTACAACAATAATAACCTAAATAAAATATGTAAGGTCAAAAGGAAAAAATCAATGATGTCTGAATGCAACAAAAACATAGACGCCCATGATAAAAATAATACAAGAAAAAATCAAAAAGAAATGGATGAAAATTTTAAAAAATCAAAAACAAACATGATGACCATGCTTATGACAATGACCAATGATTGTACTGGTAAAGGTTGTCTACAACATCAAGATCAACGAAGCTTTGAACCGGAAATCATTGAAAAGAACCAACAAAATGACGAAACAAACGGCAACGATTATCATCAGTCAGATCAAAATCAAACATTGTCCATAAACGATAACGAAACTATTGTTGAAATTTCACCATAAATACATTAGAATTTCATTGAAATACATTTCATTTCATAGTTATAATAAATTCTTCCTTTTCTTTGTATTTGTTAATGAAATAAATGACAAGCTGTATCTAAGAACAACCACCAAGCAAAAGATCAATCAATCAATCAATCAATCGATCGATCAATTGATCGATCGTTTGTTTCAATCAATAATTGTAACAAGAAGAAAAAACAAAAGTACACACTAACTAATTCATTCTAACTATATAATAATAATAACTAAATAAATAAATGTCCAAAGAGGCAGAATTTTTTCTTTGTTTTATTCCACTGTATACTAGAAATATTATTAAGACAAACATATTTTATCATGAAATATCAATGATATTATGAACATGATGAAAAATTATTATTGGTTCCATTTTTATGATTAATGCCAAAGTCATATGACTGCATATAGTCGAAATTCATAAAAAAAATTTGGTTCCGTAAGCAAGCATAAAAACAAAATTCAAATTAGATATACAAATTCATACACGATGGCGCTCGCGCTTCCATTCATGTTGAGTTTTAATTGTTTTAGCCTAGATTCTGATCATGATTTCAACGTGACACAAATCTTGTTATAATTATAATCAAGATGATGAATCCATTTAAACAATTACCTGAATTAAAGAAACATTACCATGGTTATAGTGATGGGAACCACAACAATAGATCGTTTGGCCATAGATGCCCGGAAGAAAGGTGCGAACTATTATCAAGTTTTCATTTTTCTCGATTTAAGATGTTCACGAATATATGCATATTTTATTTAAATTATTCTATGGTTGAATCGATGGTTATCCGATGATAGCGACGATTGCCCACGTATCCGAAATCAGCCTCTAAAAAACCATACTTATATGATGACGATTCAAAAGCAACGTTCGGAACATTTGTTTCAATCGTTAGAGCAGAAGCGTTTGGATCGATCGTTTACGATTCGATTGCCACGATTCATGGATATTGGCAAATATATAACCTGTAATTATTTTTATGAAACAGCTGCTCGTTTCAGTTCGGATGAACGGAGGCGTAGTTTTTATAAATCATTGAGAATTGGGTAAGTGTGGAACATGTCTATTCGATATAGATTCTTTTGAAACTATCAACCTTATTTTCGTTATGTAGCGACAAATTCATTGCCAAAGTAATGCACATCTATAATCGTAATGCTGAAGTTCTTTTGGTTTGGTCATACAAAAGAGATATTCATGATCTAAGATTGAAAGCTAATCTGCGATTGGAACCACATCTTCGAACGTCGAAATCAAACCGAAACTTTAATAATGATAATGATGACCAGAATATAGAACGATCAGAATTGATTAATGTCGAATTGATCGATTTCGAACATATTTCTTATCATCTGGACGTTATACGTTGTGGACCAAATGAAAAATATGGACACAGTGAGGATTTGGATGAAATCGATGAGACAGCAATTCGTCATGGGCGATATCGTACGATTGGACCTGATCAACAATCTTTTTATGATTATATGATGGATCACAATGACTTGAGGAATCCATCGTTGGTCAAATTACATCCATTTACTTCAATGAAAAATTTCGATCACGTAATCAACTGTCTTGAATATAGGAATGAGATTAAAGCACAAAAATTGCGAATAAATTACGAATCAACAATAATTGCTCATACTAGCAAAGCAAAAATTACTCCTTCAGACATTGAACAAACACCGAAAACCGTTTCAGATATCGTTAAACTGAATTTTCCAGAATCATCCTCTCAAAAACGATCTCGATCATCATCTACGACATCGACATCAAGTGATTCCGAATCATCATCCTCATTATCATCTCATGGCCATCACAGACATAGGCGATATAAATCAAAAGATGGCAATGTAAGCAACCATAAACAAACAAAAAACAAGAAACGACACCATCATAAAACAAAGAAATCTCGGCACAATCGTATATCGGATTCATCAAGCGAAACAGAATCGAGAAAAAGTCATAAAAGAAAAAAAAGAAAGAAAAAGAAAACATCAAAATATTCGAAACATCGTTCCAGAACAAATAACAATGACAACCGGATTGATGATAAAATATTGCAACTATTGAAATTTACTTGAGCATTTTTTGCTATTGGAATCAGTTTTGTACTTGGTCTGTAATTATTAACGAATGAAATGAAATGAGTTACATTTTATCGAAAAAAATTTTCGTTCCATATGAGTGTGCATCAAAGAATAAAAAAAAGATAGAGAAAAATACACTTGGTGCTTACATACCAAACTAATACAAGTTACAAAAAAAAAAAAATAATTAGACAAACAAATAATAAAACAAAAAAAAGAAAAAATTAATCAAAATAAAAAAAATGGTTCAAGTATGAGTTGAGATTTTTATTCGTTTATCTAATGATGAGTATATTATTCGGTTCAATAGTTGGTCATATCTGGAATCCTATAATGGAACAAATCCTATAATTTGATGATTATATTTTTTTTTAATCACAGATCATTTCTTAAGAATGGATTCAATTCATTATGATCATCAATGATGATTCGTTGTCGTTTATTCACCGTACGTAATGGTGTCATTTTGATTACTGGCAATGTATTTGTCGCCTGTGTTGAATGACAATGATGATTCTCATTGTCAGGATTATGAATAGATTTTCGAAGCTGTACGGTATGATCAGGATTGCAATGGTTGTCATTATGGTGAAGACCGTCATCAGCATTCGATTTATTATTACAATCCAATAAAGGCTGATATCGTTGCTGTAATATTCGACGACGTTCATTTTTGTAGTGTTCGACTTTCTCTCGATTTATACCAGTTTCAGCAACAACAGTTTGATAATGATGATCAGTAAATGCAGATGGATATGACATTCGATAACTTTTTGGATCCAATTCGATTTCGAAATTCATCGTAGGACTTGTCGCCGTTAACGATGAGGATGATGATATATTATTATTGTTAATGATCAACGATTGTTTCGATGTATGATCATTTTCATCGAATTCATTGTCATTGAATGATGATGATAGTTGCTTGATAGTCGATGACTCCCCAAATGCAGTCGTTATCGGTGGATATAGATCGAAAATGGATGTTGGTGGTAATGATGATAATATATCTGGATCTAAAATGGGTGATTTAACCCGGCTACTACTATGGCTATAAAAGCTGCTTTGATAGCTATTGTTGGAATTACTGCGGTTATGGTCAACGAAATTTTCCTTATCATCATCATCATCATCATCTGACGATGATATAAGTGTCAATGTTAAACCATTTGGAGTTGATTCAGATCTAGTCCCTGTTGATTTTTTCATATATTCTGATTCTTCGGTATATTTTTTTCTCAATATATCATCATCGTCACAATCATTGGAGGCCAATTTTTCATCATCTTCAAAAATGGTTTCATCAGCGATTCGGTGATGATGTTCACTAGCAGTTGTATCTGCTATTACCATTTTACCCACATGATCATTATTAATGGTATTATTATTATCATCATCAGGTTGTTGTCGTCCATGGGTTATATGTTGACGAGGACGATTTATATCTCCAGTTTTCATTTTCTTAAAATATGAATCAAATGAATGTGATCGTTTCACTGGTTTATTGTTGTTTACAAAGCATAGAATTTTACTCTGAAAACTGGCTGTATGTTTCATTGAATGGCAAGTATTCAATAAGGATTCATTGATTGTCATGTCGATGTGTTTTTTCATATTGCCAGCACTATGGCGATTTTTGATGGATTTTTCATCATCGCAGCCAGTTGAAACCGTACGACGATGTTGAAGTGGATGATGTGGTGAAGACCGATATCGAACACTATTTGATGGAGAAGCACGTGTTGTAAAAAGGTTTTGAAATTTAAAGTTTTGTAAATTAAATTTTGATCGCTTTGATTGTGATGGGCGACACGATATAATTGTATGAAATTTTCCTGGAACAATTTCACTGTTAAATAAAAAAAAAGTTATTGAAAAGAAAAATAAAATATTTTCAATCTTACGGTCCAACTTCGATGTATTTTAGACATTTCGATGATAGTGGTGGTGATTTTTGGCCATATTCTTTCGTATCTACAAACGAAGAATAAAGCGATTTCGATGGATGTAGCTCATCTTCGCGATCAACTATGAAAAATTTAAAATTTAGTCTTTCATATAAAATCAAGAAAATGTACTCACATATTTTATCACAGTTAATGATTAAGAATTCAGTTAAAACTGCCTGAGTAGCGACAATTTGTAACGCTTCTTTACCGAGATCAAGTGTTTTTGTACGCAATAAATTTGGTGCCCAAACAATGGCAATATTTTTCGTTGTCATACCAGTATGAGCATGAAATTCGGAAACATGTGCTAAATGTTTGATAAGATAACGCAATGTTCGCCAATGTGGTGGGGGTAATCGGCGGACCAATTTTCTTATACTTTGAATACGTTCATTTTCGTCGATTGTATCATTACGCATAGTCGATATGAATGAATCAAACAATGCATAGGTTAGCAATGGATTAGGTAATTCTCGAAAATACAGCTTCAATAATGATCCGACAGCATGTAAATCTAATGGTTCAACATCATTTTGACGGCTCAAATCGTTATTGGTGTCTAACAATTCGATCGGAATACGATCTTCATCAAATATTGCCCTTAATCGATTGATCGTCGAAACAACACCGGATATTCGATATATACCATTGGTATTAAACCCATATTGTTCAATATATGAACAGCAAGCAGTCAATACTAAAGGATATTCATGGCCAGAATTTTCTAAATGTTCACAAAGATCACAACCAAACACCCGTTCTTTAAGTATACCACTACGACGTAATTGGTCACGACGACGCATACGAAAACCAGTAACAAAGTTACGAAACAGTGCGGAAATCTTTGTTCGTTTCCGTGACGCTAATGATTGTTGATCATCAGCTTGGTCATGGCCATTATCATCACTATCACTGAATGACGAATTCATTAAATCAACGCCACCACCATTTTTTTGCCGTGGCTGACGGCCGACAGGCGTAGGCGATACACATTTTTTTAACGGTCGTAATGATCGTAGGTCCGATTTCTTCGATATCTCATCATCGATCAATTTGACACATTCAGCTGGGAAATAACCAACCTATATTATAAAGTAATTGCAGCGTTAATTTGTTTGATAAATAAAATAAATTAATGGAATCCTGCTGAGAAGATAAAATTAAGATTTCAAACTCACCTCAAAACCTTTTTTGCCCTTCCAATAGAAGGATTCATTGGGCGGTGGCATTTCAATCACGGAAATTAATTCGCCAATATCTAATGATATTTCTGTTTCTACATCTTTTTTACAATATTTTTTCGTTACGAATGCTGCCCCAATGGCTGGTGTATTAATATCTGATTCCTAAAAATTTTCAAAATTTAGTAACTAAAATTTTTATCAACATTTCAATTACCTCTTTGATTAAACGATTTCCATGATTGTCCATTTCGAACCAATGTAGAATTGGGCCACATGTTAACAATGATGTATCGACAATAGTCGATAATCGTTCCAAGTAATTATCAATGTGATATAATATCGAATCCTTCAATTTAAATGAGAAAAATGTAAATGATAACGGCATACAATATAAACAAAAAAAAAATTTCCACATACCATGCTATCAAACGAAGTGAAAAAGCAATCCATATCCAATTTCATCAATTTCGAATGTTGTCTATCGAATATGCATTTATGTAGCTGAACATCAAGAAAGCTAAAATCTCGAAGATCTCGTCGTACGGTCCATGATCGTTGTGAACAGTGAACGCGGACAAAAATGTGTAGATTTTGTATGAATTCAACAGTCAACAAGTGACCATTATTTGATTGGTGTAGATTATTGCATTGATGATTATTAACAATTAATGATGCATGAAAATCATCCTAAAAGATAATTTTTTTAAAACAAAAATGAATGTTAAAATTGATTGAAAAAAAATTGAAATACTCAACATACCAATTCGGCACTCTCATAATGGAAATGAGCACATTCATCTAATTTTGGAAAATGAAACATCGAATTATCGAATGATTGCCTTTTTCTGGCTACCAATGGATTCATAATTGATTGTGGCATTTGTGGTGATATGATATCTTCTTCATCTTCAGTGGATGATGATGAATGATGTGGATTTAAGAGGGTATTTATTGCCATATTTTGAGCAGAAATTTTTTCTTGGAAAAAAATAAGGAATGTTGAAAACGATTGAAAAAATTTGCTTTCTCAAAGCCTGTACATGCAAATTCGTTGCTTGTACCAGCACCGCTGCAGACGCAGCCTTTCAATTGTAAAAACCAAGTGAAAAATGATCAGATTTTATTCACTTGTGAATTTGGGTTAATCTAGAATGACGCGATGGAGTTTGATCGATGATATAAACTCAAGAAAAGGAAAATGAGATCGATTTCGGTTTATAAAGTTTGTCGATTTTTTTTGATGCTGTTGGCGAGACAAATTTTTTTTCACTACTTAAAGTTTTCTATGCGATATTGGCAGGATGAATCATTTCATTCTGGACGAATTATAGCAGATATATTTTCATGCCAATAAGATGGAATACAGAATTTTCTAAGGAGAAATAAACAAAAAAAAATCATAAGAATAAACTGTGATTTTATATATGAAAAATTTATCAAAATTTATGAAAATGCAAAACTATTAAACGTTTTAAATACGAATCCAATGAATTTTTTGTTTAATGTTAAAGAGAAAAAAAATTTCATCATCATTTCGATTAGATGAATACATTTTTTTCATTTTATTCATTTAATGATCGTTTGTTTGTTGCGAAAAATTTAATACAATTATTTTACGAAATATTCACGTACTTGATCGTTTTTTATTCGATCATTACTTTGAACGATTTCAAGGTATCAACAAACAATGTCAAACTCACAAGGACAAAGAGCTATCATCATATATATCGATCATTATTAAATAGGGCATCAATTTATTAAAAAAAGAAACAGTCAAATTTTCGACAAGATGACAATCAGATATGAGTTGATTGAATATTAGTGATTCACACAAAAAAGACCGGAAATCAATTGACATAGTTTATGTTTATTTTTTCACAAGAAATAATTTTCAAATGCGAAAGAAAAAGTAAAGAATTATTCATTGTTTCAAGATAATTCATGACTAAGCAAACGAAAGAGAAATTTTGATTTTCGTTGAACATTTTTAAGAATCACAACAAATACGTTTGGGAAAAAATTCTGAAATAATCAAATAAAATAACAAAACAAACGTGAAATAAACGTACGATCATTTCTGTCAATTTCGTTTATCTTAATTATTTTATACATGGCCTCAGACACAGACAAACAAAAGTGAAGATATCTTCCACCTGTATTATTACATTAACCATGATGATGAGGATCATGTAAAACACATTATGGTATTCACAAACTAGTTGATTTTTCGTCTTCACTCTTTCATGATAATTTGAAAGAGACAAATATGATGGCAGGGAATAAAAATCGGGTAACGTTCGAGAATAAACATTTAATGATATAGACTGGATTTTCAACCGCTTCAATTGCTCTTGATGATCAGACTGGTTGTGGTCGTGGTTTCGACAACGATTGTTTCTCTGTTGTTTCTACTCTCTTACAGGTATGTGTATTGTAAAATTATATATACAATATTTTTTTTTCTTTGATTTTGGATTTATGAAAGAGTTGAGATTATATATACGAAAAGTTCGTTGTCCTCATCATTGGTTTTTTAGTGGTTGCCGTGATGGTTTCCAAAATAATAAACATAATCATAACAATAAAAAATATCATCAATCATTAGTAATAATAGTTGGATACCGTTATTTATATATAATAAAAAGACACATCCAATCAAATGTAAAAAAAAAGAGAAGGGAAGTAGTCAAACGAAATAAGCTAATATAAAAAAAAATTTGTAGCTCAATCCAAAAGTCGGTAGTTTATTTATTTTTGAGAAATATCACAAAAACAAACTAATGAAAAACCCACATAAAAAGAGAAATATCGAATAATAATCATCATCAACATGTAGACGATCCTGGTTGAATTTTCATATTAAGAACAAATAAACGAGAAAAAAAAAAAATAAAGAACCCGAACTTACTCTCATTCTCGATGAAAATTGTTGATGTTGCCTATATATTAATATAAAATAGACCAGAAAAATTTTAAATATATATTCACCATGGAGATTCGGATGATAATGATGATGATGATGATGATGATGATCGGTATCGAGGATGATTGAAGTTTTTTCGATCATATGCAATTTACAAGCTACGAAATTTATTCAATGAGGTATTTAGGTTTCAGTGATAAAAGCATTTAGTAAAAAATCCAACCCACTCAAAATGAGATTGGAATGAATAGATTTGAAAATAAACATGAAAAAAATTGCAATGCAATCGCATTTAGGATTGGTTGCGATCAGGATTATGACGCCACATATATTCAATGTAAAGATTTGCAACTATTAAACCTAACCAATCAACAACAACAACAACAACAAATGAAAAATAATGGATAATTAAAATACGCATGCGTGTTATGAACATTGAGCATTTTGAATTGGGTTTATTCATTTAGGTCGAAATGGATGCCATTTAGTTTAGTTTCATTATTATTGTAATAACTGGATACATTTAAATTCTTTAAAGAATTTTCTTATTTAAATAATTAAGACCCGAATTTCAATATAAGACGATGGCTTCGTTATCGATTGTTGATAAAATCAATCATCAACATAAATCTCATCTAAAACATTTTGTCGTACAAACACGATCATTTCAGATTGAAAAAAGTCGAAATATGGAAATGTATCCACGACTGAGAATCCATATTCAGCGACAAAATGAAAAACGAAAACAAGGTTTGTTTATATACGATCATTATTAAAATCAATCCTACATCCTCTTATAACCTATAAACATTTTTAAATTTTTGATGTTCAATTACAGAAATGGAAATGAGCGAAGAATTAAAACGAGCAAAAAGGGAAAAAGAATTGAAGCACAATCTTGATAAACGGACATTGGATGAAATCAAAGAGGAAATCACCCGTAAGGAAAGAAAATTGGCCGATTTAGGAAGTGAAAAACATAAATTGTTTGCCGAATTCAAAAAAGTTTGTAATGAAGATAATAGTAGAAAGAATTTACAACGACAAAAAGAAGCAAGTGTCATGCTAAATTTGACGTTTGGACCATCACAATCTGGTGGACCTGGATCACAACAATTGCCCCTTTCGTTAGCAACATTGCCATCGTCATCATCATCGGCAGCAACTTCATCAGCATTAGCTTTGTCTCAGTCACAATTGAATCAAAATGTTGCTTCGTTGAAATTTCCAAACGCTCAACACCACCCCTCTTCGATAACAAACTCAAATTCTATCATTCCACCGTTACCAAATCCTACGATTATGCCATTGCATGAATCTTTTTATGCAGTTCATCAAAACGCTAGTGGTGGTAATGCTAGCCATCCATCTAATAAACAACCTCCTCCTCAAAGGTTTCTTTCTGCTCCTCCAGTTACCATGGCAGTTTATAGTGCTAATTATGCGACACAACTTGAACGTCAACAGCAACAAAGATCATCTGTTCAAACGAATTCAACCACAACTTCAGCTTCATTGCCCAATGTAATGCCATCAGTATCGAGCCCATATTCATTGATTTCAAATTCTAAAGTGGCCCCACCACCACCACCCACACCCATCTACTCGAAACCACCTCCTTCATCATCGATGAACCCTGCATTAATAGCTGGTGGTATACCATTTCAAGCGATTCCACCAACCGGCAGCGATCGTCTACCACGGTTATCATCATCATCATCAGCTCCGATCGTATCATCAGCTGGATATAAACGACTACATGAATCATCCAATCCAACTATTGTTTCATCGACCGGATCCACATTGCCAACATTAAATTTAGCGGCGGTTGCCGCTGCTGCCCACTCAGGCCATCAACAGGTTCATCCAACAGCTGCACATATTCCTGCATTCTTATCTGCATATCCACCACCACCTCCAAGTGGTAAACCACAAGGACAAGCACCACCACCAGGAAGTATATTGCATCCGGTATCAGCTGGTTCTGCAGCTGCTGCTTTTCCACCAGGTCTTTCTCTCACACCACATATGCAATCATTTCAAAATTCAATATTTCATCAATCGCTCATAATGGGTGGGCAGAACCCATTCCTACCACCTAATACTAATCCTCCAAAGTAATTATTTAACAATTCATTATTTTTTTAAATTTTATTTTTAAAAATAAAAATTTACAAATTAATTTCATCTGTTGTTCGTGTTTTTTTTCAACTAAAACATCACAAATTCCGTACTAAGAATCAGATTAAAAATCTTCAGTGTAGTGGTCGTTTATGGTAATCAGAAAAAAAATGATTGTTGCGGTTGAATGATCACAATATTTATATCGAAATCGAAAAGTTATTTAGAACATTTAGAGGAATTTCATTTTGAAAAAAAGCAAAGCACATCATTTTTTTTGATTCATGAAAAACAAAATTATTTACATTCCAATTATCAATATCATATATGATTTAAATTTTTATGATAAAAAGTAATAAATTAATGATCATGTTATAGACACATTTTTCTTTAAAAAAAATAAAAACGAAATGAGCTTAAAGAGAGTATCACACAATGTTGAATTATTTTTCCTTTGCTGAATTATGATTTTTTAATGACGATTTGTATTATTTCATGTGAGGAAACAAAAGCCAAGCCACAAAAGATATGGTGAAGGAATTTATTGGGCACGAGAATTCGGGCCATATAGATTTCTGATTTCCGATTTATAATAATCATGAATGTTTTTTCTTCGAATTTTCAATGCAGCTGTGACAAGACCGCTAGTTCAGTAATAAAAATGAAAATTAGCTTAAAGTAATGTAAAATTCAATTACATACCTATCAGGAAGCCATTCCTCCGAACATAAATGAATACGAGCTGGAGTTTCCATTTTATGCAATCCTTGTTTAGATGCATATTGAATAATATTTTTTGTTACAGCATCGGTAATCTCTTGATCACTACAGATTTCTTTATAAGTTAAATAACCTTTTCCCAATGATTCGGCTAGAGTTTTGATAGTTTTTGGATTTGGTACGATCAATGCGATTAAATGATCATGAAGGGAATCACCGATTACACAAATCTGTGATGTTGACCAACAACAACAAAAAAATTGATAAGTCAAACGAATATGTTGAAATAAAATAGCAAACCTACATTATCAACATAAGTAGAACACTTAAGTTCTGCTTCAACTTTTCCCAACGAAACATATTCACCGAATTGAAGTTTGACAAGATCTTTACGACGATCAATAATTTTCACAGTGCCATTTGGATACATTTCACCAATATCACCAGTATGGAACCAACGGACACCATTAGAATCTTCATGATAGGATTCTTGAGTGAGTCGATCGTTTTTGAAATAACCTTTAGTAACCATTGGACCACCGACAACGATTTCACCACGTGGATATGGCTTATCCATTACCCGATAATTGCCTTCGACCCAATCGATTAATCGTACCTGGGTTCCATACAATGGTGCACCGACACGACTAGTTGATAATTCATCAAGGTCCATCAAGGTACCGGCAGCAGCACATTCAGTTAGACCATATCCTTGCAATACTTGAACGTCTAGACAAGCTTGGAAAAATTCATGGGTTTCACTTCGAAGAGGTGCACCACCGATGGCAAGATATTTGATTTTACCGCCCATAATTTGTTTGATTTTGTTACAAACCAACCCGTTAATAATCGGAGTTCGATAACCTTGTTTCGTCCAATATCGTTTGTAATTGATAACAAAATCGAACAATTGTTTGGCAAATTCGCCTTTTGCATCAATTTCTTCTTGAATGCCTTTCGATATACGATCCAATACCAATGGAACACCATTGACAACTGTTGGTTTCAAAAGTGTGAGATCACCGGGGCAACCTTTTTTGATTCCAGTCGATTTGTCAGTCATAGTCAACGGAGTACCATAGCCAATAGACATGCCAACTGACATGAAGAAAAATTCACCTGCCAATTCGAGGACATGAGCTAACGGTAGGTAGGCGAAATAGCGATATTCTTCTTTCATTATGTATGCAATAGCATGGTAAGCTTTGGCCGATGCAAGAACATTTCGCTGTGAGATCATAACACCTTTTGGTATTCCAGTTGATCCAGACGTGTACATAATGATAGCTGTATCTTGTGAACGAATTTTCGGCAAAGTCGATGCTAATGGTTGAGATTGGCCTTGCTGTTCCAGTTGAGCGAATGAAACAATCTTAACTTCTGGTGGAAAAGTTGTGGCCATCTTTTTGATACTGGGAAAATAAATAATTCGAGATACTAGCGGTGTTTTTGGCAAGACTTTCAACAATTTTGACATCTGATCTTGACTGGTAACGATGTGTGTGCATTCAGTTTCATTCACACCGTGTATGATACCATCAACACCAAGAGTCGCGTATAACGTTGCAACCGTAGCACCAATTTTACTCAAAGCCAATGCTGACATTAACCATTCAGCACGCGTATCCGACATGATCATTACAATGTCACCATGTTTAATACCTAATTCAAAAAATTTTGAAAAAAATGATTTGATGCTTAATAATTTTGAATTCCAACTAACCTTGTTGAATGAATCCTGATGCAATATTATCGATACGTTTTTTAGCTTCATTATAGGTCATCCATTGATAATCGCCTAAAACGAATTTGCGAAATACACGACCATTTGATTGAACATCTTCCGTCTCTTCAATTGTAGGTCGATAACCGAATGCTGGATTCGAGCCAAAACGTTGTACAACGCGATCAAATAATTGATGTATAGTTTCACAATCATCAATCAAACTAGGTGCTGGTTCACCAGTACAACGAACCCACGGACTATAAGGAGTTGAAGGATCCAATTTTCGTGCTTTTGGCTTGCAGCTTTTATCCACAATCAACCATGGTTTTTGAACATAGTAATAGATTGGTAACGATAAGACGCTATACAAGAATGCGAACTAAAAGAAAAGAATTTGAAAAACAAAATAATTTTAAAAAATCCAGCAGAAATGATGAACTTACAATTTTGATCAATGTGATTAAAATGGTGGCCAAAATTTTGGAACCCATTTTTTTAGATGAAGTTGGATGAGTGGTGGTGGTTGTAGGTGATGTTGATGATCTAGTTGATCCAGGCATTTTGTCGCTGTCTTTTATTCACTCCTGGTATTGTTGTTGATTTGTAATTGAATTCGTTGATGATTTGATTATCGATGTTGTTGTGGGCAATTGACGGCTGTTATTTTTTTCTTTTATCGTTTCTTGATAATTTTTATGATTATTATTCAAAGAGGATAGCTGTTGTCGTTTATGCTTATTATTAATCATATAATAATAAATAAATATAAGTTTTTTTTCGATGAAATGTAAGCAAACTAATTCAACAATGTACGATGTGTGTGCGTTAAACAAGCAAATTAAAATTAAAATGAGCAAATCGATCGTTTTATATATGGTAAGATGATAAAATCGGGATGATTTGATCGACGTGTGTGTGTGTGTGTGTTGTATGTGATGATCGATTTCGACTATATTTGTATAGACGAACTTGAGCCAGAAATTTTGGCTTGACTTCACACAATTGGTTTAAGATAGATTTCAATGTCAGATGCGTTCACCGATGATTAAAGTGTAAAGAAAAACGTATATACGATACATAAATAATCTGGCGACAAAAAAAAATATAACTTCCAAGTAAGTATGGCGAGACAAGGGAAGAATTATTTTTGGCAACAATGTTTTTCTGCTTTGTTGAATGTTATTGTGTGTTTGTTGTTGTTGATTTGATTTGATTCTTGTTCGTTATAATTGTTTTGTTTTGTAATATACAGCAATCAAGTACACGATTCAAATATAGATCAAATTTCTAGTGAAAAAAGGGTGATCAGTTTCTGTTATCAGATGAATGAATGTAATGAATGGGAAAAAATTATTTCCTATTTATACATGGAAAAAACTGCTACAAGACTAGACAATGATGTACCAAAAAAAAAAAAAAAAATGCTGGATATATTGTCGAATGATAATTATGTTGGCTAAATTTTGGTGATTAATCAATAAATCGAATGATTAATTTGATGAAAAATAGCGGAAAAATTCTGAAGAATTTTTGACGAAGATTAATATATCGATTCTTGTTTATTGTTTGTCTTATAAAGATGAGGATATAATAGATTCGGTGGCCGAAAATAAGGGAGAAAAAATTGTTTTTAGATGACCATACGAATGACTAATAATCACAATAAATGAATGATAATGAATTGCATCAGAAAAACAAACGTTTATTGTTTTCAATGATTCGAGATCTTTTAAAAAATACATCAGTGATGATAATAGATTAAATGTTGATCATTGAATTAACATCATGTATTCGTCAATTACTGTTACGCCACAAATTTTTTTTTTTTTTTTAATATCAACTGTTTGAAATACCTGTATATCATCCGATTTGTGGTATGTATAATATTACATGCTACTACTACTGCGGAAATCCGTTAATACAAGCATATATAGAGAGACACTGAGTCATTCGAATAATCACGCCACAAACCATCAATGTGTTGAACGACACGCAAGCAACAATTCTGATTGGTCGATACAAACGTCAGACCATTTTCAATTGTGATAGCTACATTGAAATTTATACAGTGTATCCACTGTAAGTTTGGATTCAATTTACATTTGATTAATTTTTCTAAAATAATCTTTTTTTTCTCAAATTGCTTTCAAATTTAATTGATAAAATAAATTATCAATCAATTATCAGTTATTGAACTGATTTTCTAATCGCTAACGATAAAATAATGAAGAAATTTCGAATGACTATTAGAAAAAAAATATATAAAAGATAAATTGAAAATTTTCGGTATTATTATGATTATTATTCTCATTAAAGAGATTCATTTGAAATCTGTGAATGTACGCGTGTTCCTTGAAAAAAAATCACGAGTTTATCATGTATTCAAATGCCATGATTTTCTACATAAACATAAACAAAAAAATCATTCCTTCAACTGACATAACATATAATAATATAATTAATGAGGCAACAATTTTTCGAAATAAATTAATAAGATAAAAAATAATTTAGAAGGGAGGTGGCTAATAAAAATAACATCATTTTCCAATCATTATCAATCAATTGTCAATCACATAAATGGATGACATTGCAATTCGTCATATTATCGATTCGATTGAGTCATATAAAATGATGATCATCATCATTTGTAGAATTTTGTAAAATTTATATTTTTTACGTTTCCTCAACAAATAACAATGTCAACCAACATTTTATTCGATTACATTATGAAATAACTACGCAAAACAAAGTTGGTTTTATTTCAAAGAATTCATCATCATCATCAAGATTAATAATGTCGTTTTGTTCACAAAAAAATGACGTAGCCACCAAGATGTTCAAGAGAGAGAGAGAGAGAGAGCAAGAGTGATCAATATGATGAAATCAGATTTTTTTTAGATTTGCATCATCTTTACATCATCAGTTACAAAAATAATTAACCGAGTGCAATGGCCATTGATTTTTTTTTTTTTTTTTTGATGATCATCTAATGATCTTACAACATTTTTTTGAGGATGATACATTCTAAAACATTCGAATTCGAATGTTTTTTATTGTTAGAAATTTTTTTTTTATAACTCTTATCTATCGCAAATTGTTGAGTTTTTTTTGCTCGGTGTCGTCGGTATCATCAAATTACATGATTATTAAAAAACAAAATTGCCAAATGCCTTGTTTTTTTTCGTTTCCTTTAGTACGATTTTTATCAATTTTTTTTCCCATAGTCATCGGAAAAAAATGAATTTTTTATCTACTGATTTTGACCAGATTTTTTGTCAACGACAAAATAACCAAACAAACAAAAAAAAATTGTCGTCCTAAAAATAAATTCAACAAACAACAACAACAAAAAAATTCGATAAACTTTGACATTCATTTCTTCGTTGCTCTGTATTATTATTTAGTACATATATGTTCGAGTAAATTTCCTTTATGAATAGATATGTGATTTTTGTCACCACTAATGTACATCGTGCACACAATATATATATATTGTTGTGATGAAAGTTTGATGTAGAAATGAAGATTATCGTTGTATTTTTTTTTGTCTGTTGTTTCGGTTGTCATTTGAAATTGAAAAAATTTTTCATCACTCATTAATGAAAAGCATACATATATAGTATATAGTAGTATATCATTTATAATCTCAATTTTTTTCTTGGTAAACAGAGTTATAGTAGCTCAAAATTAAAACAAAAAACTGAATATTTATCAATTACAGTGCAATATAAATGTTGTTGTGATTTATAATTTTTTTTCTTTTCAAATTTAACCAATACACAAGGCCTGTATAAAACACAGAGATACACATAATAACGTAATGAAATTAATAAACAAGAAAAGGAAATTTAAATTTTCCCAATGTTGCTTGCTTATTTTTTTTTGTGGATAAACCTTGGTTTGTAATAATTTTTTTTTTGCAGAAATCAATCTGAAAAAATTCATAACACGAATCAAGGGGCCCTTATTGACTAACAAACAAAAAATCCTTCCGATTGCCAATGACTTCGAGGCGATCATCATGATTTTTAATCATAATAACTAGATATCATCAAAATAATTGTGAAAAATGAACTATAATGAAATGACGAAAAAAAAATCAATTCTAATCCTTGGATTTGAAATAATGAATAAGAATCATGGTCAAAAAAAAATATTAAACATTAACGCCATCTATTGTATCTCGATCAAAATTTATCGAAACTTGATTATTAATAATAAAAAATTATCAAGATATCCAGAAACACTTTCACCATGAAAAAAATATTGATTAGATATAATAATAATTTAATTAATATTTTATTTGAATAATAAAGTTATTTTCACTCGATTGATTTGATCACTAAGTATTCATATGTATATATTTTTTTTTTTTTGATTATCATGATCAATCAATGATTGATTGAATGATTCCAATTTACAGATATTTTTTTTATAAAAACAATGATAATAAAATTGAATGAGCATGACTGATGATTTCGAACATTTTAAATAAAACAAGATTAATTATAAATATAATTGTATAAAAAATAGAGGTATCAAAATTATGGATAAATATCATATCAAGAAAAACATATAGGCACAAATCGGACTTTAATTCCAAAGATATCGAATTGTTGTATCGTCTTAGATTAATCAATTTTTTTCACTCTTTTAAGAAATCATGATATTTTGGAGTGGAGAATCCATCCATAAGTTGATAATGATGATAACATGATAGGATATGGGTCCATTGAAACTCCATTTTTTTGATATGATTCTGATTAAATTTTTTTTTTCATACTTATGGGTTAAATTCAGATATTTTTTTTGGGTTGAATTGATGGAATTTTACAATTTACACGTTGATTGTTGCACAAATAGACGAAAATCCGCCATACTTGTTATTCCACGTAAATGACAAATGGCTGCTAATATCACAAATACATGGAATAATTGATGCGAATGAAACTAAAAACAAAACAAATTAGTATAAATCGAAAAATTGATTTGATAGAAACACTTACATAGAAATCAAATTTTCCTGGACAAAATCGTTCCGGTATACGCAATGCATATACAATAGCACCGATAATATAGAAAATGGCCATTGCTGTCAGACAAATAATTGCCGTACGAAATGATGAATGATAAAAAGTTTTATCATCGGAATGCACCCAAAACCAATGTACAGCAGGTATAAAACTGAAGAATGCATATGAAAAAAATACCGTGGCACGTAATGGTCGATATTGTGGTTCAGAAAATTTTGCCGAAAACGATACAGTTACGGAAGCGGCACAAAGGAAAATTGTCATTATTGTATAAGTGATTTGTGAATAGAATGAACAATAGAACGCATAATAAAGACAAGGAACAATTGAGCCGGCAATCAACAATGAAATGCCACAATAATCCAATCTATGAAAATGAAAGAAAACGAATTAAAAAATGAAAAGTTAAAAATCACTTAAAAAACTTACTTGCAAACCAAAATCAAAACCTGATGTGAATGACATGCAAGCGTATGGTAACAAGTGGAAAATGCCAAACAAAGTATTGCAGTGGAGAGGAAAATACCTAGCATTATTTTATCAATCATTGGTATGGTTGCATAAGCACTGGCTACAAATAAATAGATGCTTAATAATAGAAAACAAATACATCCAAGGCCATGGGTCCATATATTCATTGTTTCCGTATGTAAACGAAAAATTGACCAAAAACATGCTTTGAATGAAGCTAATGGTGGTCGATGGCCAAATAATAAATAATCATTATCCTGTAACCATTGTGGTAGATGATTAAAATGTCGTAGATTCCATGCATTATGTAACATATTCATCATCGCATGCTCCATATTACCAGCTTTTTCAACCAATTTTTTCGATACCATCATTAATTGATTTGGATGATGGATCTGATGACCAAAATTATCATCATTATCCATTTGCTGATGACCGCGTAGCCTTACACCGATATTATTAGTCGATGATGATGATTTTGTTTGATCACCATCACAAGCATCGAGATAATTTGATTTGTCCATTTGTTCAAAAATGGTGGCCGTTGCCGTAACAGATGATTCGGCATTTGGGGGCATGATTGATGTTTGTCCTGTTGGATTATCGGCAACGACAATGATTGTAATGTCTTCCTTGTTTTTTTCGTCGTTATTATTACTATCTGGAACAGTAGTAACTGTAATTTGAATCGACCGATTGTCGTCAATAAATTGTTTGTTATTGTTTTTGTTGTTTTCTGGAATAGTCTAAAAAAATATCAAAATATGGAAAAATTTAATTCAATTGTTGATTGAAAAAAATTTTATGCATATAAAAATAACATACAACAATATCGGACATGTTTCAATAGTTTATCTGCCGGTCATATACCACAATAATATACAAATAAATTCAACAAACAAAATGGATTTTATCAATATTAACAACAACCAAAAATGTTGAAATTATGAACAACCAATCAATAAAGAATGATGATGGATAATCTACTATCAAGAAAATTCATGTATGATGATCGAATCTGATTATAATATAAGTAAGGATAGACAATGACTAGATAATAAATACAACCAGATCTCTACAATCAATTAACTGATCATGTCCGAAAAAACCAGTATATTCAACAACCTATTCTCATCATCATCATAATAACCATCAATAGGTGCAAGTTAATAGTTGATTTTGTTTTCAGTCTAAATGGTTAATAACAAAAGTTATTAAATTGTCATCAACATTGTTTGATGTCAACAAATTTAAGATTGAAAAAAATGACCAATTCAATCTAATCCTATCACTATCACTATCTTTATTCACTATAGTATGATAACTTTGACGTTCAAAATATTGAGGAAATGAATGACGTATATGTATATAAAATGATAATTCCATGATGATGAAAACTACGAAAAAAACACGGTTTATGATGTTAATCGTTTTTTGTTTTCGTTGTTTTCAAATCTCAAGTGCAACCATAGGTTTTTTCTGACAAATAATAAATTTCATAGTAATCATGAATAAAAAAAAAATTAACTATCCGCATAATATTAATATATACGTCAATCGAGATCAATTACAAAACACACACACATACAAAAATATATTTGGGAATTTTATTTCACATAGAATTTTACTCAATAACAAAAAATACGTAATTATTTGATCATGTTTAAAGCTAAAGGTTTTTCTCATACACAAACAAACACGTGATATTAATAAGGAAAATGTTAGAAATGATAAAAAAAAACGGACAAACAAATATAAATTTAAAAAAAAACATCATCATGAAATTTATAATCGATTTTCATTTTTAATTTAAAGATTTTTTGTTACTTACCAATTTTCAAAGTTAAAGATAGAAGATCCAATGTATGATGTGATAAAATGTAGTGAGACAAAAAAAACAACAACCAAGTTTATCATTCAAAAAAAAAATTGACAATGATGATTGTTTTAGACTTTGAATGAAATATACATGATGAGGATATTATTATGATGGTTAATAATTTTCATTTGTTCGTCTTGCAACAACACCATATACAAGAAAAAACAGATGATTAAAATAAAAAAAAATTGAACAATTCAAATTAAACGAAAAAAAAATATAAATCTTATGTGAAAAGTTTCTGTCTGCCATTGCCAATGATTGTTGAATGAATGTTGAGTAGTAGATGTGATGAAAAGAAGAAAAAAAATATAAACCGGTTATCATCGAATTTTTTTTTTTTTTTTGATATTTGCGTAATATAAAATTTACAATTGACGTTTAATCGATTTTTTTTATTACTTGTTTTGACAAATTCAACATTTGACAAATAATAATTCGATGACGACAAAGTCATTCGTCGTTGATAATGACGTGGTTAATGATTGTGGAAAAAATTTCATTTCATTTCATTTTATTCATCGTTGACATTTGCATGCTGTTTATGAATGATTTTTTTTGATATATTTTATTAATATGAAATGTAAATGATTAATGTGAATTTTAATTTTTTTTTATCACTTTTTATTCGGCAATTATCAATAAAATAAAGATGATTGATTTTTATCAATCTAGTTCAATGACAAATTTCATACGTGTAAATAAATGTATGTTTGAACAATAAATAAATGGTGGTTAGATAGATTATAATTATTAGATTAAATGTCGTCTTATCTGTTGATAAATATCAATGATGATGATATAAATCAAAGTTTGTTCATAATTTTATGTTTGAAACTTTTTTTTCCAATTTGGTTTGATTTACGTTAGTTTGTAATTATGATCGTGTTCGATGTAGTCAAATGATAATTAGACGTTTTACATTGATATAAAATTTGGATCACATTCAAATATATACAAACACACACACACAGTGAAAGTGATGGCACGAATCACAATCTGGAACGATGGCTATATCGCTGCAAACACTATCACGGATATATTTGTGATGAGAGTTTTTTTGTTTTGTTCCCATTGGTAGAAAAAAAAATCAATAATGAAAAAAAAACAACAACTACTCTGATTTCAGTTCATTCACATTTGAATTTTTCTTCTTCTCTGTTTTTTTTTCATTCAAGAAAATATAAAAAAAAGTTGACTTGGATTTACCACTTATACTGCGTTGCTGTCGGGCAACCAAGATTTAGAGTTTTTTATGAATTCGAATGATTAAGGTCATCGAACATTTGAAATGGAGAGAAGAGGAACGAATTTTGAAGAAAAAAAAATTCGGAAACGATGATTATGTAAGTAACCTCGAACTTTTAAGGAAGTTTTCCACTTTTCTATGTCGATGTTGTTGATAATATCATAGGAATCAAGAAAAAAAAAAATATCTAAGAGAAAAAAACAAGATTTTCCGAAACAACATGCATTTATAAGAGTATGGAAAGATGTATGAAAAAAAAATTGCTTTCAATGGCAAAAATTTTTAAATAACAACTAATAACTGAACCAATGATGATGATGATGTTTAAATGTTTTGATAATCTAGATAGTAATCAAAATCTAGTTTAGCTAAAAGATGCTGCAATGCACTTTCCTACATGAATATATTCATGTGACTATCATGACCATGAAAAAAAAGGATGAAATTATTTTATTTTTCTTTGAATAAGTTTTCTGCAATTATCGTGAAGTATATTTCATTAAAATCTGATTACAGAATTCAAACAAATATAATAAAAAATTAATTAAACTAATTCAAAGAAATTCAAAGAATTTTTTTCCAACATCACTTTTGATAATGGAAACATTTTAACATTGCTTTTAGGTTGTGAAATTTGGCTCACATATGTTGTCGTTATCACATTATTATTTATTATTAATTGGAAGCAAATACATCTGTGATGATGGACTATGCTCATAACAATCGTTGATTTGTATGAATGGGAGAAGAAAATCGATTGTCCACACGTGTTGATTATTTATTTATTTAGTATCATCCATTATTTACATATTTCAAATTAATCAATGATAATTTTTTTAAAAGCAAGGAAAACAAAGCAAATTAACACTTACAATGTATACAAAAATTTTTCACCAATTGTTTATCACCAAAATATGAATGAAATGGCATTTGTTGTTAAATATTCCAAACATGTAACATTTTTGATGTTTCGGATATTAAGATTCGAACTGCAATTTTTCTTGTTATTTGGCTGTTTTTTGAATCTTTTCATAAAAATTATGAAATTCTTCTATCGTATACTGGCAGCCATTAAAAGTTGGTATTATTTTAATCAGTTTTTTTCAATTCTTTCAATTTTCGGGTAAACCAGTTTGAAATTAAAAAAAAAATCCTTTACAGCGTCTAGATACACCTAAGAAAGCAATCAATGTCAACTTAGTTTTCGTAGTTTGTACATGCGCACATCACTGTCTGAACATGCATGTGTTGGCATGCTTTTTGCTAGCATGCAGAAAAAATCATCAAGTTTCCTTTTCCCTGACACGCTTGTTCACTCTGGTCGACGTGATTTAGGATTGCTGTGTGTTTTTTTTCTAATTTTTGAATTTGAGTTTTTTTTAATTTAAAAAATGGTATTAATTTTTTGTTACCGATTTTTGCTGACTTAATATATTCATCGTATTAATTTATTTTATATAGTCTCATCGTAAATTTTCGGCACCGCGTCATGGTTCTTTGGCATTTACTCCAAAAAAACGAAGCAAGCGTCATCGTGGTAAAGTCAAGGCTTTTCCCAAAGATGATCCAACCAAACCGATTCATTTGACCGCATTCGTTGCCTATAAAGCGGGTATGACTCATATCGTTCGTGAAGTCGATAAGCCGGGATCAAAAGTGAATAAAAAAGAAGTTGTTGAAGCTGTAACGATCTTGGAAGCACCACCAATGGTCGTTGTTGGTGTCGTCGGTTATATCGAAACACCGAAAGGATTACGTCCGTTCAAGACTGTTTGGGCTGAACATTTAAGTGAAGAATGTCGACGACGATTCTACAAGAATTGGTAATAATTTAAATTTAATTTACTGTTGGTTTTCAATTTAAGCTTGATTCGAATCGATTTCATCGTGCTCCGCTGTGGAACCATAAATTTTTTTTTGTCCGGTTTCATATGAGCTACTGATCTCTGATCTCACTACGAATCGCATTTAATTTGGATGTGCTTCCGCTCGCCATAATAATGGTGATGAGGCTATTCTTGTCGACTTTGGTTTTCTGAATTTTTTCCCATTTATTCAATTTGAATTATAGGTACAAATCTAAGAAAAAGGCTTTTTCCAAGTATGCAAAGAAATGGGCCGATCCTGCTGGCAAACGTGAAATCGATCAAGATTTGGCTCGAATCAAGAAATATTGTAGTGTTGTGCGTATAATTGCTCACACCCAGATGAAAGTAATGAAAAAACGTCAAAAGAAATCTCATGTTATGGAAATCCAATTGAATGGTGGCACCATTTCGGATAAAGTCGATTGGGCACGTGAGCATTTTGAAAAGCCAATACCAGTTGAAAATGTGTTTGCACAAGATGAAATGATTGACATTATCGGTGTGACTAAAGGTAAAGGCTACAAAGGTGTAACATCACGTTGGCATACGAAGAAATTGCCACGAAAGACCCATAAAGGTCTTCGAAAAGTTGCTTGTATTGGTGCATGGCATCCAAGCCGTGTGCAATTTTCGGTTGCACGTGCCGGTCAAAAAGGTTACCATCATCGAACCGAGATAAACAAAAAGATCTACAAGATTGGCAAAGGTGGTAAAGATGCCAAAAACAATGCCTCCACCGAGTATGATATTACCGAGAAAAACATTACTCCAATGGTAAGCAAATGTTATTTTTTATAATTTTCAACCTGTGATACTAAAATTGTGATGATAAAAAAAGTGTTTTATCCTTGCACCTAAAAAATTCGTTTTTTGCGAATTTAGCATTGCGGATAACCAGGGCGGACTGAGATTTTTCTTTTACTTATCATCTAATTTAATTTTCAAAATCCATTTTAATGCAAAATCATTGGTTTTTTTTTGTACAGGGTGGCTTTCCGCATTATGGTACAGTCAATTGTGATTACATAATGATCAAAGGATGTTGTACTGGGCCGAAAAAACGCGTGTTGACTCTTAGAAAGGTAAATTTTATTTTTAATAATTCCTTATTTTATTTTACTCAAATACATAATGATGATAATATCATATAGAGCCTTTATTTTAAAATAATGAAAAATTCAGTGACTATGAAAATGATAGGACTGATTCATCAATTTACACTTTTAAAATTTAATCTTTTATTATGAATGAAAATTAATTTTTTTTTGCCTTAAATCTAGTCACTATTGGTGCATACCAAACGTTCGGCATTGGAAAAGATCAATCTAAAATTTATCGATACATCATCAAAATTCGGTCATGGCAAATTCCAGACCATACAGGAAAAGAAAGCTTTCATGGTAAGTTTATTTTAAGAATTTTCTTGGAAAAATGGCAATCTTTGTTTTCTGGTTCTAAATGATGAATGATGAAAGATAATTTTCTCAATGCAAATCGTTTTTCTTCGCATCCACTCAAAAAGATCGTTTGGCTGCATGAAGATAATTTTCTCTTCAATAAAATGCTTGACAATCTATTCTATTATGACGCTTCAGGAATGTGAACTCGAACACGAATGTTTTGTAATTGACTTTATTGAAAAGAACGATTTGAATGCCCAAATTCCGCCATATAAAAAATGAATTTTAATTTGATAAATTGATTAAGCAGCTTTCCCAGTTTCTTGAAATTTGTTCCATTGTCTGAGAATATTACTGAAGGACAATTTCTCAACGCTGCAAAATTTCTTAAGGCTTTGAGCACCTCTGAAGCGGATGCATTTTCAACTGGCTCCAAATGTATGGCCCTGGTTACGAAACATGTGAATAATAGCCCATACAATTTATTCGGATGACGAATCTCGAACATGTCCACGCCGGTCGTATTAAACGGTACACTTCTGGTGACTCGGCTTGCAGGAGGAATTCCATTTGGTACCGTCAATGGTTTTGCTTTGTTTATTCGACAGATGTTACATCGGCTAATCACCTTTTTCGCCTTTTGTCGAAGTTTCGGTGTATAATAAGTTTCCTGATTTGCACGGAATTTATACGATGAAGATAATTTTCTCAATGCTTTCTGCCTTCCTTCTGATTCATTTTTTTAAAATATCGTTTTATTGACATCAATTTGCATTATTAATGGAATGTTTTTTCTTCGCAAACCAGGGTCCACTCAAAAAAGATCGTTTGGCTGCAGAAGAAAAAGCTTAAATGTGGAAAAATGTCGATTTTTTCTATTATTTTACAAAAAACAGTCTTCAATAAAAATGAAAATAAATTAAATGATGACAATATATCTATCTATTCTATTATGACGCTTGTATATTTATATAAAATTATTATTTTTGATTTCCATTGGCCGTAATTTTCAATCAATATTATCGATCAAGTCTCGATCTTTGGTTTCGGGTAGAAAAAATGTTCCAATAGCTGCCGTTAATGATAAAACTGTGAACATTATGATCGTATTTGTCAATCCAAATGACATTGTCTGTGTTAATAATAATCAAGTGATCAAAAATTAGATTTCCAAAAAACAAAACATTTTCAAATTACCAAATCTTTGACAAATGGTGCAATAGTAGAACCGGCACGAGCTGAAATTGAACATGAACTGACACCAGATTGACGAAGTTTTGTTGGAAATATTTCTCCCGCATGAATATAGATGGCATTAAAGGTGGCAAATATGAACATTTTTCCCAACATACTCAATGATATCAACAGGATATCATTCTCAGATAGATCATCACATAATAAACGGAATATAGCTATGGTTGCATAACAGGAAGCTGCTGAAACTATGGTTGAAATTATAAATGCTTTTCGTCCGATGTATCGCATTCCAATCAAGCTGATTACAACGCTTGGTATTTCCACAAGGCCGGCCAAAGCAAAATTAATAAATATATTACCACCAATGATCTCCACGTTTAATGAAAATCCATGATAGATAAAACCGTTGACGAAAAATGAAAACCATAAAATTAATGTCATCATACAGTATTTCTTATTGGTCACCATTGACCATAATGTCATGAATTTTTCGCTATCTGATTGTTCTTGTTCTTGTTCTTCCACTGCTTTTCCGGTGGTGATCAATTTCGAAGCTTTGTTTTTCAATGATTCGAATTTGTATTCAAATTCTTTGACAACTTCAACACGATTGTTGCGTTTACATGCCTCTTTCAGAACTGATTTAGCCCGTTCATATTTTTCATTGGCCAACAACCATCTTGGTGATTCCGGTAGGTATGGTAACCAAAAAAGGGCCATTACTGTCATACCTAAGGTTGCTACTAATTGGACTAGAACATAATTGTGTAGAATATATGCTAGAATCGGCAGTAAGAGGTATCCGACTATCCAGCCAAAATTACATCCCATAATTACGTCTGATCTTCTTTTGGTTCCCACCTGTTGTATTCAGGAACAATTAATCTGGTAAAATTAACATATAAGAAATTTACCGTTTCCATCAATAACATGTACAGACACATTCCACGGCCACTATCACCGAATCCAAGTATTAATCTGGCCAACGTATACAAATGGATAGATGGTGATAGAATCAATAGAAGACCACCAAGTAATTCGAATGCGATGGATATTTGTAAGGCAAATTTTCTACCACAATGATCAGAAATCCATGCAATTATAATGCCACTAAATACATAACCCAATTGATACATGGATTGTGCAAATGATCGTAGCCATTCTTTGCCACAAATCAGACCAAACTAAAAAATACAAAAATTATCATCTTTTTCGAAATTATTATTATAATATTTAAACATTACCTTCGATGTAACTGTTTCATCGAATTCGATCGAGTTATTGTAGATTAATTTCGAACAATAATGCACATTATCACATGATAATGATGATGATGATGATAATGATAATGATGATGATGATGTGTGCGTATAATTGGAGATTGAACTTGGTGTTGAAGAAAAATTGGATATTGTGGAAAAAGTATTAGTATATAACGAATCGAGATCTTTATTTATCGTAAACGAATCAACAGCTGTTGTGGTTGAGATGATGATTGGATGAACACAATGATAATCGGTATTAGCTGCCTGAAAAACGTAACCCAAATTGTTGATTGTTGTCAAAATATAGGCGACAAAATAGAAAATGGTTATATTCATTTGCCACCGGCCAAAACCACCGGTCAAATCATTTGAATTGATTTGTTTATCTCCGTTTTCAACATTCTCATCACCATTTTCCAATTTTGTAGCCATATTTGATCACCACTACTTGCTGAATGTTTTTCTTGTTTTTGTTGTTGAACGTTTCAATTTTCTTTGTTGTCGTCGTTCTTATTTCGTACTATACTCCAAATCGTCATGCCATATTGCTGCTTTGAAATAATCAACCACCACTTTAATCAACATTCAATAATTCGTTTTGTACACCTCCTTTACACTTCAATATTAGCTGAATGAATCAAATTGAAATTCAATCACACTTTGAAATGCCGAAAAATAAAGCAACTACAAATATCGCACTGAATCTCAGATTTATTTCCACTCGACGAATACTTTGCTTTTTATTTATATCGTCAAGGTTGTGATTATATATACGTTTTGTTTGTTTGATATAAAGCATAGGGTGAATTCAATCATCGACTAGATTTGTGGTTTTTTTCTTTCTGTAACAGGAATACATTATCATCATCATGATGATGATCATGATTTTCATGTAATTGTTTATCTCTGGTTTATGTCTGTGTGTATGTGTTTGTAATATCCGCCGGTTTTTTTGTACACTGATAATAATAGTGTTCGTGTTTGTATAGGGTTTTCAAGGATTTTCCGCTTTTAAGCGTGGTGTCATCCACTCATCATTAATAATGTTTTTTTTCTATTTATTTTATCATCACATGGCTTATATTATTTTCATTATGATCTCTGTGTTTAATATGATGCATTTTGATGCAATATTCATTTATTCATTTTTAATTAATAACAACAAACTCATATAAAAATGCTAAATATTTTCAACAAATTTTTTTGTTTTGTTTTTTTGGACTTTTGTATCCAAACAAATTTAAATCATTTGGTGCATTGATATTTTGATGATTTTGATAGTCACAAGATGTGATTCACAATAAAATTTATTGATTTATGAATTGATTGAAAAATTTCCGATACACACACACATACAATTACATGACAGACAAATCGTTCGATTATTGATAAGGTCAATGGTTAGATATATTACGCATTTTTTTTTCAATTTATTTATCATGAGTTTTTTCACCCATAAAATACATATAACTACTATAATTCTTTACTGATTGACAAGAACATTGCCTTGAATGCATCTGTTATTTCTTCTCCGCTTGGTCGAATTTGATCCGGTGGTAATAGAAATCCATATTCACCTGTATCCCTCAATTCTACTTGGTATGCATATGGTATTGATGCCTTTCCATGTGCCCAATCAATACTTTCTCCTGATGAAACATCTTGAAATTTGATAGAACCTTATTGTAATAATAGAAACAAATTTTCATATTACTTACATAAAACTTGAGCCGAACTTCCATATTGAAATCTGGTTTTATACCGTTTATATAAAGCTTCCGTAGCGATTTTGGCCTTTTCACTCAGTTTTTCAACATGTGGTGAATTTTTTATCTCATGTCCCTTTTTTTTATTAATTGCAAATTTTTTATAAAAGAATTTTTACAGACGATCTTAGAAATAAAAACAGCACACACTTACCCAAGGATAGAGCCATAATTGATTATAAGAATGAACAGCTATATATACTTTAACACGTTTTCCCAATTTTTTCTTTATAAAATCAGCTTCTGCTCGTATTTCTGGTTCAGAAAATGCTTTTTTCCCTGAATAGGTCTCTGAACACAGATAACTACTACTTCCTTTTTTACCCCAATGAAAGTCATAATTTCGATTTGGATCTACCCCGCGACAATCAGAAATCGATCGTCCATTTATTGATCGCGTTTTTCTCCAAAGGCGTCTCTAAACATTCATTATTTTCTGTCAATGTATAGTAGTGTAAATTTATCCTACTCACTTGTATGTGGCTATATTCATAACCATCAACATTTAATACTGGTGTAATATAGAAATCGAATTTTTTTATCAATTGAAGTGTATTCAGATCGGAATTTATAACACCATTGACTAATTGCTGAGCAAAGTAGGTTACCACAGCCGTTGAGATCCATTCACGTGCATGAATTCCTCCTTGAATGTAGATGACAGGTTTTTCACTTTCTTTTGAATCACTAATGCGTATGTAATATATTGTTCTTTTTTCATAAGATTCACCTAAAACAAATTTCTCCACAAGATTATTACTTTTTTTACTTAGTTCGTCCATAAATCGATTAATATCTTCATAACGATGGTATTTAGTCCAGAATCCAGCAATTGCTTCACTAGTATTGCCAACTTTATTATTAGCATTAATTAATTGAAATAAATGATCAGCTTTAATTAATGCCTTTCGTTCATTTTCAATCAATGTTTCAACATTTGAATGCAATATTTCAGATCGAATGTGTCGATTTTGAAGATATTTGTTAACTTTATCACGATTTTGTGATGTTATCATTATATGAGCTGTAAAATTATTGATGGGCGCTGGTTCTTGCCAAAAATCAACCTGTTGAATTTAATTTAATCTATATCAAACCTTCATTCTCAAACAGGAACTTACTTACATTCATATGTTGTTTTAACGGTAATAATTGATCAATTTGTTTTCCATTATTTAAAATTACTCGAATCACGGCTGCGCTTTTGTAATTATTATTTTCAAAATTCTCTGGATCATTATCATGATTATTTTTTTCGGTTTGAACGTTACAAACCAAAACAAGAATCCAAAGAACAACAATTATTTTCATTTTTCACTTTTTCAAATACAGTGACTGGAAATATGATACAAAATTTATACGTCTGAATTTCTGATATTTGATTTATAATCTTCATTCAACCTTGTCGGTGTGTTTGTTCACGATATTCAACCCAATGAACCCTAAAAAAAATATAAAAGTTATATGGCTAAAATGTGAAAAAAATATTCCGCTTGGTTTATTGTTGTATGTTTGTGGTTTAAATTGAGATTCATCCATTTTCGATGGAAACAGATTTTCAGAGGAAATTTTTGAAAAAATGATTCCATTTCTCTCTTTGGTCGACGTTGTCATCATACACAAATATTTTTCAAATAAATTAATGATTATACTGATTTGACTGGTTGCTATTGTTGTTCATGTTTGTATTACAATTTTTTTTTTTTGAAAATAAACTTTCAACTTCTTGGGAGAATATGAGGCAAACATTTTTTTTGTTATTATTTTAAAAATAACTTTGGTTCTTTCATTCATCCATTTCTCCATACTCCCCTCTCTCTCTCACACACACACACAATGTGTAAAATGTCAACACGATGGTGATGAGAATAGAAATTGTCCTTTAAAAAAATCTGTTTTCATTAAGAAGAATATAAATTGTTTATATAGGTAGTTTTCTCAGTTTCATATGCGAACTTAAGCATCTGATCACACGATTTCTATGTCGTATTTGTGTTTGAAGAATAATGAGCTTATTTTTAAAATCAAGTTAAAAATAAAATTGATACGTTGTATAGACGAATAATAATGTTGATGGTCATTTCTAATAATGAATATGTTGTTCAATTCTACAAATTCCTATAATTATTATTTCGCATCTTTTTTTTGAAAAAAATTGATGATTATAAACATGAATAGAAAACGTTTGAAGAAAAAGATTTTACTAGACATATTCTAATGGCTATTTTATTAGATTAGATTCTTTCGATTGTGATGATTGAATCTCAATCGATTGATCATTTGTCAACAAAAAGAAGGGTCCTTAGAGACCTTTGGTTATTCACCATTATAACGATCACATTACCATAAATATCAGTGGTTTTCAACCTTTTTCTGATAAAAGATATATAACAAAGAAGTCAATGGTATAATGCTCCAGTGTGCTATTAAAAAATTCGGGCATGCGGTTGAAAACATGTCGATTTCAAACAATAACTTCAACATAGAACAACACAGAGCAATCTGATCTTGATCAAATTCTCATCTGATTTTATTACTTACACCATTATATAACATCAAATTTCGAGTAAACTCTATAAAAGCAATCATTTATCATCATCGATATCTTTAGAACACTTCCTTGTTTTTTTTTGTATGTTAAGTGCCTTAAATGGTAAGCAAAATTTATCATCTAATCGTTTAGTGAATGTTTTTTTTTTTTTTATTTTTGTAATGTTCTTATTGAACATATTTTTAGACAATACAGTGTATGTAAAACAAGAATAGAAAATCTCCCCATTTTTCAATATAGCTCCTTTTATTTTGTTATTATATTTGTTATGACAATCCGATATTAAAGTATGGTGAAAAAAAAATGATAAGATTATTCTTCGAATGGCAATTTTTATTTTTTTTGTCGATGTTTTGGTTAAGTGAAATTTGTTGAATTATAAATCATTTTTTATGATCGCCAATAGCATTGTAATCATACCATCACCAGCTTCTTCACTAGTTGGAATAATTTGTTCGGGTGGTAATTGAAATCCATGTGAACCAGTATCGCGTAATTCAAGTGTATATGAATACGGTATCGATGCTGCACCATATGCCCAATCATCTCCAGCTCCAGCAGCAGCATCTAAAAAAAAAATTAAGACAAATTTAGATTTACAAACAAAATTTCATGTTATGATAATTAAGGTAAAGAAACTAATCGATAGAAAATTTGTCACAGCAAATTATAGTTGTCGACTATAGCAATTTTTTTTATTTGTTTGAAAAAACGCTGATTTTTCATTTATAGAAATGTTAACGAATAAAATGAATGCATAACAGTAAGATGAATGTATCCATAAGATGGATAGCAAGATCAAACCAAACCAATACAGATCGACGACAAATTAATTATATGTAACAGAAAAAGAATAAAACAAAGAAAACACAAAAAGGAAACATCAGAAATTCATTTAGAATGACAAGAATTCTTGTATCTTGTCTTTGAATAGGAAATTCATTTATCGTATTGTCACATTCATATTAACTAGTCAGTGAAATTCTAAATTCTCATGAGAAAAAACTTACATAAAACTGTCGTTGACATTCCGTAAATGTATTTGGATTGATAACGTTTAGCCATAGCATCGGTAGCCAATTTAGCCATACCATCTAAACGGTCATTGTCTGGTGTTTGTTTATCAGTGTAACCCTACATTGACATTGTTGTATAGAGGAAATTAGTTTTATTAACGATTAATTGACATTAATTGTAATCATTTGTCTTCTAATGCTTACCCATGGATAAAGTAGATATTGCCCATATGAATGTACAGCAACATACACTAAGGCTCGACCTTCTAAATGTTTCATAATATAATCGGTTTCTGCCTTGACTTCAGGTTCGGAAAATGCTTTTGTACCAGTATAGATTTCACTGCATGGATTGTTACTTGTTCCTTCCCCGCCCCATTCATAGCCAAAATTGCGATTTGGATCTGCACCAATACAAGAACTAGATTTTTGTATGGATCTTGTTTTTCGCCATAATCGATACTAAAATTCAAATATTTGTCATTATTAATGATTTTTTTTGCAACAATAATTTACCTTTGTATGTGTGTATTCATAACCATCCGGATTGAGTAAAGGAACAATGTAAAAATCAAATGTTTCCATTAATTTTTTGATGTCAGCATCTTGATTTTCATAACCAGTGAGCAATCGATTTGCGAAATGTGTAACAAAAGCCGGTGAAATCCATTCACGAGCATGAATTCCTCCTTCAATAAATACAACCGGCTTCTTATCATCACTAATTGCTCCAATACGCATTAGATTCAATTCTCGACCTTCAAATGATTTTCCGAAATTGATTTTAGCTACCAAATTCGGATATTTATTCTGTAAATCATTCATAAGATTTTCAATTGCTTCATATCGTTGATAACTTTGCCAAAATCCAACAATTATATCTGTTCGAAGCGAATCACTACTGCGTAGCATTTCAAGTCGCTTTTTTGTTTTAGCCATCTGATCACGTTCATTTTGTACGACCGTACGTACATTATTGATAAGAATTTCATAGGCAATGTTACGTGATGAAAGATAATGCATTACACGTTGACTATTGTTTGGTGTTATCATGAGATCAGCAAATCGATTGATTTGATCGGGTCGACGCCAAAAATCTATCTGTTGACCCAAAAAAAAAAAAATAATCAAAAAAAAAAATCATATCATCTAGTTTGGCATGCACTTACATCATCTTCAAGATCCAATAATGAAATCATTTGAAAATGATTGACTGGCCGAACACGAATCACTTTTAGATCATCATATTGACTCAGGTTATCACTGTTAACAACCACTGCGTATAATGATCCAAGGATCAATAGTAGAATTTTCGAACAAACCATCATGAATAAGACAGATAAATGAAAAACTTGGATTTTGTCATCTTTTTTATATGATTTTTTCCATCTATCATATGATTAGTGATTTTGCAAATTTATTAATATTATTATTATGTTGATGATTTTTTATTGGATTTTATTATCACATTTATCATCAAAATATTAATATTATTACTGATCTTTATTTCTCTCACTAGATTACATTTGAATTTCATAATTATTATTGCATATATATTTGAATACAATAAAACGATTCAATTATTGCTTTAAACGACGACACATTTTTTATTTATATTTTATGATCATTATGACCTCTTTCATCAATAACTTTTATGGTAAGTATTATCATCATATGAATTATATCTGGTGATCCAGATATGATGAAAAATAAATGTATCAACGTCCGGTCAATTTGATTTTGTATTGATCAAATTGTGGCAATGTTTACCGAAATTGATGATTTTTTTTATGTATAGAATATCGGTTGAAATACATTGTCATTATTATATTGTTGTTATTATAGTTATGTTTCATTATATTACCATGTTTGTATATTCCAAGGTTTCCTGAACCACCAAAATATTGGAAAATTCACCATATCGGTAATTGTGACGAGGAAAGAAAAGAAAATCGATTGCAATTCTATTATATTTTTATTTTTTACTGTCTTCATCATTACGTTTGTTTTTCTATATTTGTTCTACTAATAGTTGGATAATGTAATTTTATTTCAAAAATAGAGGAAACGAATCTTTCCATTCATTTACAAATCATACATATGTTGATTAAGAATTGAATTGAAGTTTTTTTTTCTCGTTTCAAGACCGAGGAAATGGGAAATAATGGGTTTTTTCCATGCTTTGCAATTTTCATAAAATTGGTAATGACAATGAGAAGGAAATTTTCTTTGAAAATTCTTATTTTTAAGCGTTCTATCGAAATTCTTTCTTTTTTTGCAAAAACTTGCTTGTTTTTTCGGGCCGAATGAACCGTTTTTTTTTTGCTTTGAATTAAAACTTGAAATGAAATGAATTGAATTTTTCAAGTTTTTTCTTCACTCCATCATTATTATTCTCATCAACCCTAAAATTTTTTTTTTTTTTTTTGAATGATGATTATGATGATGACAAACAATTGGATGTGGATTATAGTTTTTGGAATTTTTGTTTGTTTGTTTGTTTTTTTATTCACATCCTTACTGATATTCAAATTAGTTATGTATATTTATGTGCGTGTGCATTTGATGATATTGGATTGTAAAGTTTCATCAGTCATTGCCACTTATAATGATATTAAAAAAAAAAATATTAAAATTAATCATAATAATATGCGTTAGACGAGATTATATATTTAAATTCAGATGATCATGCATTTGATTTGATTAGATTTTTATTTCATCGCTGTTTAGTTTATTTATTAATAGTTTTTATTGTTTGTTTGTATGCCATGATCTTTGGCATTTTTTTTTTACTATTTTGATCATTTATCCAATCTTATGATGATGATGATGAATTACAAGCTTTCAAATTTATTCTCATTTGCAATGAAAGATTTTTGTTGTTGTTGTTGCATTTGGTTTAACAATATCCGTGATCGATAAAATTTAGTGATCGATTTTTATGGTTTCAGATGGTGTTGATTGTTTTTTTTTTTTTTTTTGAATGTAATAAATTTCCAGAAACTGCTATCTTATTATAGGTTTAATTTAATAGCCCAATTCGATTGATTTTACATTGTTCTAATAAATGTATTGATCGAGTAAAAAGAAAAACAAGACCAAGACAAAAACTAAAAACTTTTAAATGAAATTTTAATATTAATTTAAAAAAAAAAACACAAGTCTTATTATTATCAGCTCTGATGACAGTATTTCACTGTTTTTATTCTGTTCCTTTGTTTTTTTTTTGTATACCACAAAAATTGAAAACTTTTTCCCAAATGAAAATATTTGATGAAACTTGAATCGTTGATTTATAAAGTTACAGAATACAAATTCAAATACAAATTAAAGTGAAAGTTTTTCATTTTAACCGGAAAAATTCATTTCATTTCAAATTGATTTGAATTTGTTGTCACAACAAAAACGGAGTGAATGGATGAAAATTTTTTCATTTAATTTTTTTTGGTGTTCATTTTCATTCTGTTTTTTTTCTTAATACATTATGCAAATGAATCTATTTTATTTTGTTTTCACTGTTTCTGAATTTCATTGAATAATGAAGATGGAAAAAAAGAAGGTGGAAAATGACATAAACAAAATCATTTTGCTTGTAATGTTGATGGATGAAAATTCTGATTTGCCTCATCTAATTTTCTCTGAATTCAGAAGATATTTGAGAAAGTTTATTGTGAACAACGATTCCTATTCCAAGTGATTATTTAAATTTTAAAAATTTTAAATCATATTTTTTTTTATTTGGTTTGTTGAAAACAATTTAATGTTAAATAGATTTCATTTTAAAAGAAAGACTACATTGTAACACAATATCCATTTCATTTTATTCATTCAAGTAATTTGCTAATGAATTTCCACTTGAGACGACATTCTGTGTTTTTAAATGAATAAAAATAATTTTGATAAAAAACAGAAATTGTCTTTTTGAATTTGTCTTGAAATCATATGCTGTCTGTCTCTAGGTCACCTGTATGTATCTTGAATTTGATGCCTCCAGGACGATCAAGTAGCAGTGGCAGCATGAATTTCAGAATCATTTTTTTTTCTGTCTGGTATTATTAATATGTACGCAGAATCATATAGCCAAGTGTTGTAAAAAACATCGCTAACATGTATTCGCGGAATTAGTAGCCAGAATTTAGTTTTCATTATGTGATACGCATGCCATGCCATAAAACGACAGCAAGCGATTCTTTTTTTTATTGGCCAAACGAAACAGCCTGATTAGAATTTATAAATTTCAATGATTGGTGTTGTGACAATAATGGATGCATTTAATTATTTTTCTCTCAGTTGATTATTGTTGATCAATCAATCCTATTCACAGTAAATAATCATCGTCAATTTCATATTGCTGTGTGTATCTTCAAGTTATAGTGTGTTGATATATTTTTTCATATATATGTGTATTGTATTCAAGAATAATAATGTAATTCAATTCTATTTTTTCTATCAGATTGTATTTAATTTTTTTAATAATGATGATTCCAACATCAATATTGCCTTTATTATTTGCCTTTGCCACTGGAGTTGGTAGAGGTGGCCATATTACTAGTGTTGGTAGCCATATTCATACTGTGAATGCTGTGGATCCATTAAATCCAATGATAATAACAACGACCACCGATGCTTCATTTACCACTTCTAATTATGATTGTCATTTTTCTATGTATAATATTTGGAATCAATTATCATCATTAATGATTTCAATGTCATCATCTATGAATGATGATAATGATAATCAACGATTTAAACATTATAACAATGAAAACAACAATCAAAATCATCAAATGTATGAATATGATAGAAAATTAAACTTGAATCACCAAAAACAACAGAAACGTTATTATTATCGTCATAAATATGCACATCAAAATATAGATACTGATGTCATCAATCAAGGTTCAACAACACATACCTTGATTCCATCATTTATGCCAGATATTGTGGCTGGTATGAATAACGTTAGTGATAATGATGAGTATAGCGGCGACAATGAATTTATGGATGAAAACTGGTTCAATTATGATTATAACAATAGTGCTGTATTATTTACCAACGGTCACGATCCAGATTTTCGTTTACCGCATATGTGAGTGATTTTTCTTTACGTTTATTCTATCAAACCATATGGAGAATAAAATGGAAAATTTCTCTCATGTTGACCCATTTTTACTATGTTATACGTTTTTACTATATTCTTTTTATTGTAGATAAGATAATTCTTGAAAATTTCAAACAATTTTTATCCATGTTTGATATTTGAAATTTGTTACCCCAAGTTTTTGGGCTAACCACCATTCAGATTACAATGGAAGAAATAGAGAAAAAATAATTCTTGTAGTTAATAAAGAAGGCAATTTTTTTTCTGTTGTTGCCATTCTTTGCGCTAATGTTGATCGCTTAATAGCCGCTAAAGTTTTTTTTCTGTCTTCCGGAATGACCTCATTCATCTTAATGTAGATTTTCTTCAGTTTTCCTGTTGTTCAGGAAAATTAATTTCCACATCAATAGACTATGAAGGCCATTACTATTTTTATTATTATTTCACATTTAAAAACCTCTATTTATCATACTGAAAGGGCACTAATCTTGTAGATACAAGAAAAAAAATAGTTATAGATAGATACGATTTTTACTCTGTGGTAGATCAATGTAGTATATGTAGAAATTTAATTGATGTGATATATTACCTATATTTCGGGGTGATCATCGTAAATAATGAACCAAATGGCAGATATGATATTCAGATAATTGAGACTATTAGATAAAATATTTTTCCTCTTCTCATTACTCGTTTGTCTTCATATGTTTCCGGTTTTTTTAAACATTTCCAAAACTTGATCCAATTTTGTTGTTGTAGAATTCTCATTCATTTTATGATTCTATATTCATGTTGTCTAGAATTTTTTTTTGTAGTTTTCTTCTGTTAATATATTACCAACATGGATGTAATTAATTATTTTAATCATATTAGAAAATATAATAAATGGCAATAAAAAAAAAATCACAATAATCACGTTAGCTGAAATTTTAATTTATCATTACTAAAAAAAAGGAATGAAGGAAATTTAAAAAAGGAAGGATATACTAAATTGTTGATATTTGTTTATATTGAACCTGATATATGAACGGAATGAACAAATGCAAATAACAAATCTACTTTCAACAGCAACAACAACAACAAAAAAAAAATATTTGCATTATTCCATTCGAATCAATAAATAGAAAATTGCATTTTTTTTATTATACTGTTTCACAATGGTTGAATGAGTTTCTTTTGATATCACCAATTTTTTTTATTTGTAAAAAAATATCATTTCATGACAAAAACAGTATAGTGATTTGTTTGATAAAATACGCCATAGGGCATTGAACCAAATTTAAATCAAAATTTGTCCACATGTTATTGAAAAAGGGCATTTTTTTTGTTATTGATTCGCATCAAAATTTATTTCATGAATCTTAAAAACTAAAATTTACTTTTGTCCATCATTTTTTTTTTGTTTCAAGAGAATGATATGTAAAATTTCTATTTGATTCGGGCAATGAGCAATTTTCACAAACAGCAGCAACAAAATTCTCGATCATCAGGAAAGTCGATAATTTTTTCCTCTTTTTCTCACCATTTTTTTTCAAATTTGTGGTAAATCAAATTTTTCAACAAAAAAAAATCCCATTATCACATGAATCAAAAATTAAAATTAAAAAAAAATCTCATAGTTTTGCCTTACAGGAAGGAAATTTATTTCGAAGAAAAGAATAGAAATTTTTTTTTTTTGAAAAATCACCATAATTAGTCGGATTTTTTTTGTATTGTTCCATTCCATTACTTGAACTGAGAAACGTTCATTCCTTCCTCACATTTCATTTGTCATTGTCACATTTATTTTTCAGTGCATTTTTCAATGTACATAACATGGCTTAATATTAGTTGTATATGATTCATTAGATTCATAGTCGTCCGCCTTCAGGGAGTGAAATTTTACATCTATTTGGTTTTTGCCATAAATTTTTGCCCATTTTTGGTTTTAATAATATTTGTGTTTCATTTTATTTTGATGTTCCATTATTGAAATTGTCATTATTATTATTACATCTACAGATAGGAGTTTATTTCATATTTTGAACAACTGTGCTAACAATTTAATGAGCTCAAAAACGATTCACGAACAGAAAATGTTAATAATAATACAAAACAAAGAAAAGAATCACAATCAAGATGTTTGAAACGTTGGCCAAATTATTCCCTCGATTAAGTAATATGACTGCCACAAACATGATGGGATTGGTTTTTCATAGGTTTATTGATGATTTTATTCGAAAAACAATTTTTTATTTTTGGCTCACGAGAATGAAGGTGAATTGTGAACAGTTTGAAAATTCCGAAAGAACAAACACAAATGCCAATGAAAGCATTGTGTCTGCACAGTTATAACTCATTCATTATGGATGTATCAAACATTTTTTTTATTGAAAAGAAATTCAAATTCGTGATATTTGACATTGTTGCAATCAAACAATTCAATAATGTGATTGAAATATCGGAAATGAAAGCCGACTATTCTTATTGATATTAAACTAACAAAAAAAAGTTGAATAAGAATAGTCGAATATATGAATAGATTCTAGTTATTTGAATATAAATGATTTAATGACTAAAAAAATTCTACATTTTTTCTCTCGCATATAAAGATGATAATACATAGCGAATTGTATTCTTTAATGAAGAATATCCTTTCTGAACATTTTTTTTTCTTCATCAAAATTTATACCTTATGGCGCACTTTTATATAATTTTATTTCATTGAAACGAATTCAATGGATGAATAGAATAAATAAATAAATGTTTCACAATAATAATCGAATAAATTTTCCAAATATTATGTGTCTATATGGAATGATGATAACTTTAAAAAATAATAATAAAAATTCTTATGATGATTCGATACACTCATTTGGAGTCAAGCCAATGAAAAACATTTTATTTTGCACCTACGATATTATATAACATCATTATTGAATGTTGCAATTTATAAGATTTCACATATATATACAACTTTATTTCCCCAAATTCTGTTACCCCAAGCTCGACGAGAAAAATTGAAAAGCAATACAAGTTGAATGACTATAAAATCATTTAGCTGATGCTAGAACAATGACGGCATGTAATTTATGAAATAGAAAATTATTATCCAAAATCTTTTTTTTGCACCATTTCTCTGCTTCTTTTTGTTTATTATTGTGACGTTTTTTTCTCTCCCGATGTACGATCCGATCGAATTGGATGAGGTTTTTTACTATATGTTTTTGCTCAAATTGAAAATTTATTTTTTTTTTGTTATTGACAACTTTCATATAACAAATGAGAATAATGAACTTGAACATGGGCCTCAATTGAAAGAAACCTAAAACAAGTCTATTGACTTGTGATACGTTCAGTCATCATCATATCAGATATAAAAAGAATAAAAATTCTCAACTCGACAGCAATATCCATAGCAACATCAACAGTGAAAATAACCGAAAAACCCAATATTAGGGATAACTACGGATTCTTTTTTTGGCCTGAAATACTTATAAATTGAAATTAGCGGGTTGTCATTGTCGCCTGTAATTCATTGTTTCATTTCGTCATTGTTAGTATGAACTTTTTTCATGATTATAATCATAATGATGAAGACAATACATTTCAAAATAGAAACCCAGCTGGATGATAGAGCAATGGTACAAGTATTGAGCTACAAATATTGATGAATTAATTTGTGAATGATAATTTTTTTCTAATCAATAAAATTGATTTAAATAAATAAAATTGTTTAGAATCTATGAAAATAACCATCCAATGTTCATTATTGATTTGCTTAATGGGAATCATTTGAAAATGAGTATTTTGTTATCATCATGTGTTCAGTATAGATGAATTTTTTTCCTTTGAATTCTGGCTTTATTATTTTCATTTGTTTTATTCATATGATTTTCTTTTCATTCTCTTTGTTTGTTTGTTTGTTTGTTTTATCTAATGGTTCGATTCAAAATTCAAATAAGTTCAATTTATGCTCATGACTGTTGAACAATTAAATGTTGGTGTGTGTGCTCGGCTATGTATTTTGTTTTGCTATTTTCTCGCTAACTACTTTGAAGAGCTTGAATTTGTGACGAGAGCGGAAAGAAAAATTTCAAAGAAATTTAAAGCTCAAATAGTTTTTCACTTCTATTTTACTTCAGTTGTGTCGATTGATTTTTTTTAGAGTCGAATGAAAAATATATCAAGATAAAAGGTTCTTTATGAGTTTATTTTTGATTCTATTTTCACAACAATGACAACAACAACAAGAATTGATGTTTAAAGTTTTTGTTGATTAGGTTGTCTCGGGCCATAACGTTGTAGGGACATTTTTGCATTTGTTCATGTTGATAATGATGATAGAAGCATAATTTTCACAAGAAAACAAGTCTAGAACAAGAATCAGGGCCTTTACAGCAACAATAAATAAAAAAAAATCACGAAGAATTGACAAACGAAAAAAAATGAAATCGTTTTGAAATCTTTAAAATTCTTTTCATGTGTGTGTTTGTCATTTTGGTCTATGGTTCGATTTTAATTTCAAACATTTTTCTTTAATGGTTATTTTTTTGAGAAAATGACAGAATAACTGACAATACCTAAAAATGATTCTATAAAAAATGAATTAAAATTCCACCAACATTGATTATTCTGATAAATATACAATTCATTCTCCATATCTGCCCGAATTCATTACAGCCATTCAATTGATGAAGATGATTTCTCAATTAATTCGACTCTTTATATTTTTTTCAATAAATTAATCAAGTTTTCTTGTTGGAAATTTTTTTCCTATCAGATTACATTCCATTTTGAATATTTAAAAAGAATTGAAAAAACAACACCATTTATACTGATAGTTAGAACGAAATAAAGATCAAGAAATTTAGATAATCATTCTGAATAACTTGCTAATGAAATCAAAAAACAAAAAGCTTATATGTTTTTTGACTTCATTTCCGTTTAATCATCATCATCATCATCATCATTGTGCTTAATTGGAAGATTTCTAGTATTTTTTTCAAATTATGCAATCCAAAAATAGGGATGTCTTCAATTAGTTGTTCCAAAAAATTTCCATTTTCAAACTTTGTTGATGGATGACGTTGGTTTTAGTCACATTTGTTTTTATTTTAAAAGCCTATTAAGAAATTTGAGCTTTGAAATTAGTTTACGTTTTTTTTTCTTTTACCCTAAATTCAAAAACGATAAATTTTTTTTTTACATACATTCCGTCCAAAACTGTGTCTTGAATTTCATCGAATGGATTTTTGTTTTTGCTCTATACGTAAACGCAAATCTGATTATCATTATTTTATTCATTAAACTATATAAACATTTTATTCAGATCAAACATCAACTATAATAACAATTGGAGATAAGAATCACAAGTTGCTTTATAAACGGTTTTTGTTATTTGTTGAATATGCATTTAGTTTTTCGAATGTAGTTTGAATTAAAATACCAAATTCTTTTTGCATCTTATAATGCACTTTTAGTGTAAAATAAATAAGTCAAACGATCTTTGAGCCCTTTCATCATTTTCTTTTCATCCATATTCACTTGCTCTCTCTCTCTATCGCTCCAGAATCATGTTATTTTGTTCTGTCAATTGTCGTCGATTTGCATTTGGTTATTTTATAGGCCTCATATTGCTATACTTGTTTTTTTATAAAATTCTTTAAAACTTTTTTCCTAAATAAAATTTTTGTTTTTTGTCAAAAATGAACTGAACTGGAATATCCGATTTTCTTTGTTTTTTTTACACACGTTGAATTATTTGCCAAAAGAGATCAGTAAAAAAAAAGATCAATCATCAGATGGTATCTAGGACTCCATCTTGATAAACTTCTGGGCTTTTCTTGAGTTTCAACAATTTTATTCGTGTTCAGGTTTTTATCGAATATATGAAGAAAAAAAGCATGAAAAAATAATACCTATTATAATAAACGACAATTTTATAATGTTACCATTGTCGCTCACTATTGGAAACAAGAAAAAAATAAAAAATTCCTCTCACAAACATCATCAGTTGTAATGTAAATAATAAAAAAAACCCACTCTAACTGGTTTTTTTGATATTCAAGTTCTGTGAAATATTATGAAAAACATTTAAAATAATAGAAAATAGTTGTCTCATACGGTTGTAAAATGTGTAAATTCATTTCATGAATCGAGATTTAATTCTACATGCTAATTCTGTTTTTTTTTAATATATAGTATTATTATTGCAAGAACACAAACAATCCAATCCACAATATTCACATACTAACTTAGTGTAAATTCTGTAACCCATAAAGAATGATCATCATCATTATCACATGGACATGATTGTAAATGGCAATAATAATGGTAAACATCCCTAAAATGGAAAAAAAACTTTCATCACAAGGTTATATATTCGTGTCTGAATTTCGTTGAACAAACACAGTGAATAAATTTCATTTCAAAAAAAAAAAATTTTTTTCATTCTCTTTCTTTTATTCTTTACTGCCTTTTATATTGTATGCATCTTCAATATGTTGAAAGTTGTTTTTTTTTGCATGTGTTATCATCACAAAATGTTATATCTACAACTTGAATCTAAAAAATTTGTTTGTGGTACGCACATACCCATTAACCAGACATAAATAAAAAAGATCTTTTTTTTTGCTTTCAGAATTCCATTAAATCTTTTCGAGAAAAAAGTAGTTTTTGTGTTATCCGATATTCAACATTCCATATTACTTCATTTTTTTCTATACAAAATATGAACCAAAATAGTTTCATATTTTCGTGACTAGTCTACATTATATCATTATCATACACATTCCATAAAAACGTTAATATTTTGTTAATTAAGAATTAACCATTGTGGCTTCAGGTGAATTTAATTATAAAAACAATACAATATATAGCTGCTGTAATCGAAACTTGAAATTTAGGTATTCGCAACAAAATCTCTGAAGCAATTCCATTATTCGCCGTTTTTTTTGATATAATGTAATGATTCTCATTAAATTTTGGCTCATCATCATTATCATCTTTAGCGTTGTTAATCTTCATTTTCATTGTTGTTCATGTGTCGTTTTTTCGAGTTTAATTTCGATTTCTTTTTCTCCTCATTTATTTGAGTTTATTGAATTTTCCTTCGTTTATGTAGAAAAAATTTTTGAATTATTTTTTTCAAACAATATTTATAGACGATAAGGATACCAAGAGAAATAGAAAAAAAATGAAACGAATAAATTAATAATAGAATTTCTGCTGCATCATCAAATGGATTTTTTTTTATTATTTCTTATTTCAATTATTCTGTTTGTATTACCCAAAGAATTGAATCCACGATTCATGTTTTTCATATTTGTTATTGAAAATTTATATTGTATGTGTGTGGTTTATGTATTTGATTTAGATGTAATACTTCACATATTTCTTTGATTTCTATTCCAAAAATGAAATGTTTTTCCTTTTCTCTCTCAAAGATTGTTATTGAAACAAAATCTTTGAAAAATCAAAAAACATAAACCAAGATTGAAACAATCAGTTAAATTGAATTTTTTCTGTTTTTTACGCAATCATTGATCTATTTAAATTCTTTTCAATTTTTTTTTGAAATTATGTGATTTAGAAAAAAGTCAAACGTTTTTTTTCATTCATTATAATTCCAAAACATCATTTTTTCTTTATTTCTGTCATTTAATTCTATAAATTTCCATCATCATTATTATTTGCAGGCACAATATAACTTTTCTATTAAACGTGAGCCGTGACATTCCGGAAAAATTACGAATTCTATTGTTTGGCTATGTATTGCCCAATCTGTTCGCTTTGACTATCATAACAAATTTATTGATCGTTGCTGTATTGTCCCAACAGCATATGCGTACGCCTACTAATTTAGTACTATTGGGTATGGCCATCGCCGATCTTTTAACATTGTTGATACCATCACCTTGGTATATTTATCTTTTCACAATGGGACATCATCATGAATCAATTTATCCTGTCAAGACATGTTATATATTTCATTGGATGTATGAAATATTACCACCACTATTCCACACGTATTCCATTTGGTTAACATTGTTATTGGCTGGCCAACGGTAAGTAAATTTTCATATATGGCTTATTGATTACGTTTTAGTTATAATTTTTGTGATTATAAATATGTTAGCAGGTGTTTGCTAATTGCTTATCAATGATGAACATTTTCAACCGATAATGTTAAACAATCAATTAATCTTTCGATTTCCGTGCATGTAAATTTCCATTCAATCGATTTCCGATTGCATTTGTACCTTTTAAAAATTTTTTCCGATAATCATTGTACTTTGTGGTTTATTTTTGTTTTCATCGATCTAGTTACATTTATGTATGCCATTTTTCATTGGCAAGACGTTGGTGCACCGTACCACAAGTGATTCGTGCCATGCTGATATTATTAGCCGTCGCCATACTTCATCAATCGACACGATTTTTTGATAGAAAATTTCTACCAATCAAATATGTTTTGGATGAAAAAATTTTCGAAGGTTGTGAATACCACACATCCGAATGGGTGAGTGTTATATTTTACTTCATTTACCTATACATTTATTTATCGTTCATTTGTCATCGAACAAACAAAAAAATTTATTTTCGTATGTAAATGTTTGAATCAAAATTGATTAATCGTCAATCATCAAAACAATTACGAATAAAACTACTGACTGATCATTTTGTACCATTTATTATTTTTTTTTGTAGATTCACAAACACGCAAACACGAAAAGAATTGAATAATTGTTTTTCTGTAAAAAAAAATCATTGTTCTAATTTAATGACAAATAACGATTGTTATATTCCGTGAGTTTTGTTGACATGCACCAAATTTTTACGACATACCTATAGTACCGAACAGCATTACAAGATCAGACCCTGATAATCATTTAGATTTCAATCAGATTTTTCAATTAAACACGAAGTTTTATTTATTTATTTATTTTGTTTGTTTACAAATGTATGAGAATCGTGCAGATTGAATTTTTTACATCAAAAGTTATTTTTCTGGTTTTCTGTCATCCAGGTGAAAATACGATTTATGATGATGAAAAGTATTTCATCACAATCGAATTTTACTATTCGTTAAATTGTGTCCCTTATTCTCTCACATACCTGGCTTTATTCCTTCGTTTGAATGACCATGTTGATGGAATTCTCAAGCTCTACTTATTTGATGGATTGATTCCGTTCCAGAATTCCGTTATTATTTTTATCATGCTTTATATTTGTTTTTCTCATTGATTTTCATTTCATTCGGTTACAATAAGTTTGACAGTTACATTATTATGATGTGAAAATTTTTCCATGTTTGTACATTCCATTCTGTATACTTTGTGTGCTTGTGTATTCGTTTGTTTTTCCATAGAACATTATGTTCAGAAATGAGATTTTTTTCTAATTTCCACTACAATATACTAGAAAAATAGAATGAATTTTTTTCCCATAAAATAGCTTTTTCTTCAAAAAAATTTTTTTTTCAACAGTTTTGAATCATCATGTTATTTATGTCATTGTTTGCAATATTAAATATGATGACAATTTTGAGTATCTTGTATTTTGAATTTCTTTATTGTTCCATTACGTGATGATCATTCATGCAAACAAATTTTCATATTGAAATCAATATATCTTTATGGGCACTGTGGAATATCAATTGTTGTTGTCATCATTGTTTTGATACATTAGAAAATTGTAATTTTAATTTAAATAAAATCTTTGCGTGGCTTCTTGCTTCTTTGCTTCATATTATTCCGAATTGTTACAAATGTTTTTTCACTTTTTGGTTATTGTTGTTTTTTCATTCTCATCTTGCCGATAAATTTTGCTGTTTGAGTCTGTGTGTGTGTCGATTATTCATATTATCCATGTCATCATCTCAGAAAAATAGCGCTCAGAATTCAAACTTTTTTGCTCTTTTTCTCATCACAATTTTTATTCTTAAATTTTTCTGGTTGAATAAATAGATGAAAGTTACAAGCAAACAACTAATGATCTCATGAAATATGATGAATCTATTTGCGTATATTTCTCTTGTTCATGTGGATGTGCACTTTCATCGATTGTTATGTACAATTTCCAAGAATAAAAACGATTTGATCGATCGAAAAGCAGTCCTAACAATGTATTTTGAATGATTTTTTTTTTAATTCTGCAATTTGTTAGGAACGATATCAATATTAGATTTGAATTCAAATGAAAACCAAACTGAATCTTATATTGTGGTAATGAAATTGATGATAAACTTTATCATTGAAAAAGAAAAAATATATATCCCTTTCGTTGCCACCATAGACAAACAGACCAATTTAATTTATTGTGTAATTTGATGTTATTAGTTTCACTTATTTCAGCCATACATTCTTTTGCATTGAAACTGATTTGTTTCCACTTGTTTTCCTTCCGGCTCATATGTGAACCACTATGGATAGCTCTTTGACTTACTGGACCAGATGACTCACATATTAGCTTCATTATTATTCTTCAAAAAATTTATTTCTTTTTTTTATTCTATAAATTCACTTTAAAAATCATCCCATGATAGTCAACAGCTGACTTATGCTAGGTATGCATTCTACATGATCTTATCTCAAAAATACTTTTCAAACTAAAAAGTCATTCAGCCCACATATTATTCAAGCGTTTTTCTTGAAATTTACAAAATATGACGCATATCGGGATAAAACTACAAAAACATAACCAAAAAAAAAAAAAAAAAAAAAAAATAAAAATATGCTAAAAATAATTTCTTTTTATAATTTCTGTCTTTTAAAAATTAAAACCAAAAAACTTGAAAAATTCTCGTGAATTTTTTGAAGTTAGATCTTTTTCAGGAAATAATGTCGAAATAGCTCGAAGCTTTTCTCAAATATTTATTTTCTCTTTAAAAACGACAGTTAACAGAAGGCTGAATGTAAAAATCTGCTTTTGATGGCTTTTTCCTTTATTTTTTTCAATGAAAAATTTTTCAAAAGTTTTTTCTATTGAATTTTTCAGATTCAAAATTTCTATCTTCGCAATAAAGATCATCGTATATTTTCTTGATGTTTTATCTGATAAAATGATTGAGAGATTCTTGAGTTTTTTTTCCTCATCACCACAAAATTCATCGAATTTTTTTCGTGTACTGATCAGAATTTATGATATACGATGAACATTGAATGTAGAAAGTTAAGTTTTTTTGAGTGGAAAAAAAATGAAATAAGTTTAAATTTTGTCGAATTATTTTTTTGTGGTACTTATGTAACAAATATGATGATGGTTATATTATGAATTTTTTTTCTTACATGTTTAATACTGTAAATAACATATTCGATTTTTATCTTTATCATATCAACCTTTACTTCAACAAAAAAAATTCTATAATTCTGTTGATCAATTTTACCTGTAATTGATATTTCATAACATATATTTTGATTTAGATAGATTCCAAACTTTTTTTCTTTATTTTATTATCTGTTTCATATATGATGAACTGAAGAAAAACTTGAAACTCGAGCAGTGTTACTCATAAATAATTGGTTAGAAATAGAGTTAGTATTAAACTTGATGATGATATTGTCACCAAATGTACAGGACCGGAGATAAAGAAAAGATAATAATAGTATATTATATGTGTTTTTGCTATTCTTTTCATATAATATTGTCATTATTCAAATTTTTTATGATCAAAGTTAATAAATTACGTGTATACAATTCTTAAATACAAATGTAAATAGATTGATAGAAAAGGCAATTTAATAGTGAATGAAAATAGTACATACAATTTGTGATAAAATGTGTGATAAGAATTGTGATCGAAATCCAGTATACTTATTCCCAGGTTTTGATTTCGTAACAAACAAAACTTTTCTTTTGTCTTACAATAATAATAATAATATGTATTTTTGTTGTTCATTTGCTGTTCGTGTGATTTATTGATCTTGGTTTATGAATTGTTCATATGTTGACACATGTATAATGAAACAGGTTCACTTTTTTTCTTTGAGTTTTTTTCTGTTAGGCAAATGGTATAATCTAATATTTGGTACATGATTATAATGATGATCGAAAGATTCTATTTGTAAGATGATCTGGGCATGATTTGTTTGTTTCTATAACGTATATTATTAAAAAAAAAATCTCCCGTTATGATGTATGTAGTTGAATCGAATCGATAACATAGATATTATTAATCATGAACAAATTCAAATCGTTTCAATTTCACCATTTGAAACCGTAAAATGATATTACATTTCTGGAAAATCATACGACTCCAAAATAATTCTACTAATGTTCGTTTTCCAGTAACATTTTTGAATATTAAAATGAACAATATTTTGATTCTCAAATTAAACCAGCACACAGCCATCAATTTCATTCTATTTTTGTTTCATGATTTTCACGGAATTCTTTAATTATTTCATAATGAATAGACTGAATAAACATGAATTAATTATTTTTATTTTTATTTTTGTTTATAATCCAAAATAATAGGTAATCAGATATTTTGGTGAAGATCTTTATTATATTTTCTATTATGGATTCCGAATTATTTTCGTTCATATGGGGCCTTGTATCTTATTAGTATGGCTAAATGTTCTTCTTTTTCGTGCTTTACATCGTACGAGAAAAACACGTAAACGTCTATTGAGTTGTTCAAGAGGAACAACCACCATGGCTGCTGGACCAACGTCTATCGTAACTATGATGATGATGACACAAACAAATAATTCAACACGACGATCAATTGGATCGATACATACGAATATCCATAATAATAATAATAATAATAATAATGATCATCACCTCAATAAAATAAATCATCATCAACATCATCATCGAAATCAAACTAATGGATCAATGGATGAGTCGACTAACCAAAACATTAATGACCATCAAAACTGCAAACATCTAGCACAATCAGTATCGATCCATATTAATGCCACCAACAATGAAAATTCAGACCATCCAGCAACTGCAGCTAATCATCAAATTATCGATTGTGATCTTGATGATGTTGATGATAATGATGATGATGATAATAATAATCTTGTGGTCAATCATATTAAACACAAAGCATCCAGTGATGATCAACACCAATCACAAATCAAAGATGATCCAAATACCATATTTTCCAATAGTCCAACAGCTTTCAATCGTTACGGTGGATCGATCCAACGTGAAAATTCTTCGATAAAACTAACGCATCAGATGGCCGATACGAATACGAATAAAATTCGGTTGAATCGTTTGGATTCTCGTTCAACGACCGTCATGTTAATTGTGATTGTATCCATGTTTTTATTTCTCGAAATACCATTTGCATTGACAACAATATTACATGTGGTACAAAGTGCATTCCAAATGGAATTAGTCAACTATAGTGTACTAAACAGTATTATAATGATGAACAATTTCTTCATCATCGTATCATATCCAATAAATTTTGCCATCTATTGTGGAATGTCTAGGCAATTTCGAATAACATTCCATCAAAGTATATTAGCATCATCATGGAAACGTTTACATTGGCTTTCAGTGCGGTTTTATGGTTTTCGATATTTTCGTCGCAATCGTAATAAAAATTCAACTACAGCAACAGCTCATGATAATAATGGTCATTCTAGTGACCATGATGGTATGATTGACAAATCATTTGTCAGTGCAGCCGATTTGGCCGAAAAGCGTATCGATTGTAGTGAAATTATGGCTGCATATGGTAATACACAATCCGATATCAATAACTTGATGAATTTATTTCCAACAACTAATGAAATCGAACTTGAACAACAACAACAACAATCATCAGGTCACGATAAAAATATCAGCAATGAAAATAATGATAGCAATGTTAAGGAAACGGATTCTAATTCAAAATCATTTACAGTTACAAATGATTTTGATAATACTGTTGCTATCACCCAATTATTACCTACATATGATCCAACTCCAGATCACAATAATGATATAATCAATGAACCATTGTTTGTATCAAATGTTAATAATCAACAAGAAAATAAATTATCATCAACAATGATAAAATCCAAGAATCATCTTAAACAAAACGAATCCACTATTGTCATTTATGATGATAATGATGAAGGTCATCTTGATTCTTATACGCAACACCATGAAAATTTCATTTGCGACAGTAAAAGTAATAATAATCACCAACAACAAACATCATTCGCTCAACATTGGGATCAACATTCAGAGAAATCATATCAAATTGATTCGACGATGAAAATTACAACAACATCATCAACGACAACAACAACAACAACAACAACATCATCAAAGAATAAATTTTTACTTGAAACTAATCTCTAAATTCACATGGAAATTTATTACTCTCTCTTGCACACACACACACACCCGCATCAAAATTACATTGAATTTTCGGATTTTTTTTAGATGAGAAAAAATTTTTGTTTAATGTATAGGATTTTCGTTGAGTCAATCAATTTTTTTTTCTTCATTACTTTATGAAGAATGTGATTGCTTTCCAATTTTCCTTTAATTTCTATCAGAAAAATGTGCCAAAGTTCATTAATGATTATGATGATGACCCATGTAATATTACGAACTGAATAAAAAAAACATTTTTTTTGGTTAATAATTTCGTTTGGTTAAGCCGTCAAAATTGACTAAAATTTGTATTGGTCATTATAACTGAACTGTAATTAAATTTTCCTTTTTATCCTATTTCTATTCTTCTTTTCATTTCATTGCTTCAATGTTACATTTTTCGGAATATTTTTCTTGTTTTATCCTTTTTTTTAGTAAATTTAATTAGCGATTTTTCTCGCGTACATCTTACCCATGCTTATTATATTAGTGGCTACAGATTGGATCAATCTTTAACATACACCTATATATACGGGCAAAAAAAAGCAAATCACTCAAAAATTCTATGACGAAATTAATTAATTTTTTTTTTGGTTTGGCTATTGCTTTATCGATTCTTGATTTTTGCTTTACTTTTTTTTTTGATTAACGTTTATACTTGCGAACATCTGATTGGATTTTCGATCCATATTTTTTTGTGTGAGCGAAATTTATGGATTGAATGCATCAAAGTGAATATGAGACAGTTGAATTGACTATTTGATGAAATTGAATTGATCAATATCAATTTATGTATTCTGTTAAAACAATGGATACGGTTTTTTTGCATCATTGCATAACCTTTTTTTTGTTCTAAATTTTGGGCTTTTGTTTTTTTTGTTCGGGATGTTTTTGTTTATTCATTCAAATTATATCAAAATTTTGTTTTCATATATTGACAACGTGGCGATAAATTTGAATAGATAAATTAATATTGTGTATGTGTTTTTGTGTCTGGAAAATATGGATTGGATCGAAAATTTTCGCCAACAGTGTTTGTCTATCGTATTGATTCAATAAATAATAGAATTTTCATTATGGTATTTCTAGCAAACGCAACAATATGATCTGTTTGTCTGATATAGTTGGTCAATCAAAATTACTTCTGACTCTGTTTTGATTGATTTTTTTCTGGTTATTATTTCTTTAAGATTTTTTTCACTTTATGTGGTGATTAATTCATTGTTATCAAATCAATTTATTAATGACAACTAAAAACGAAATCATTGAAGATATCATCAACCTTGATAATAAATAAGTGTATAAATAACATTCATCTAACTTATTTATGAGTACAAGACACACAGACAAAAGGAGAGGAAGATGGTCTTATCACTCATTTATATCGGTCACTAAATTTGTCAAAAAAGTAGAATTTATTTGTTTGTCAAAAACTTAATGGCAACTATCTATAAAAAATATTCGGGCTAAAACCAATCAATAAAAATTTTACTTTTAAACACATCTTTGTTGTCAAATTTTTTCCTCTCGTTTCTACAGTTTCGCATGCCACAAAGCTCATTCATCATTCATTCAATAAATGACCAGTCTACCATTTGATTCAAAATTCTTTAACAGTTTTTTTTTATTTATTGATGCTGGAGCTGAACTTTGAAAATGATTTTTGTTCCAAATTTATACACACAACAAAGATATACAACTTTGCTTCAGAAATGTTACACACTTCATTCATTATCAATCAGTTTCATTGTGAAGATCGATATTTATTCTCATCGACTTTCATTGTGCCTCTGTCATTATTTAGTTTTTGTTGTAATCTCTGCTTTTTTATTCCAATTTTTTCATTCTCTTTTTCTTACTACTTAGCAACTCAATCACTGTCATTATCCACATACATACATTGATATAATGGGACAGAGACCCTTTTAAAACGTTATCCCATACATAATAGATATTCTTGAGATAGATTTCTTGTATTCATGTAAGATATAACCATTATCAGCTTCATGATGGTTAAATTTTGACTATAGTTATGGTCAGAAATTCTTTATCATTCTCAAACTCAATGTTGGATGTTATAATTTTTTTTTTGCTGCTGCTGTCATCTTTTTTCAACTATCTGAAAGCAATATTTCTTTTTGTCACATCTTTGTTTTTTTTGCATCATATATGAGTGTTTCGGGATCTAGGACTAATTTCTATTTATTTATTCTATCTTTCATATTTTTTTAAATTCTTTTGCTTACAGTAAAAATATTGATTATCTTGTTGAAACATGGACATTTTTCTTGTGAATAAATTCCCATTCGCGATTATTCTCTCTTTTTTTTGATGACGAATAAAAATATTTTGTCAATTTCTAAACAATAATTTTGCTAAGTATTTCTATGTTTAAGCAAGCGGAAATGATTAAGAGATACAATACATATCACATTTATATATTGAAATATACTCGTTTATCAAAATGAATATATCCTTGAAATGGTTTTTCTTATGTTTATTTTGCTATTTTGTATTTTTTTCGGATTTTTTTATTCATAGAGGTTTTCGTTTTTTCGTTCAAATGTTTGATCGTATGTAAAATCTTTGTACCTAACCATAGTAATCATAATGATATTCGTTCATGGAATATAATTATGAGACAATTTTAAGAAGCTCAAACATACACACAGTAACAACTATCTAATCGTTATGGTTTTTGCTGGTCATGAAATCAGAATTTTGTCAACTCTAGTAGGTGCTATGTTTGGATTCGAAGAATTATCGCAAACATCCATAACCATACACTATTTTTCAATGTTATCATGTGTGAATCGTTCTTTTTTTGTATCAAATTCTGTGACATTTGTTATTATTGTTGTTACGTTTATTCTAAAGAGAAAACTATAATTCCATAAGGTTGATAACATCAATGATAGTTTATTTTTATTTCTGTTATTTAGGTAACCATCATCAACCTTAGTTGTTCCTTCATTCGTATGATTATTACACACATCAATACCTCAAGTATTATACTTCTTAAAGACACAAAACAAGAATACTGAACACCATTATAAAACATAAGTCGATTGGTTTCTCGAATAGAGTTAATTTCATTAAAGATTTAAACACCATTTTCATCATGAATGATTTTTCATATGATCAATAAATAAAAAAAACAAGAATGGAAGATTTGAGCAAATAAATGAATTCATGGTTGAGTTAGGAATTGATCAAACCTACATAAACATCTATCCATCAAAGCTTTTATTGACTTACATAGACATATAGAAATGATTGATGTTATATATGAAGCACATTTTTGGCTTATTGTTTAGCAAATACATGATCCATATCAAATTCATTTCAGGTATCGCATGCTTTTCTATTTGTTTATCCAATAGTTTGGTAGTTGCATATTTTTTTCGGTTTCATCCTCATTATTCATAATCGAACAAAAAATTATGTGTCTTTTTCAATATTACATTATTCTTCTATATATCTATCGCTCTTATTTTTTTCATTTCATTTATTCTGATTGTCGTCATTCGATTATAGAAATAAATTCACCAACGATTGCTAATTGGTTATTAAAATGAATGGAAAATAGTTGTTGTCCATTTTCGTTGTTGTATCCTTGACTGATAATATGGCCAAACTATATATATTCGTATAAACTAATTATCTTTTAAACCATATATTTACACATACATCATAAATTTGGATATTTTTGGTCGCATGTAGAAAAAAGCCTGACTATTTGAAACTAAAATGTCCTTTTATTGTTTTTCTTCATTTCTTACAAAGCGTAACAAAACAGAATCTAATTTATTTTACAATCGTCATTACAATGGTTAATAGTCGTTTTTAGATTTTTCTTACTAAAAAAAAGTACAATGTTCATTTTCTTGTCGTCATTTTTTTTCTTCTATTCATTCATTCATTCAAGTACAACAAGAATCAAGAATCCGGTTGGTTGGATAATTATAACGGTTTCTCTGGCCACTTATATTATTTAGTCAGATTGGATCATTAGTCCATAATATTCTTTAAAAAAAAGAATCTGTATAATCGACTAGATTCCGAAAAATTTCTCGTCCATTAACCACAAAAAAAACAGTTACGGATGAGCAGTAATAAAAATAACAATAAAAATGATATTGATAAAAAAACATTTAATAAATTCGTCAAAGTTCAAGGCCATTTTAAGCAGCGAACATTATGAATAATTTTGACAAATTGCAAAATGATAATTTTATATTTACTTATGGATTATTTTTATTCAAAACACAAATCCGAAATAATAATTTTAAATTTTGATTTGAAAAAATTCGGATTTTTCTTTTAATGATGAATAATAAATAAAAATTTTCAAAGATTTTCAATGGAATTTCAATTTCGGTAATCGTTCTATGGAAAAAAATAACCGAAAAGATAAATCCATTCATACTTCAATAACATTTTATTTTGAAATTAAAATTTAATTCTCCTTGGTACAAATTTCTCAACAAATAAATTAGACAGATTTTCAATGAATTAGATGGATAATATTGTCTTCCAATACCATTTAAAAACAAAAAAAAATGTGGTTTTGGAATTTGATCAGAATTCATTTTTTCTCTAACTAAGCTTAAACTACACTGGCCAAAAATTTTTTAGCAATTTTTTTTTGACTATCGGCTGCCACTCAAAAAAATTGAACGACATGGCCTCATTAATAATAATTATTAAATTCTTGAATGGTCTAGTTATGCTTGACGCTTATATAATAACAGCGATTTATTCTTCTGGATATTGCTGTCTCGCTATGGCTTAAGGTATACAAACCATTATGGTTAATGAATTTCAGAGAAATCAATGCTGATGTACAGAAAATGGTTGTCCAAAAAAAAAAAAAAATTCTTAATTCATCAAGGTATATAAAATAAAAAATTCAAAACTTTCATATTTTTCTGGCTATATCAAAAAGACTAACAAAAAAATTGCATTTATCCACATTCGTTACCCATTTATATGTTGTATAACATTTTTTAGATTAGACTATCAATTACTATCAATTATTTTTTATTGATTGATTTAGTTCAATGACTTTCAAGGTAAACCAAACGAAAGAAAAAACCATTTAATCATTTCCAATATTCTTTTTTGATGACAGATTTTGGTTGATCTCGTATTCTTCTAGGCCATTCATAGTAATGATTCAGATCGTCCCATGGTCCATAGGATTTGTACTCGGGTGGCCTTGGCAATAGCCTAGCCGAATGTGCTTGATTAACCAAGCGTTTTATAGTTGTATATGAATAACCACAAAGCCCAGTATCATTCTTTGACATTAGTCGACCGTTTGATTCGGTAAACTGACTTAATATCAATACATCCTGCATGATAAAAGCAAAAATTAAAAATTACTTAGGGCTGATTACATGTAACGAAATTACCGAATATTCTAATCGTTTAAGATTAAGTCTGCACAAGGGGCAAGCACATGTTGAATGTGGCAATTTAATCAATTGATCTTTGCGATCAGATTCTATGCGACAACCTTCGATAGTGATTTGATCATCATCTTCTTTGATTCGAACTGTGAGTTTGAGTCAATTAAGAATAAGAATATGTTTCAGATAGCATCACGGGGACTTACTTTCTTTGACACGCTTTTCTGCAGTTGTAAATATGTTCGCAACATGATTCCGTAAGATTGTATGACTTTTATTATTGCTTAATGAACGCTTTAAGATAGCAACCAACATGATAAAAATTCAATGATTGTCCACAGATTCTTCACGTCAATGAACATGTGATCATGTAGTCAGCAGCTGTAACTCCAGCTCCAACTATGCAAACATATACGGAATCTTCTTGTCGAAACAGTCGTCTATGTCATGTGATCATGATTATGTTACGAAAATTATTCAAATTTTCAAATTGCGTTATCAATACTAGCCTACAGAATGGTTTTCTTCCGGCATCACAAACTTTATGGTTTTCATGTAAAGCTGAAAAATACCTTGAGAAATATGAACCAATAATCGGCTTAGAAGTTCATGCTCAAATCCTATCTGATTCGAAATTGTTTTCATCTGCATCAACAAATTTCACATCTCGTCCCAATTCACAGGCCACTTATTTCGATGTATCATTACCTGGAACATTACCTGTATTGAATCAAAAATGTGTTCTTGCTGCCATCAAAACGGGTTTGGCCTTAGACTGTAAAATTTCGAATAAAAGTACATTTGATCGCAAACATTACTTTTATGGTGATATGCCGAATGGATATCAAATCACACAACAAAGAAATCCGATTGCTCGTGACGGATACATTGATTTCATCGTCTATGATGATTTTTATGAAAATGATCGATCATTTGATCCATATCTAAAACGATGTCGTTTGAAACAGATCCAGTTGGAACAAGATTCGGGAAAGTCTTTGGTCGATGAAGAAATGAATGCCAATTTGATTGATTTAAATCGTGCTGGTGTACCGCTCCTGGAATTTGTATTCGAACCAGATCTTCGTTCCACTTTAGAAGCCATATCTTTAGTACGGGAATTGATTGCAATTCTTAAATCGATAGAAGTATGTTCATGTCGAATGGAAGAAGGTGCCCTTCGTGTTGATGCGAATGTTTCAGTTCGACTTGCTGGTAATCAAGAATTAGGAACACGAACTGAGATTAAAAATCTCAATTCATTCAGAATTATTCGTGAAGCTTCTGAATATGAAATTCAACGACAATGTTCATTGCTAGAAAGGGGTGAAAAAATTATCAATGAAACACTTGGATATGATATACGAACTAAAAGTACGTTTGTTATGCGTGATAAAGAGATTGTACAAGATTATCGTTTCATGCCTGAGCCGAATTTACCTGCAATTGTTCTATCTATTGATGGCGAAGGTGGCAAAGAGTTGATTAATATAAATGCCATACAAAATGAAATGCCCAGATTACCGAAAGATATTCGGCAATGTCTTTTAGACAAGCAATTTGGTCTATCATTAAGGGAAATCTATTTTCTTTTACACAACCCGACTTTTTTATATTTGTTTCATCAAATATTTGAATCTTCACAAAGAAAATGTGGTTTAGATTGCTTTGAATTTCTTGTCGGTTATCTGAAACCAATTTTTCAAGATAAAATCGACCCATTTACTTTGAACAAAATTGAACCGATAAATTCTAAAGCTTCATTGGAAACTATTTTGGAATTTGTTTGCCAAGAATATCTGGGCCAACTATGTGATATGATATTCGATGATAAAATTTCAGAAACGACTGCTCATGATCTCCTGAAATTATATCTTCAAAATGAACAAAGATCACCACATGAAATTGTTGAAAAATATAATTGGTGGTTAATACAAGATATTGATCAAATTGAACAAGTTTGCCGTCAAGTCATCCAACAGGTACCTAAAATTGCAAAGAAATATGCTAAGAATGGCGTACGGAAACCAAAATCTATGCTCATACAGAAAGCGTATGTCTTGATGAATCATCAAGTCAACGAAAGAGTACTGTGGAAAGTTTATGATAAATTATTGCGATCTAAATCAAAATCATCTGATGAAAAGAATTTATAATTCAATTATGTAAAAAATAGTTTAACTTGATTAAGAATAAATTAAGAATTTTACCGAACAATTAATTTCATCATTTTTGAGAAATATTATGGAAAACAATAGAATTTGAAAGTCAAATAAATGAAAATATATGATTGAATTAATTTGTGGAAAACGATTTATAATTACTAGATTCACCAATCTCAAGGCAATAATTTCGTCTTTGTTAAATTTAATAGTGTTGATGAATTTGTTTCAAAATTCTCTATTTCCAAAAATTAAAAAAAAACAAATTGAATTCTGTTTATCACGTCATTTATTTATGGGACCATAAAATGACCGAATTTTTCATCATCAATTGATCGATGAGAAATGTGCACATCATAGACCAGTGTATAAAAGACACGTTGCGGCGTTCACTTGATTTTTTGAAATTTATTTCAACAATAAATCCATTTATTATCCATTTATTATTATTATTATATACTAATTATTCAACAAACAATGTATGTACCATTCTCTAAGATAAATGAAATCACTCAAATTGATTCATTTCATTGATTCAGTATAACATTATTTTAGATTTTATCAAAACCAACCAACAAGTAAAGGAAAAAAAATGCCAACCAAAGCTTTACACAATGAATTGCAATCATTGCAAACATTTCAATTTTGGCAGGTGGAAAACACCGGTTCGTCATCATCGAAAAATGTAAAATCTTCATCTGATGGTTCTTCATCCAAAGTATTTAATATTTCCTTTTTTTATTATCTTAAAAATTTCTTTCCAATTTACGATTGTCAATTGCACTTTTGTCTATCTCATTTCTCTGTCTTTTTGTTACTCAATTTTAATTTTTAACTACACCACCACTTGTTCATAATAATATTCAGAAGGCGAACAAAAAGAATAAGAATGCTGCGGCATCGTCATTATTGATAAATAATGTTGATGAACATCTTGTCGATATGAATAGCATCAACAAAAATGATAATGTTTGCATCGTTCATCAATCTAGTCTTCCAGATCCGAATTCTACTACTAAAACTACTACTACTGGTAAAGAGCAACCAGATATTGATACAAACAAAGTCAATTTAAACGAAGTAATAATTGATGATGATAAATGTATTTGCCCCCCATATTATCATGATCATGATGATGACGATCGTTATCATTCAATCGTATGTGATATAGTGAAAATAAGAAAGATTATTCAATTAACATTAGATTCTGTGAGTAGTTCCATCCATTTCTATCAATATATTTCCTTTTCATTGGTCCATTCTTTTTTGTTCACTTTTCTTGCAAAATCTTTCTTGATTTCACTTCGAATATTCACCTACGGTTTTTGTTTTAGTTTTTTCCCTTCCTATTTTGATCCTTTCGATGTTCTTTTTACTTTTATTTTCGCTGTATTGTCAATTTGATTCATTTCTAATTTGAATTCATTCCTGCTAAATAGACCGGTGAATGTCGTTCGCAAAGTGGTCGTGGAAGCGATGATCGAATTCAAAAATTGGAAAAACGTGTTTCTGAAATGGAGTCGAGTATGTTCTTAAATTCCAGAAATTGTTTATAATTATGATTTACTTTATTTTTTGTTTTAAGCTATCCTGAAGCTGACAGCTACGCTTTCACAATTGATGGCCACTTGTGAAGGCCAACAACAACAACAGCAACAACAAAAATTGGTTAATAAACAAGCACCGACACCACCCAAAGCAAAACCTGCACCAGCTGATGACGATGATGATGTCGATCTTTTTGGTTCCGATGATGATGAAGCAGCCAATGAACTTCGACAAAAACGACTTGACGAATATGCGGCTAAGAAAGCTAAAAGTATGACAATTGAAATTATTTGATTTCAAAAATATTCTAATTAAAATTTTAAAATAGAGCCTGCTGCTGTAGCCAAATCCAGTGTTGTACTTGATATCAAACCATGGGACGATGAAACCGACATGAAAGAGATGGAACGTTTAGCTCGTACCGTAGAAATGGATGGTCTTGTTTGGGGTGCCTGTAAGTAATTATTATTCTATTTAAAATTTGAATTTTACTTCAATGTTTTATTTTCGTTACAGCTAAACTTGTACCGTTAGCTTTTGGAATCAAAAAATTGCAAATTGTTTGCGTAATTGAAGATGAAAAAGTGTCGGTAGAAGAATTGAGCGAAAAATTGACCGAATTTGAAGATTATGTCCAATCGGTTGATGTTGCTGCTTTTAACAAAATCTAGGTTAAATTATTTTTAACTCATGTTTGTATCCGATACAAATTATTTGTCTGGAATTATTTTTTTTAATAAAAATGGAAACCTTCAAGTTTGTTATGAGGGAATTTTATTCGACTCATTTTATGAAACTATTATCTACTTTATTTCAAATCGTGTGATTCGAAAGTTTTGTTTTTCATTACACTGATAAATCAAAATCTCCTTGACAGAATATTCTAGCTTTCCCTTTGATCGATACTCGAAGATTATTCTCATGATCAATTTTCATTTGACAAACAAGTAAACCGGTTCGTCGCGAACTTTGTTTAGCCTTAAATTCTTGTATAGTTTGATTACATTCAGTTTGATAACATCGTGACCAGAATGGTGTCAACACTGTATGAGCTGATCCAGTAACCGGATCTTCATTGATACCAACCCAAGGTGCAAAATAACGTGACCGAAAATGAATTCCATTTGAATCTAAAGTGTTCGGTTTTTGAGTAACGATAACACCTTCGATCAGATTTTTCGTATCGATTTGTAGTAGTTGCTGAAAATTTGGTTGTATTTCCTGTAAATAATCATCATTTTCAGCATCTCGTAAGCGTATTAACAGTTTACCAGTAGTCATTGAATGATAAATTGATAAAATGCGATCCAAATGATCTTTACCGATAACAGCTTCCTTAATTTGTTGCAACCATTCACTATCTTCCATTTTTTGTGGATCATTAGCCGGAAAATCTAACTCAATAGAATCATTCTCTTCATGATATATTGTTTCAAGTTTTTTATTGAATTCGCTTTTGTATCGTAAAATTTTTTCACCTTTAAGTTTCGCCAATACATATGAAGCGGCCATTGTAGCATGGCCACAAAGTTTTACTTCAGCTTCTGGAGAAAACCAACGAATCGACCATAGTGATGAATGACCATCAACTGGAGAAACATATACAGTTTCGCTAAGATTAAATTCAGCTGCAATTTTCTGTTTGATTACATCCGAGAGATAATCCTAAATTTGGAAAATTATTATGGTCATTTAAAAGTTAATGGTTCATTGTTAAAAGAAAAAAAATGTCACACACATCACTTGGCAATATGATCACAGCTGCCGAATTTCCCGTAAAAGAACTTTTTGGATCGACAAAAGCATCAACTATGTAAAATTGTATCTTTTTCATTTTAGAACATTCACATAAACAACAAATGATTCGGTTTTGATGTTTTTGAAGGGTTTTTAATATTATTAATTCATTAAATGCATTGGATAAAGTTTTGACAAAATTCGTATAACAAATATATTTGTCGCATAGATTATGGCATCATATGTGACGTGATATTTCGTGTGATGATGATATGAATGATAAAAATGTCTCACTATTAGTTTTTTAAAGTAATATTAAAGAGATAGATATAGTTTTGGTGATAAAATAAAAAACGATTGGTGACAGATAAAATATATGGATAAATTAAATTAAATGGCAAACAAGATTTTGCTATTTTTTCTTTTAATTTAGATTTTGACGAATGTCATTCAATAAATCAAAGGTTGATTTCATTTTTCGAAACAATTTTTTAAGCAAAATAATTTGTCACTTTTTGTTTTCTTTTTCTTGATTGATTTCAAATTGAATTTGATATGGTAATGTCAATAATGATGACCAATGAATGTTTGTACCAACATAATAAGAATCAATATGAAGGCTATTTGATGATCACCATTAATCAATAATGATGATCGACCATGATTACATCCATCATAATCACAGGTCAAGATGCATCCCTATACGGATAAATAATTGATAATTTTTCTTTTAATGAAATCATCTGATTAATTAATCATTAACACTTACAGTGTAAAGAGAACCTTCGAATTTAAATTTTCCACATTGGTTGTCCATCGATTCGAGGCTACAAGCTCGGATTACCAATGATTCTTCGGTTTCAACTGGTTTAAGAAATATGAATATAATTACTAGATAAATTACATTTTTTTAAAAAAATTTGATTTATATTACCAGTTTTGCCCACGACTTTTACACAGAATCTTGCTGGAAATACACCAATATGATTCTGTTTGGGTACTTTACAATTCTCTACATATTTCGACATTGCAGGATTGAATGGATCATGACAATTGATATCTGTCTCATTACGGCTATTACATGTATAACAACTAATAGATGAGCTCACTTTGTAAATACATAGAAAAAAATCAAGAATGCAATCAGATATTATTATAAATTCAATTATTTATAATACCTTTACGATTTGTACCAGCAGCATTTGAAATTTTAATGCCACAATTAGGCAATGATACTAATCCACTGATAATCATCAAAACAAATATCATTGAATATATGGCAGTAAATTTGGAATTTTTGATGTTGCTAATGGCATTCATGGAAGATTTCATTATGTTTGTATGACAGTAAATACGAATAAAATGCAATGTCAACAAATGATAAGGATCAAGAATAAGAATCAATCGACAATTTTTGACATTTTTTTTCATGTAATCTATTACCAATCAACAGGCGTAGACAACAAAACAAATTCGAATAAATAACGAAATTTGAGTGCCCAAATTCATACTTTTATTTTATTAGCTCATACATTCTAGTCTCAATTACGCTCAATCGATTGATCGATTAGAATTCGATGATACACTAATTAGAGCTACTTCTTCTTGTTGTTAAAGTCGGATTTGTAGTGCCACTTGATGTTAATGACTGTCGATGAATCCAGAATCGGTTTGCTGACGGCTACTAATTCCATCCCCAAAACAAATGAAAAGGAATTATTAACAAATAGGCAAATCATCACACTTGGAATCAACCGAGCGGAAAAACGGAAAGAAAGTGCTTTTGAATTGTACTATGTAGGGAAAATTTTTGTACGAAAAAAAAATAAACTGAATTGATGAAAGGAAAAAAAAATATTCTTCGACCTAGAAAAATACAGTTTGTTCAAACTTTTATTCAGAAGCTGCTAGGACCATAGCAAATTGTGCGCGTTGATTCATTTAATCATTATATGAGTTGAATTAATCATATCATTATATAGTATGGATGAACTTTTTCCATTTTGTCCCCAATGGAACTGGATTTCTATATAAAAAAATGTTCATATTTATTTTAGCTCTATATAATTCAATAAAGAATCAGGCGGTCATTCTAGCAAAAAAACCTTAAAGAATTTTGAAGCTTGAAAATTTTTTTCTGTAAATTTTTTCGATTATTCTGAAAAAACATCTTGTCGTATAAACAAGACAACAATTGATTCTGATTGATGAATGATTTTATATATGTAGTTAAATATACATACATGTCTTTTTGAGAGATTCATCAGAAAGTTCCCAAAATGAACAGATATTATTCATCCCTTCTTGATAATTTTGGAACTAGTATTTTTTTGAAAAACACGAATACACATAAATAAAATCCAAAAAAGTATAAGAGAAAAATCATGACGGTTAAAAAAATTAAATCTATCGATATTACATCTTTCAATCGACAGATGGCTCTACTAATGGATTGAGGAATCAATGCCGACAAGCAAGATGAATTATGGAATAATAGACAACAGTGAAAGAGCGAGTGAAAGAACAAGAGAGAGAGAGAGAGAGAGAGAGAGAGTAAGCCTGAAAGATTGAAGCGATGTTGATGCTGTTGTCGGTTTGTGTGTGCGTTTTTTTCGGTTTTCGGGCTTGAAAAAAAAATTCTTGGATCCAAGAATAATCATTGATTTTTACAATCATTGTCATTCTTTTCAAATAGACTTTTGTTTTAAAAATGTCGATACAGAATACGACAACAACAGCCACCACCATAACGAACAGTGAAAATGACCAATCAATGTCTTCATCATCATCATCTTCATCATCATCAATGTCGAATAATAAAACAAATTTAATTATTAATTATCTTCCGCAAACTATGACAGATGAAAATTTTCGTGTCATGTTTGCTAAATATGGTGATATAAGATCAGCACGAATTATACGGAATAAAAATTCCGGCTATTCATATGGATTTGGTTTCGTCGAATATTTTCGTCAAGAAGATGCAGAAATGGCCATTAAAAATCTAAATGGCATTGTTATTAATAATAAAAAGATTAAAGTATCATATGCACGGCCCTCAAGTGATGATATAAAAAATGCCAACATTTATGTCACCAATTTGCCTTCGACATTTACCGAAAATGATGTTAGAGAACTGTTTGCCGAATGTGGCGATATTATACAATGTCGATTGATTGGCAATCGAAGTGGTACGGCTTTTATTTTGTTCAATCTCCATGAACAGGCCCGGCAAGCTATCGATCAATTTGATTGTAAATTGGTGCCCGGTACTAATTGTCGAATGAAAGTTAAATTTGCCACCAATGAGGTATACAATACCAATCATTCAATTGTTCTAAATTTTTAATCATTGTTTTTTTCTGTCTATCTCTCACTAGCCAAACAAAAAGATGACGATCAAAGATGAACCAAACAGTTTTAATAATAATAACAATAATATAAACCTCACACCACCGACAGCAAAACATCAAAAACGTTATCATAATCAATCTAACAATAATAATAATTTTAACAATTCAGCCAATCAGCGATTATCATCCGGCCCTATACGCAATACATCGCATCATAATCGTAATTACTTTTTTCTAATATTTTATCTTTGATTTAATAATTATCATTTTCATACCTGAATAGGTTATAATCCATTAGCACAATTCCATGTACAACAGGCACCAATGCTAGATGATCCATCAATGTTATATTCCGATCGTAATCACCACCATCATCATCATTCATCACATCATCATAATCCATATGGTACGATGAAAATGGTTGGAGATTCACAATTTTTCACCACAAACAATGCCGATCTTTTTGCTTCAGCCGGTAACGGTGGCAGTTATAATGGAAATCAGCTTGATCCCACAAGCAGCAGTAGTGGTGGATCGAATGAATATATTCTTTTTGTTTATAATATCGGACCTGAAACAGATGAATATAATTTGGGCAAATTATTCTCTTATTATGGCCAAGTTTTAAGAGTTAATGTTATACGTAAAGGTGGACCACAAAATACTGGAGAGGGTAAAGGTTATGGTTTTGTAACGATGAAATTTTATCAGGAAGCAGTGAATGCTATTGCTAATCTAAATGGCTATAAATTTGTCAGTAATCGACCATTACAAGTATCATTCAAAAAGATTTGATCATTTATTGCAAATTTCATCATTGTCATCATCATTATTATCATTGTCTAAAACGAATATTTAAAATTATTAATTAAAATAAGTATATTTTATTGGTATTTTTCAGTTACACACACACACACACAGCAGACAGATATATTCTTATGAATTATCAATTTTTATAATTATACCGAAAAATATTCAGCATGATAAAACATTCACATAATTAAACGCACGCATTCGATTTCTTGTATCAATATCGAATTTAAACATTAAATACAACCAATTCTTAATATATTAATTCATGTCTAGTTTCTTATATATAACCACATAAAGATGAGAAGAAAATTTTACATCTTTGAATTGATTCTATTTTTTTTACAAATGAAAAATTTCATCATTACGCATGTGTCAACTATTTAGTGGTAGTGGGATATATTTAACATGATCAGCCAATCAAAAATCGCCACAACATAAAAGTTTGTATGACGTCATATTACCGGCTACTTTTATTATGCTTCATACCTCGTTGGATAGGCACATAAAAGAGTGTTTCTGCCACTATACACACACACACACATACATACAAAACACACGTATCAACGTTTCTACACGGCACATTGATTATCGAGGTTGACGCGAATTTATTCAATATTCAATTGAATTTTTACGATAATTATAAGAAAAAAAATAGATTCTGCCAACAAGTCAAAAAATTATTAAAGTTTCAATTCAAGTGATATTGCTTTATTTATAATTATACAATTTTATTTTAGTCATTAATAATTTGTAACAAAATTCTCAATTCAAGATGTTGTTATTCTCTTCGACCACAATTATTTTAATTGCGACGATTACTCATCTATCGGAAGCATTAGCTGAAGGAAAATGTGAAGGTAAGCTTATCTCTTAATAATATTTTCTGATGGATGTATTTTATTAATCAATGGTAATTATTATTCACAGTATGTGTTGGTGTCATGAACAAATTAATATCCAGGTTATCATCTGATGAAAAATCTGATACACAAAAAATTGAACAACGTTTTCGGGAATTTTGTTTAGAAACGAAAAAAGCTGAAAACCGTTTTGTAAGTATTAGCTGTGTGTGAAAAAAAACTTTTTTTTAATTTTAAATTCTATGTTTGTATTCATAATTCAGTGTTATTACATTGGTGGCTTAGAAGAATCGGCAACCAAAATACTTGGTGAAATGTCCAAACCATTGAGTTGGGGTATGCCAGCGGAAAAAATTTGTGAAAAATTACAGAAAAAAGATTCACAAATCTGTGATCTCCGTTATGAGAAGATAATCGATTTGAAAACGGTCGATCTGAAAAAATTGAAAGTAAAAGATTTGAAAAAAATTCTATCTGATTGGGATGAAACCTGTGATGGATGTATAGAAAAAACCGAATTCATTTCCCGTATTGAACAGCTCAAGTCTAAATATTTACATGAAGATTTATAGAATGTATTTTGTAAAATTGATTTAGTAGATTTATTTTAAAAATAAATTTAATTTATCCAATCAATTCCCATTTGATTAACATGCATACACAATGAAAAAAAAATCATCTTTTTTACACCAAATTCGTCAAAAATACACACACACACACACACACACGCACTTACATCGAGATGATAATGTAAATAATTTTTACATTTTTCCAATTATAATTTGTATTGATAATTGTTTGTATACAATAAACAAAAGGAAGTGATGAAAAAATTGAAAATTATTATATAAATCAAAAATATGAATTGATGATTTAAAGAAAAAAAATGGAAAATTAGTATCAATTTTAACGATTGATGGCGGGATCTGTGAATGAAATGTTTTTCTTTTCAACAGTTTTGTCAAAAATCATAATGTTCACACATAATTTATATAGAAACATTTTAATGTCGCCATCTGTTGATGTTTGTAATAACCGATTTTTAAAATTTACAAAATCATTTTTTTATTCAAAAAGATAATTAATTTTATATAATAAAATAATATTATCAAAATCCCAAATATTAGGGCCAAAATTCTTTCAATTCATTCATTCAGACAAGATTTTGCCCTTGGCCATTTATTATATCACTTTTAATCACATTATTTATTGTTGATTGCTGAACATGATTATTATCCGCTTTGACAATGATTATTGCCGAAGGTGTTGCCGTACTTTTAATTGATTCATTTGTAGATGATGATGAATATGATGAGCTTGTAGTCGTATTTGATAATGGATCTGATTCGAATATTTGTGAATCGATTTGTTTCTGCTGTTTTTCTTGATGCTGATGATTTTCCAATGAATTTGATTCACTATGAATAGATTGCAACGGTCGTGATTGTTGTTTGCCCCAAGATTCTGGTTTAGCATCGACAAACAGAATAAACACTATTGATCCTATCACGTATATGCCAGCACCGATCCAGAATAATATACTCCATTGTTTCATTTCGTCATCCTAACAATCAAAATTAGAATGAGAGAAAAACCAAAATCAATAAAGAAGGGAATGATTATCATTAATAAAACATACATGAGGCAGATCCAACATGAAACCAACAAACATTGGAGCTAAAAATCCTGGAAGACTGGCAATTGAATTCGCAAATCCATAAATTGAACCAGAATAATCTGGTGCTACATCCACAATAATTAATGAATCACCACCGGCCGTAAGGCCAAGCGTAATCATCGACAGGTTAAGCATAACTATGATTGGAATGATTTGACAACCAAATAATGGTATTGAAGCTAGAAATGCAGCCGAACCAACTAAAGCAATCGTTTGAAATAGTTTACGTGATGCCGTACGGCCAAGACATTGACGTCGTTCAACCCAATCGGCGACCGATCCCCAACAAAACATTGAACCACCTAACGATATGTAAATAGAAGCATTGACATAACTATTCTGTGATAGAAAAAAATTTTAATTGGATTATCAATAAATTTATAAAACGACATAAAATGACAACTTACATATGTTATTGGCATGTTTAAAACTTGGCTTAAATATGTTGGCAATTTAGACATTAAGAAAAGGTTGCCCCATGATGTACAGAATTTCGATATGGTTATACCCCAGATTTTTAGCGATGAAATTATGGATAACCATGGTACCCATGTGTTTGATTTTTCACCTATTCGCGAACCTCTCCGCTGTGCCATCGAATTGGCTTTTATATAGATAAATTCATTTTCCGTTATACGTGGATGAGCATCAGGTGAATCAAAAACAAAAAAAAGCCATGGTAATAATGAAAGCATTCCAACAGCGCCAGAAACATAGAAAACAGAAGGCCATCCACCAAAAAAACTGTATTCTGAAAGAAAGGCACAGACAGGCATAGTTATGACTGCTCCAATATAACCACTGGCTGGTATCAATCCAAACGCAAGACCTAATTCATTTCTTGGTATCCAATAGGATAAAAGTTGATAGATGGCTGGTGTGATGACTCCCTATGGTGAGAAAAATTTTAATGAATTATTTTTTCATTTATTTTTACAAATACCTGAGCTACACCAGTCAAAATTCGAATCATTATCAATAACCAAGGATGACAGAATGCAGCCCAAGGAATTAATAATGTTAATATTGATGATAATAACATAGAGATTGTCAATAATCGTCGCGTGCCAAGCCATTCAGCCAATTGTCCACCATTAAAATTGGTAAGAATATATCCATAATAATAGGCACCTAGAATAGTACCCTGTAGTGATTCGCTCCAATCAAATAATTCAAGACCACCTTCATTATAGCTTATAACAATCTAAATAGAAAGAAATAAATTTATTATAATTTAAAATTTTCCCAATCAATTAATCATCATCATTACTCACATTATCATGTTCTCTAACATTATTATATACAAATGATTCATTTAGTGAAAGAGGTAGATGATTGATAACATCTGATGATGATGATGATGATGATACAGCAACATGATTAGATGGACAACTTTCATGTACATTCGTATGATTAACACGTTCATCATCTTCCAATACCATTGCAACGATTGTTATATTAATATTTGTACGTATCGTATAGGATAATGCATTCATCATCATACACATCAATAGAATCAGATAACGTTTTTTTAAACGTTCTCTTAGACCAGAAAACGATGATTTTATCAATCCTAATGGCTGTTTACCAATCTTTGCTGGTCGTATGGTTGAATTCAGATGAATTTTTAAATCAACATTTCTGTGGCTATTATCTTGTTGCAATGACGATGATGGCATTGATGATTGTTCTTGATATTGAATGATACAAGATGATGGCTTTTTAATGTAATCACCTTCAAAATTTTTTTCCATCATTTTTTTGATTGAAAAAATTTTTAATATATTATTCTTGACAAATAAATGGATGATATCAGTTTTCTTTTAGGAAAAATAAATTTTATACGAAAAACCAATCGATATGTTATTAATGTTGCTGTTTTGCGTTTGTTGAACGACCACCAATCAACGAACATTGATAATAATCCGTATACACACACGACTTAGAATCATGAAAGTCGGTGTGATTGATTTTCGATTCGTTTGCGTTGACAGCCATCGTTTTCATTGAGCATTCATTTGGAAAAAAAGTGGAATGTTTGATTTGAATGGTAAATATTTCAATTAAAGAAAAAAAATCAATTATTGAAATATATACCGATATTATAATTAATTAAAAAGATAACATCAATGGATTTCAATCAAACGGAACAATAACACGATATCGAAAAAGATGAAACGAATTTGTAATTTGTTGGATGATGGTTTCATGGATTTCATCCAGATCCGAAATCATTTCCATCATCATCGTAGTAGTCGTAGTTGGTTATGAATGCAAACAGAAAAATGAAAAAAAATGAAAAAAAATGATTACAAAATGCAGAAAATTGAACACACAAAGAAAGAGAGGATTGTTTTGTGTATAAGTTTTTGTTTTGTTTTGTAAAATAAACCGAGTCGAATCTTGTTGGTGTTCGATTTTTTTGCTTCTTCATCTGATTTTTTGGCCAAATATTCATCGAACTATACAGAAAAACTAACGGTAACAACGACAACGTCATTTCATTTGTTGGCATGGATGGAAATGGTCTTTTTTTTTCTTTATCCTGGGCGCGCGCCATTATGTCAAATCATTGCCATGATCATAATTATGAGAAAATTCTCGTTTCATGCTATATATACCTTGTGATAAATTTGTTCGTTGATCCGGAGGGAAGAACGATGGTTCAATGATATATTATATACGTTCGGTTTATCTTTGCACAAGATATAGAATTTTCGTTGCCAAGTTCAATGTCAATAAGACATTCAGTGTAGTGATGAAATATAGTAGAAAGGAATGATGATTAGAAACACTGTTTGTTGTATGCGCAATAAGAATTTCGAAACGGGATAGTTTTTAAATTATGAACGCCAATTTTTTTTCAAAGATTTTTTTCCTCGTATTAAATTCTGGTTGACGATGGATTGTACTGGATTTTAGCTGTTGAGGTAATTTTTTCTATTTTCTTTATTACTTCAGCAAACACACACACACACACACACATGCATCAATGCATTATACTGAAATACAACATACATCCATTCAGTTAAACATTTTATATACAAAAAAAAATTTACCAAACGAAAAAAAAATTGAAATAATTTCATAATGACAACACTTTTCATCATCATAAATCCTACTTTAATTGGTTGATTAAATCATATAGAATGATGTGTATTTGTATGATGGAGGCGTAAACCGGGAGAAAAAAAATGAATTGACACCATTTTGGAGATTTTAATAATGAAATCAATGATGATGATGATGATGATCTTTGCTTTATGATGATTATGCTAAAGTCTTTACTTGCATAATAATGATTACAATTATTATCCAATGAATTTTTTTCCACTATAATAATAATATATAAAGATCATAAAAATTATTTACCTAATGATCATGACTGATGGAGGTAAGGGGAAGTTGTTTTGAGAGACCTCATCTGGCACGATCAATATGTTGCTATGGGGGGTGAGAAAAACATTATTTTTCATTGTTGCTGTGTAGATATACAAAAAGGGGCAAACACAAGTCGTTCAATCCATTAATGGCTATATGGCGTATTAGAAATCTAAAAAAAAAAATTTCCAAAAAATGTTTGACAATTGAACGAAGTGGATAAGTATTTCAAATGAAAAACAAATAACAACACAGGTCAATGATAAGATGATTCTAAAACAATGATACTTTGAACTGAATTTTTAATTATTGTTTTTCTTGTTGTATTAAAATTTTCCATCGTTATTACTCACTAATTATTCTTGTATCCTTGTTCAATAACATTTTTTTTTTTTTTGGTGGTAATAATCATAAATTTTTATTTTGTTTTTTTTTCACACACCCACTTGTACGTGTGACCGAATCGGCACGAGCCATCAATAAGATAATGATAATCCAAAATCCAACCACCGGTTGGATATTGGGCACGCGACATCAACAAGAAAAAAAATTATTTATTGCCATATTTATAGATAGATACAGTTAAAAAGGAATAAAATTTTATAATAATTTTGCCTATCAACAAAAACGATGAAATTCGCGCCTATACAATGAGTTCAAATTTCTGTTGATAGCTACAATTTCTATCCAACAGGTGGTGTTAATTTCATCGGGAATAAAAAAGTGACAATTTTTTTAAAAAAATTAAAATATTTAATAATTTATTAGAATATTCAATTAGTACATACAATAACAAATGATACAAGCATTAAAACAAAACATTAATTGAAAAAATACATTCAAAAAAAAATTCATAACAAATACATTTATAGAATAAAAAAAAATTGACATTAGAAAAATAACATTTGAAATTGGAAAAAAATACATTGAATTTAAGACTTACAAATCACAAATTTAAGTTTAAGTTTAAAATTAAAATGTTCTTTAAGAATTTACAATCAAGTAATCTATAACAATTTTTGTAAAGGGTTTTGTAAACACGATCTGCTACCAAATATGTAGTAATAAATGAATAACTTTTATAACAAATAAAAAAGTAACAATTCTAGATAGTGGATAACATAATGGAACTTAGGAATATTCCATTTCGTATACAGGTCACTTGAAAATTTCTTTCCGTTTGTTGCCAAACGGAAGAAGAATATTCTAGCTAGAAAAATCAGATTTCTGGCCGCCAAGTAGAGACCAAAGTCCAATGGATTTTCTATCATTTATGGAAATAACTCCATTAGGCGAATGAGTAATTCTCTTTTCTAGCTACCTTTCCCTAAAACTTTAATTTTTCTAAAATTAAAGCATATAGCTATCCTATCGTTGACAAAGTATTGAAAAGAATTATATCTATTCTTAACAAACTGCAAACCGAATTTTGCTTTTAAACCATGGAATATTTTTCCAATGATCTTAGAGAAAGTAACTTCACATAAATCATGGAAAATATCAGGTGGAGCAATCTGAAAACAATTTATCCTAATTTTTCATCAATAGTGATGCGATTCAGGGCTCTATAATCAATACAAAGCTGATATATCTGGTTAACGTGAATATCTGATTAACGTGAAAATCTGGTTAATGGAGTGATCTGGGTTCTGCTGAAGTGAAAACTTATTTATCATTTCCATTCTTGTCCAATGATTTTAAATCGGAATATTGAAGTGCACAAAACCTGCAGATGAAGGCATTGCCGAATGACATACGGAAGCCCAACAAGTGAGCAACACCTAGGTTATCGCCAAGGATATGCGAAACACAGAAAGGAATTCTGATGCTTTCGCCATCCAAAACATATGAAATTCCACTATTTGACAACTTATTGATGTCGTCACAAAGTGGAGCAGTTATATGTTCAAGCGATCGACCAGATTTTTTCAGATCGCTTGAACGCCAAATCAAGACTAAATGTATGTCCTTGATTTTAGAATTTTTAATTCTATTGTCAATGTCAATATAAATGACATACTGTTTATACTTGTCGGACGATTCTCTTACAGCCCGACACACTCCGAATTCATCTCCATAGATCATCAATCGGAGTTTACCATGAAACTCGTTGTTTCTAACATATTGAGAAACATTTTCAGGAGTTTCCTGATTAATGATCTTGACCAAATCATCATCGGCCCAAAGTTCAAAAATAGAATACTCAGAATGAGACAAAGAATTCAAAATATCAGTTTAAAAGAATCGCATTTGATGCGATCATTTTGCATTGTTGGTTTTTTTTGAATTTTTCTTTGAAGGAATGGATGGTTCGGCATTATTCATCATATGGATGTTCCAAGGGCATGTTAATTGATCCACTTTCAGATTGAAATTATTTTCGACATTTCTGAAATGAAAAATTATTAAAAAATGTGATTTTCGAAAATGAATAAACAAAAAAATCCTTCATTAAGAATTGAAAAGAAATGGTATTATAAAAATGATATTCAATTTAGAAGTATATCATCAATACCAAGTAAAAATTCATTAAAATAGTCGAGATTAGCATAAATCTGTATAAAGAGGATTATGATATTGGGAGCTTTGTAACAATAATCACTTACCAAAGGATGAAACGAATAATATATCAATCATTCAGCACAACGATGGCACAAATAAAAAAAAACTTTGATTTCGAAAACAGACCAACAGCTTGAATAGTGATTAGACAATGAATGGATGCGTCATGCTAAAACACGTGCTTTTTTTATAACCATCGAACTTTTGTATCGATTAATAAACATAACTTCCGTATGAGGTCGCCCCTGACAACCATTTATCTTTACATTTTACAAATTGCATTGTTGAAAATCTGATAGAAAGGATTACCACTGTCATGTTTTTTCCTCTTATCTCTCAAAGCATTATCATCGTCCTAATCAATGTGATTGATCGAATGATTGATTTTTAGGTCAAAAAAAAAAAAAAAAAATGCGAATGATGACCAACAAAATATAGATAAAATACAAGGAAAAATCACAATAAAGTTCGAGTTATATTGTGTTTATAGATGTCAAATAGAAAAAATCAGTGAAAAAAATCTCGCTCGATCTTGACCAGTCATGTAGTGTGGTCAACATCATTTTTATATCAGCTTTTTTCAAAATTTATCGTCCCGTACTACCTGTAAAATTTTTCTACAACACTCTTAGATTAAGTAATTGTTGAAGATGTGTTTTAAGGTCGGCTGAATCACACAGTATAAATAATCTGTTCAATAAAATTTAAAATGAAAACACGATTTTTTGTTTTAAAATTAATATACTAATCAACGTGTATGCCACGTGTTCTTATAAAGTCTTTTTTTTCGTCACAAATGGATTGATTTCCTAACACAATCCATAAAAAAATTTAATTAATCTAAAAAGAAAAATTTCAATTGGATATAGACAAAGCAAATGTAAATTTACAATTCATCATCATAGCCAGACCCGAGCCGTTACATTGGACAAACAAAGAAATGACCGGATACATACATTTTTGCCTTTGGAATAGCTGATGATTTATTTTCATTGTTTCATGTTTTTTTTCCTATCTGTCTTGTATTGTTGAATTGTCATGTATTATTATTATTGCCGTCATCATTATCAAACTACAACAACGACAACAACGAATCGAATTTTTCTATTCAATTGTCATGAATTGAATTTTTTTTTGTTTACAAGATGAATACTTTTTTAAAATTCCTTCAAGTCAAACATTGGACATATGAACCTTATAAATTTTTTTCTTTGTTTGTTTCGAAATCTTGATTATACATTCGAAGAATAATATATGACAATGTCGACAAAAGATTTCAGTATTAAAACAAAAGACAATGACAACTATAGAAAAAAAAAATAGGAATCAATTAATCATCGATGGAGAACGAATTCGGATAAACTACAGTAGAATTGTATACATTTGAATACAATGAACAAAACACAAATATTAAGTCAATCAAAGTATGTCAAAGATCTGACAGGAAAACAACAACCAACAAATGAACCATTATCATTTTGGTTGGTTGGTCGACTGGTGTTCTATTCAAAAATGGTTCGGTTGCCACAAACAAATGATCGATTGATCAATCGATCAGGTCAAAAGCTACTTTTTTCTTTTGAAGTACATTTTATTGGATAAAGATAAATGAATATATACTCATTTATATAATACTTATTGACTTATTAGCCAATTTGTTAATCAACTAAATATGAAACAACAACAAAAATACGATCAATTTTTGTATTGAATGTGCTAAAATTAGAACAAAATTTAAACAATAAAAAATTGAGATGATATCCGAGCAATAAAATCAATATAGATGTGGTCATCAATTTTTTTTTCAATAGACGATCATTTATTAATTGGTTAAATCATCAATACAATTAAAGTTGAATCTCTATATCAGAAAATAATACATGTCATCATCATTGTCGGTTATTATTTACACATTGTTTCACTTCAAAAACATCAAGTACATTCAGGTGTTCATTCAATGATTTTTTTTTATTGTCTATTATTATTAGTAGTAGAATTGTTTAGGCTTGCTGTTTGTTGTTGTTATTGTTGTTGTTGTTGTTGTTTCAGGACAACACAAAAAAAATTTTTACTTGGATTTTTTTTTTTAAGTCTATAAATAAACAATTCTATATATGCAATGTAATGCTGTTGTATATACATGATATATCTGGTAAGGATTAAATTTTCAGGTTTTCGTTTTGCCTTTTTTATCGTCCTTTCATTTTTTTTTATTATTATTGAAATATCTATTATTAGACAATAGGACCAAATGATGATGATGATGATGATAATAATGATAAGACTAAGGTAACTTGTCTACAACAATTTTTTTTCTATTAGAAAATTTTCGACACTCAAATCAACTTGAATATATAAAATGGAAAAGAATCTATTTTTATTATTATTATTATTGTATGGTGATTGAAACAAGTGCAAAAAAGCCATTGTGATCCATTAGATTTTCCATTCATTTTGATTTCATTTTTTTTTTCAACATAAATACCACCAACTTAACGCTACGCATATACATTTGTCATTTATATGTCAATTATCGAACAATTCTGAAAGTAAAGTTTTTCATCAACTCTGGCTACTATAACAACAACAACAACAACAACAGGGATGATGATGATAATGACAACAACTGGACAATTAAAAAGTCATTCATCTAAAATTGAGTAACAAATTAAATCAATTGTGAAATAATCATCATCATTAAATTAAATTCGATATGATTGAGAGAATAAAATCAGTTCAGAAATGATTGCCTAAAAAACAAAAAAAATATTAGAATTCGCCCTAACTATGTATGGAAAAAAAAGATTGTTTTTGAGAAACATACAAACAGAAAGATAGATATAAATCAGATTGAATCGATATCGATAGAAAAAATTGGATCTCACAGTTGAAATAAATTAAACTAACTACTGAGACTATCATGCACTTTCGATTTTCTTTTTCTTCATCATTTTTTTTGTTGACGACAAAAGCAAAAAAAAAAATTTTTTTTTGAAAGAAATCAAAACTCCAATTCTCAGCAATCTTTTGCTCTTTCTCAATTTTATCATATCAGATCGAATGGCATGTCAATGATATTGATAATAATACGTATGTATTGTCAAAACGTAAAGTGAAATTGAAATGTGGCGTCAAAACACCAAATAAAAAAATAAATAAGGAATTTGTCCAAGTTCAAGATGCATTTTTGTGATAATGAGGATCACAAGTATATATGTGTGTGATTTTTTTTTTTTGATTTTCTCAACAATTTTCCATGAATTTGCTAATCATAATAAACTAATCTAGTTGAATAATAATAACGGAGGATTTATATCATTTTGAAATTAATCTAGCATCTCAGATTTCCTTTTTTTTCTATAAAGCAATATAACAAGACAGAAAGGAAATTTTTTTTTCTAATAACAACACTTTGTCAATCATCATTTTTTATAACATACATACCATGAATTCATGATTTATTTTTTTACATGATATGTTTCACAAAGATGTTAATGAGAAATAAAGTGCGATACTATGATGATCATGGTAATGGTTTATATTTCAAAAATAATGGAAAAAAAATTTTTTCAAAACAACAATCACAAATTTTTTAAATGTCCATATATTATAAATGATTATGCGGACATTTGAAACGGGCTCAAATGAAATTTTATAATAATCATCATTATTGTTTGAGATGTGTGATCTTGATGGCTATGTTTGTATTCTTTTTTTTTTTTTTTTTTTTTGATTTCATGAATGGCCAACCAAATGTGTGTTTGTCCATGTGTTATATAATTCATTCATATACGCTTAACAAGTTAAACTAGATTATGTTATAATTATTATTTGGTATGTGTATAGAATGAATGAAATAAAATTACAACTATCATCATAATCATCATATAATTATCATGATGATGATGTATTTTATAAAAGAAAACAAAAACTATAACCATGTTGCTCCAGATTTAACCATCATCATCATCATCATGATGTTTTGATGGATTAGAATAATGAAAAAAAAAAACATTTTTTTTTGTTGAACTAATGAAATTTGAACTGTACACACAAAGACAGATAAAAACATATTTAAAAGACTAATCTACAAGATAGAAAGATAAGATGAATTGTTTTGGATAATTTACATAATTCATTTCGAAATGATATTAGAAAACAAAAAAAAAGAACAAAAAATAAAAACGAAAAAATTCATTCATTCAACTATAGTTTTTTTTATCATTAATTGTCAAAACTAAAAACGGAGGGGGAAGAAATTACAGCTATTGTCGTAAATGTTGTAAACAAAATTACTTTAACCTTTTCGGTTAAATCAATCAAAATAAATAAGCAGAGAAAATGATCTCATTGAAGTGGATTAGACACACACACACACACACAAGCACAGTGTATGATGATGTATGATGATAATGATGAACGTGGAACGTGCAACAGAAAAAATCAAAATCCATGTGAACAAATTTTTTTTTTTTTTTCTTTCAACATTATTTACAGATAAATGAATGAATGATGATGGTGATGATGATGATGATGATGATGATTTTAAAATTTTGATGTCTTTAATTTTTACCTGTTATATAAGAACAATTGGACTATTGAAATTTGAATTTTAAATTAAAAGAAAAATCATAAACAGTCGGTCAAATCATTTTTTTTTAGATGACAAAATCAAATGACCCGATCGCCAATAGAATGAATGAATGAATGATTGTGATTTGAAAAAAAAATTTATATAATTTCCATTATTTCGATAGAATTAAATGAAAAAAAAGGATTTGATTGATTCAAATTGGTAGACACTTTTTCCGATTTGATTGATTTGATCGATCAATCAATCAAACGACCATATGGCGGATATTGAATATCGAAAAAAAAAGAAAATGAAATGTTTTTTCTCAAACGAAAAAAAAAATTGTTTTTCACTTTGTGAGTGAAAATGATCGTTATATCTGCTGCTTATATTATACCAAATGAATAGGAAATTTATTTTCGATGATGATGATGAGACGCCTACAATTTTTTATTTTCGTTTTGTTTGGTGTGATTTTAGTTTGATGAAACTCTAAAAATAACTGAAAATCATTAATGCAGCTAGAATAAGAAAAATAGAAAAAAATAATTACATTATTTTAATCGTAGGTTGATAAATATTTTCTCCGCCTAAAAAAGGAAAAAATCGAATATCATTTTTTCTCAAAAAAATTTTTTGATTTTGATGATAAATTAACAAAAATTATAGAAAAAAACATCATTTAAAATGAAAATGGCAGAATTTCGAAATTTATTTTGTTACATTCAAAAACAGTAAAAAAAATTTGTATATGATAAAGGAAAATCAAATTTTAATAAATGAAAAAAAAAGAATTGATCACAAACTGTACACATAAAGATCATAAGGTCAATGAAAATTATTCATGATATAAATCTGGAATTTGTTTTTTTTTCAATGAGAGGGGGCGCTATCCGTTAGTACTGTACATGATTTCATCAGATTTAAAACTTTCACTATCAATGGCTGAATCATTTTCATCATCATCACAATTACAATCACAATCATCATCGATATGATGTTTGGTACATTTCCGTAGTCGTATATTGCCACTGTTACCACTACTACCATTATCGTCATCATCATCGATTGATATGCTGGACATTTCAGCAAAATCTTCATAGTCTTCTTCTTCTTCTTCTTCTTTTTGAGAATAATTTTAATAATTCACGTTCTTCATCCTCTTCCTGTTGTGCATCTTCTAAGATCGATACTAAACGGGGTGCTGAACGTGATCGTTCGATTGGTGGCCTAAAATTGGCCATACCTTTGACTAGTAACTGTTTTCTAATCGGCATTTCCATCAACGACATTCGTGCTCGTTGTCGTATTAATTTTTCCCGTAAAAATTCTCGTAATGCCATAGCCAATCGTTCTTCCAACAATCTGGCCATACGTTTTGCAACATCTTCTTTTTGGCACAATACAGCATGACAACGTAATTCAGGTTTACCACGACGACCAATATGGCGATATACCCAACAAAAAATTTTCGGATATTTTTGTTTCCAACAACAATACGTTATTCTATTTGCCCAATATTCTGTAAGGCCATATTGTTTGGTTTCAGCTTTTAATCCTGAATTGCATATTGTTAATCGCATTTGTATATCAGTATGATTTTGATGATTCTTTCGATTATCATGATTGTTCCATAATGTATCCAAAGCACGATTAACTGATGGATCACCTTTCGCCCATGCTGTCAACATATTTCCTAAATAGGTAACTTTTTGACAATATTCACCTTCGTTGATTGTTATGGATGAGGAATGTTTTTTCCAAAACTTTAAACTATTCAATGTAATATTAAAAGGAAAATTACTTTTTGACAGAATAAAATCTTCCATATCCATTGTGGCCATTATTTTTTCCTTGATGAATCACAGTTGAAAAATTGATGATTTATTTTTTCTAATAAATACACAAAAATGTTTAATTCTGAATGTTGAAAAAAAGTAACAAGAAGAATGTATATCGATTTTTAGTTCAACGTAACATTTGAAGATAGAATATGGTTGGTAGACAATAAAAATAGTTTGTAGAATCAATGTTTAAATATGAAATTTGCTGTTTTCATCGATTATGTGTCACCGAATGACGATGAATGAAAAAATAGGATAAACATCAGATGAACAAAGCTTTATACACGATGTAGTGGAATTTGATTGTCGATTGAGAAAAATTCTTAGAAATATGGCCTTTGATTATTGATGAATTATTTTCCAAAGAATATTCAAAGTACATATATAATCAAATGGTATAATCATCAAACACTCACACACACACACACACACATTAACTACAACATCATAGATAACCAGAAATCACATCATATATAATGGATAATAGTGACAAAATTTTCAAAAGAAAAATTGACTTTCAATAGAACAAGACGATGACAATCATCGATGGTTGAAAAAACCAGCCGAGCATCACATGGAAAACAACAACAAGTCGTTGATGGTAATATAGTAATAATATATTATGATGGTTGGCATATATGCCATATAAAAAATATGAAGAAAGAGAAAAAGGGGAAACTTGATGCGTCTCAATAACAATGATGCTATATTATGATGATGATGGTTGCGATGATGTTCTTTTGTGGTTCGATGCACACACACACAGGTATAACTATTGTCAATTATATTTAATTGTTACCGATGTTTTTCTCTTTTTATTATTATTATTATTATTATCATTACTAAATTCAAATGATTATTGTGTATGTGAGTAATGCGATACAATGTGATCTTCAATCAAAAAAAAAAAATTGAAAACTCGTGCCATAAGTCCACACATAAACAAACACACACACACACACACACACAAAATGTAGATTTACCGACTGATTAATCAGAATGAAGGATGATGAAGTTAATGATGGTGGTTATGATAATTACAACAATAAACTTGAAAACAGATGAGAATAAAAACAAAGAAAACATATAAACAAAGTTATTCAATAACAACACAAACAAAAAATTGATAAATTCTCTGGAAATTTCATTCAATTCTATATGATTGTCAATCTGTTATTATTATTGTTGGATACAATTTTTCTTTTCATTTCTTGGCTTGAATTTTGATTCAATTTTTAATTGTTTTTATTATTGTTGTTTGTTTGTTATTTAATTAAAATTCAGAATATAAATAACAATTTGGTTGATTTCGATGGAACAATAGATGTCAAGATTCTCAAGAGATCTTTTCTCGATGGGTTGTTGTTGTTGTTGTTGTCAAATTGTTAAATTTTGTCACTAATGTGTTATTATTGAAGAGAAAAGAGAGATGTAATTTATAAGCATACAATTATGATAATTACTCGTAGATCAAGTTGGTTGTATTTACTATTGCCTTCTCATCACTGTAAAAGCAATATTATAACACAAAAACTATTGTTTTTTATTATAATCAGGTAATAATAATTGATGTTTTTTCTTAAAAAAATATGGTTGTTGCATTTTGAAACAACACAATTGACGTTTTTGTTCATTTCACTTTTATATTTCTTTTAATTTAAATTTCACAGCAGTTTTAATCACAATGGTAATGTTTGTCAATTGTTGTTTTTATTTTCCATCTGCATTTGTCGATTCACATTCGATTGATTGTAAAAGAAAAAGGAAGTTGATAATAATTGATGACAGCAATACTTGTACAACAAAATTAAATCGGATGCAATAGACACAAATTGTACATACTAAATTATAAAACGATTTTCGAAGCAAAAAAAAAAAAAAATCAATCATTAGATAGGAATAGGAATTTTTTTTTTTGAAATTATTCATAAGTACCGAAAAATGGTTCTAGTTTTGTGAGCTATTCAAAATCATTGTGGTTTGTTGATAATAATAATATATAATATGATTATTTCGATTGATGTGAATGAGAAGATATTTTATTGTGTTGGTAATAATTGTGATTTATATGTTGTCACACATCTATATGTTATATGATTGGACTTCCGTATGATTGGACAAAAAATGATTTGTCTATAAAATGTCGAGGACAACAGCAGTAAAAAAAAATATGTATGTAGGATGGTGATGGATGTTGTAATTGTGCTGATAATGTTTGTTTGATACTCGTGATGAGAGTTGTAGTAAGGCATATGGTGTTTTTTTTCGATGTTATTGTTGTTATTATATTCGTAAATTGAATCAATTGTTGATTTTTTTTTTGTTCAAAAAAAAGTCAATGACAACAAATGATCAAATAATGATCGATAGAAGGAAATCATCATCGGCTATATATTAGAATGATGAATAGTTACAGCCAAACAAACAGCCGAAAGTTTTTTTTTGAATCGATTTTTCATTGGATATACAATTTTTGAATACTTCATTTCCTGTTGGTACTGTAATTCAAATGGGATCGGATCGATGATTTGGATTTTGTTTTTTCCTTACATTTGAATCAATTCACATGATTGAGACATCGTGACAATGATTATAATAATAATGCTATGGGCCTGTTATGTGGTTAGGAAATTTTTTTTTCTTTTTGTTAATATTATGTCGTCATTAAAACAATTTAGTCAACCAATTGTACGGATGGATCAACGTCAAGATTATCTGCTGAACGAAGCAAAAAAAAATTACTGAAAATTTTCGAAATTTTCATCGTTGCTTGGAACTTAGACCGAAGATTTGTGTGTGTGTGTGTGTGTGTGCGTTTTTATATTTGTTGTGTTTACATTTTTTTAAGAGGCACTAACACTAACACATAAACAAACACATAAACAAATTACCTTGAAGAATGAGTGAAAATTTGACCCGAATTATCATCGAAAAAAAAGAGAAATTTGTTGCACAATTTTTTTTCTTATTATGATGATGCTGATTGATCCGGTTTGATGATGATGATGATAATGATGAGTCAGTAAAAAAGTTCATATTTGCAGGTGTAATTGAATGAATATTTATCAAATTAGACACGAAATGTAGAATTTGATTTTTATCTTGACAAATTATGTTGATTAATTGTTAATAAATTTGAATCAAATTGAATCGTCAATTAGTAATAATCGTTTTAGTAATAATCGTTCGATGATTTTCATTCTAAACAAAGAAAAAATGAACAAGACAAAATTTAAAACAAATTATTTTACTATTGAGTGAAATTTAAAAAAAAACCAATTTGTTTAGAATGGAAATACAATCGAAATCAAATTCAGAAATAAATATAAGATAGATAGGAATGAAAGAAAAAATCAATTGATACCCAAATATCTTTATACTCAAGTTTTTGGGATTTTTCAATCATCATCATTTGCGAAAAAAAGGCAATATGTTTTCAAAAGGAATTTTCCTATTGAAATTTTTTCCTTAAATGATTGTCTTCTTTCATTTTCATTTTGAAAGCTGCAATTTTTTTTCTGAATAAATCTTCCTTGAAATTTTGTAAATTGAATTTACATCAAGGTGACCATCACACTGTTGGTCGTTTAATTTTTTTTTTTTTATTTAAATTTTCATATTGGTACACAATCGACATTATCTTTCAATTTAAAATTTTAATTTCAAAAATTGTCTGTCAAAATTGACTGCTGTTGCTGGATCATCATCATCATTATCTCTTTGATGATCTGTGAAATAGTTTTTTTTCAACGGAAAATTGATCTGAAATGGTTAAAAAAAATTATAGTGAATAGAATATCAATGCTGAAAATGTTTGATGTGTTGAAAAATGATCCAAAGATGATCATTATCATCATCATTTTATTATTTCATGATATAAAAAAATGATGAAAGAGAATCCAATGATGAAAGTTCAATCAAACAATTTATGATTGAGATATTAAATGAAAAAAATCCATCATTCTCTCTCTCTCTCTATTTCTTGTGAATTTCTCAATTTTCTTAATAAAAATGAAAAATTTTATAAAAATGCAAATTTTTTTTTCTTTCAATTTCATGATCAATCATTAATTATAACCAAAAGGTGGAATGATAAAAAAAAATTCAAGAAAACTTGTAGTTTAGCAAATTTAAAAAGTTAAAATGCAAACATTGTTGTAAACTAAACAGAAGCTACTACCATAAATAGTTCATAATATTACATCAGTAACAATGATAGAAAAAGCCGACTAAAATCAATTTCCAGTCAATCAAATGTTGACATCGATATATTGATAACAAATGAGGCCGACAAACACAGACCACGAATTAATTTTTGACTAAATGTGAATGGAAACGACAACAAAAAAAAAACAATTTTTCACCCGTAGGCACGAACAAACACACAGACACACCATATCACAAAAACAAAAATCGAAAAAAAAAATTTCAATTATTGTGGTTATTTGGTGGCGGTGATAATGATTGAAACGAATAAATCGAAAATGGAAATGATAAAGACGATTGAATGGGCAAAACCATTATTTGTTGAGCTGTAAATTTTGGCGTAGGTTTTTCTTATCAATTTACACAAATAATAATGAACATAAACGAATCATAAAATCAAAATTAAACAATTGTATATGCACAAAAAAAATCACTACCTTTTTTTAATTACACATTGAATCACATGAGACACAAAACATAAAAATGGTTTGACAATTCAATCACAAAAATTGTCGATATCCGGCCAAGAGAAAAATTTAGATTACAAATATTTGAATTTTTTTTCCGTAAACAAAACAAATTTCTCCATCCAAAAAAGCAAGCATTTGTTGAAACAATTTTTTTTTTTGTGTTGGAAAAAATTGACCTCGGTAGTTACAAAATGGTTTTTATTTGCTTGTTATCAATCGTTTTTTATTATCGGTGATTTGCTGTTTTTTCGGAAAATTTGATGAAACAGCAACAAGAACAAATTAATAACAGTGAAATAATGCAACACAAACAAACAGACACTCACACAAATATAATAAACAAAAGAAAATGAACGAATGAACTATAGTCGATTGATTGTGAATTTTGACTTGTTTACCTTGCAATCAAAATTCACATTCCTCTCTATAGGTTAAAAATACAATTTACTGTATGGCTCTCTCTCTCTCTTTTCAAACATCTATTTTCTCTCACATCTATGTTTCTTTTCTCTCTTCATCTGAAAGTGAATCCTTGTTATTTTTTTTTTTACTGTTGGAACTGGATCGTTGCTAACAGTGCACAACAGGTTGTTATTAGGTTAACTTTTTTAGTGATTTTCTGGTTTTATTTTCATGGTATAGTGAAAAAGCCTGTTTTCATTTGAGATGTCTACCAAATCATAACGAATGATAAGGTGGTGACCGTAAAAAAAAGAGTTAACAACTGATAGTGCCTTCAGTTAATGTTGATGATTCGTGGGAGAAATAAAAATTTAAACTTTCTATATTAAAAACTTTCTTGGTCAATTTTTTTCTCATGAAGAATTGCTTAATGGTCAAAACTATGCAAAAACTAGGCAATGCATATTTACAACCATTCAATTAAAACCAAGCTTAACAGCGATGATGGTGATGATAAAGTCGCCATCAAAAGTTTGGCTATTCTTCATAATGATAGAAATTCAGGCTACAGTCTTATTATCATGATATTATGAAATAGGATTACCGTACGTCTGGATTTAGTCCGGACATGTCCGGAATTTCAGTAATTATTGTCTGGACTTTTTTTTTTTTTATTTTTAGCAAAAAGAAATAAATAATCATCATCAATTGTTAAGAATAAAATTCTGATCAAATTTTAATGGAACTAAAAATTTATGACGAAATTGATTGTT